TCTGCATAAAGTTCAAGTTAAAAAGTTAATGACTGACTATATAAAATCAAAAATTCAAAGTGGGTACTCCAACACTTTTAAGTGGTTCAAACATTCTCCTCTTCGGTTACTTTCTTCTTGCTTAGTGACCTGCATGTGGCATCAGATACAGCCTGAAAATCACAGCTGTCCTCTCCACAGTGTCCCATGCATTAAAGAGTATAATACCCTCTGCATTTGTGAGGTGCAGTTAAAATGCGAGAGAATCCAACAGGGAATAAATGTTTGCCATAGTGTCAACACTGACTCTAGCTTTTAATTCATAATTTATGTGAGTAAAAGCACGGAGCGTGCATGAATTGTGAATAAGCATTAATGATTTATAAAACGGGAGAAACTGTTCTGAGTGTGCAGCAAATATCTATTCCTTGTTGGCTTGCCATACATGTTTCACCTGCTAAATGTACCACTCGTTACATATTTTAGGCATCGGGTGTTCTGGAAAAGTGCAACCAAATTGATTTGCATGATTTGGTTTGAAGGAATCAGGCACTAAGTAGACAGAAGCTGCTCTGGTTGAGATTTCTAAACATGGCACTACTTCAAAAACGTTGTCTTAGCATTCAAAAATCCAGCAGCTAATACAATTTTCACAAGAACTAGAAGAAACTGACAACAAAAGTAACATTAGTATTTCCTGGAAACTTAGTCTTCCAATAAACTAATACAGGTGGCCCTCAGCTGCTTTGTCCCAGAGGTTATTCTTAGTCTCACAGTCACTGTTAATGTATTATGAGGAGAGGGGGCCTGGCAACAGTAGCTTGTATTGTGTTGCTGATATTCCAGAGGCAGGTGCGGCTACTAAAAGCTTATAAATAACCTTTATCCTTCCATATAATGCTACAGCCTCGGGTGATGCCCTTTCTCCTTGAAGCCCCTTTAACCTTTGATTTGTACTACCAGACACACAAGCGCAAGCAACTAAGAGTAAGATGATTATAATAAATGCATGTAAAACTAATTAGGTAAAATTAACAGAGGAAATATTGTATAAGGAAGGAGTGTAATGCAAAATCATTAATAGGTAGTGATGGTATCAAACCATAGTCCATTTTATCTGCTTTTATATATGATTTATAGTGGTGTCCCGATACAACTATCTTTCTGCCGATACAATACAGATATTGTAGCCTTAGATTCAGCTGATACTGATGTTGATCCGATAATAGCATGGCAAGTTTTGCACTCAGCTGCAACGTCTTTTTTGTACTTAAACAAAAAATACTGCCACAAGGCCGACATCATTCCTACTCTTCGCAACTTTGTTAGTACCTTAGTACACACTGTTGTTGTGATTATGTGGGCTCTGCATGCTGGATCAGGGCGCTGCTAGATAGAGGTGCTGGAGCAGAGACTGGAATGGACTGCTTGTATCGGAGTGCTTAAATCTGAGATTTCAGATGCAGGCCGGTATAATCCAATATGCATTTTTTTTTCTTCCTGATATTGGACCAATAACCGATATCAATATCGGATCAGGACATTCCTAATGATGTGTATTTGTCACCAATCCTCTCCTGTTTTGACTGCATTAAATTTAGGGATGCAACTATACATTTAAGTAATGATACATACATACAATATTGATGCGATATCATGCTGATGTGATGCCATGCAGTAAAAATTCAGTACAATATTATTCTCAAAGCTTGGTTCCCAATAGAATTTTCACATATTACCAGCTAATATTTATCTATTAGAGAATGGATAGACTCATACATTGTCATTAAACCAAGACAAAAAAAGATAGTTTATCTTTTAGTAAAGCTGCTTTAGTCAAACACACCAAAAAGAGTGATCAATCCACTACTTGTGGAAAGTACTAGAGTTGCACTCTTGACCTTAAATCTCCATTGCTGCTGTAATGCCTCCCTGCTTCTATCCAACCACAGAAGTTTGAGTTATCAAACAAGAGAAATCAAAGGCAGATAGCATCCTCTGTTGTTTCAGCAATTAACACGTTTTATCTCACTGATTCGTACCACCTCAAAATTCTTAACTGTCTCACAAGGCACATCACAATTTAATATGATAAACCCTCTAAATTTGATTGAATTTGAAGTACATAGTAAGAAGAACTATGTGGGTGATTGTGTCTCGATATATACCACCGTCCAATGTGTAAAGGAAGTTTCATACATGACATTTGTAATTTTAAGCCTGAGTGGAAGAGCAGAAGAAGATGTGTCTGGAGAATTAAGAGGAATAGATGTGCCTCAGGTGTTGCCTCCAGCATCATTAGCCTTGTGCTTTCAAAACCAGATCCAAAGGTCAGGTTTTTTAATAAGAAGGAACTCAATGACTTGCTCTTTTCCCTTCTTTTTCATTTAAGTACCCCCTTCCCTTTCTCCCCACAGCCCTCTGTCTCCTCACTTGTCACGTCTTAACTTTTAATCTTGCATTTTTTCATACCCATGTGGGTCAGTGCTGAAAGGGCTGGTTTAAATATATATTTCTTTATGTGACAGTTATCGAGCAGACATTTGTGGCTCCAGTGCCGCTAGTTGTTCTCCTGAGACCTTTCCAGCTGTTCCTTTCAGCTGCTCAGGTCAGTCGGTCCTGCGTTTTTTTTAATACACAGGGAGCCATTGTGTCATCTCATTGCGACTCATACTTGGGGCTGTCTGTAAATCGATCTGACTGATGGCAATGATGTGTCCCCTCTGCGCGCGTGTGCGTGTGTGTCCATTTAGGACTTCGTGTAGTGTAAAGTTGAGTGTGTGTGTGTGTGTAGGGGAGGTGTCATTGGTCTATATTTACCAACTTAAGAATGAGGGAGCATTGTGTTGTCCACATTCTTGGCACTGAAGGACACTTTGTGCTCAGGGTCACCCTCATCGCTTCATCAACAGAAGCAGAGGGAGAGGAGAGGGTGAGGCTGAGGCTGACGCAGACGGACAGAAAGTGAGAGGAGACACTGACAGGTGAGACAGCCGAGATAGTGTCAGATCTTCAAGGACAGAGACAGACAGATAGAGACAAAAGGATATTGGGATATTTCCGCCGTACAGATCTTCGACACCCAGGGGACTTCATTTGTTTCTTTGAAGAAAGTGTAAGTGGGATTTTCATGACACATCTTCATCTGAGCTAAAGCATTTGGTATATAATGATTTGGGGCCTTTAGGTAGGATCTATCTAAAGATTTAAAACTAGAAGACAAATCAGGGGTACAATGCTCCACTACATGCCCAAAAATACTTCAACATAAAAAGTCTGTCTTTGTTTTGTCAGGAAGACTTTTTTTTCACTTGCTCTTTTCTCTCCTGAGTCTTAGCTTGTTTCTCAAGCTAGTTGAACCTTTAATGGCCTTGCTTTATGATGGCCTCGGTGGACTCAGCTTTCAACCACTCTCTTGGGATGGTAAAAAGAAACTCATGTAGTGTTCGGACAAAAAACATTTCGATTTTACCAGTAGAGGAATAAAAAATCTCTTCCTTTCCTTTTTTATTCAATGCTTTTGACTCCAGCGACTGTAAAAGCAACATTTGTCCCACCTGATCTAAACCTACCAATAGTGACGGATCAATTTTAACACTCAAGAGGTTGACCTTCCTTTACCAGGATTAAAAAAGCACACCAGTAAAACAATAAAAGAGTAACAGAGGTATCAGACTTCTCTCTATCCTTGTAGCTAACTTGCTGAGTAAATGAAGTGGAGGAGAGGTAGAAATAAATTACTTGTTTATGGCGCTAACACAGGTGGTTGCTATTGGGATTGGGTGAATGAAGCTATCAGTCAGGCACGGCCTGATTCTGTTTGTTGGGTGAGTTCTGCATCTACTTCCCCAGAGCAGTCACATGATTAATGATGGGCAGGATGTGGGCAGCAGCATGTCAGACCCCAACTGATGAATTGTTAGAGGCTTGGCAACCCGCTAAGACATGATTCATTTTACCCCCGACTGAAACACACTTTTTCTCCACACAAAGAACCAAACTCGGTGTGCATAAAGCTCAAATATGGATAGTTCTAGACTCATGTAGACTAATATACATGAAACATAAATCACACAAGTTGCTTTGAGAGTTGGTACAATTTGTAAAATACTTCAAAACTCATCAAGAGGTTTTATTTTAGTTAGAATAAAAACCAAACTTTTGCAAAATCCAGCTTAAGTTTCATCAAGCAGATGGCAGACGACAGCAGGTTGGTGTTTTCCTATGTTTTATGGAGGATCACACACATTAATCAAAAAGATAATTAGCAAAATAAACACTCGACTAAATCGTTAAACTGCGACTCTGAAAGTTAAGTATTTTCCAAAACATTGAAAAAAAAAATCTATATTTAAAGACTGCATCTGTTTCAAAGTGCTGACTATTGGATTTCAGACACCAATTTTCCTCCCCTAAGTGCATTAATGACATTTTGAATCGAAACCCATTAATGCTAGGTGTGTTTGGGGCTTGTTTGTCGATGGAAGTCAGACGCTGACACAAGTTTGATACATATTAATGTGGATCAAGGATGTAATGGATGTAACTGCAGCAAATATTGATTCTAAAACATGGTGTTTTTAGTGGCGCCCTGTTGTGTCACTAGACCCTGGACACTTTGATACATCACGAAAAAATGGGTTCTTTTGTATTAATGCTTTAACACCTAAAACAGGCTGGGTCCAATTTATATACACAAAGCAGATCCTTTGGGCTCAATGACTTTTCTCCAGGGATGAGGCTGGAAACTGATCACTATTCTGCACCAGCGAGATCGCATTAATCACAACCCTTAACATCCCAAATGAGAATAATAACCAAAAGGTAACTACAAGGTCCCATCTGAATACAAAGCCCGAGTGTATTTCGACTGCTTACAGACATTATGTAGTTATGTTTCTGCTGCACCCTCAGTGCCTGACTGACTTCCATTGACTCTTTCGATCACTGCCTCCTACACACATCTGCATCCTCGCACTGAGCGTTCCCCACCCTTTTCCAGGTGCCGGTAGGGGGTTACCATGGAAACCAGGACGGTGATGAAGCGAGAGCAGGAGGAGCAGTCGTCCCAGATGTCTCACAGCATGCAGCTGTCCTCCCAGATCAAGAAGAAGACCTTCACTTCCAGGTGCGAAAGAACTCCTCTCACATCAGTTTTGCAAGTTAAAAAGGAATCGGTGGATCTGTGAGAATTTGTCAGTGTTCGTTAAGTAGAAGAACAATGAAATAAAAAAATCTACTAACAGTATTTCAGACATAAAAAACAAAAGATATTTTACCAGAGATGCACTTTTCCAATCCAATCCAATACCGATACCTGGGCTGAGGGTATCGGCAGATGTTCGATACTTATTTAATACTACTCTTGAATGAATGAACTGTATACCTTGCCCTGTGAGTTAAAGTATCAGGCTTGATATAAGCCTTGTCATCAGATCGGTGCATCCCTATAATTTACCAGTAATTTACTAGACATAGCATTCACTAAAGAATAATCCAAGATCCACTGTAGCCAAATCCTAGAACACCAACCCCCTGTACACTTTTCTTGAAACACATCCTTTGATATCCTCTTTCCAAAATCCTGTCTTTGCTTTGCACATGTACAGTCTACAAGTAAAGGCTGAGCCAAGACAACATGGTGGTAGTTGCATCTCGGTCACATTGTGTGGTTAGCAGTGTTATTGTTGCACGGACACTCTGCTGTTCCAGTCAACCAGTGAGTTGAAAGACAAATATGCACAGCCTCAAACAGAGCCGTGTGCAAACAGCTTGTGTTGCAACAATCCTTTCGAGTCATACTAAAGAGTTAACCAAAACAAAGCAGACAGTTATTTTAGGTGACAGTCAGAGACAGCCGAACTACACAATCTCAATCTCTGTCTTTAAGGTTTGCTGGTGCCATCAATAGACAGTCCCATGTGGCGTTTGATGGTAAATCTGCAGTGATATAGCAGTGAAAATATGATTATTTATCATATTGTTGTAAAAAAAAAAAAAAGGTTGCAACCAAAGATCAACAAGAGACAAGAAAGTTCCCTATTTGTCTGCAAAATAAGAAATAATGGTCCTCAATGCTCGGAAACAAGCAAAGAAGAGATTATGAGCAGTATGATGTGACCCTCTGTCTCATCCCAGACAGGAACTGCTTCAAGGAGTGGCATAAACGACTGTAAATAGCAAAAACCGTTGGAAGAATTTGTGTTTAACTGTAAATAGTTTCTGTTGTGTGTTACTTCCAATCCCAATATTTCTTCTCCTGATAGCAAAGACGTAACAGAATGATGTGCAGGTGAGAAAAGGCTTGGTCACTGTAGATTTCTGTCTTTTTTTGTGCAAAGTACTGTTGGGATCAATTTCAGTTTGTGTTTTTTGGTTGACTTTGATGGTTCTGGATCTGCTGTCACATTCATTTTACATAATTTTTGCACACATAAAATGACAGCTGAGGTTGTCCTGAAAAAAGATGTGTATATATTTGCTGTGCTTGAAAGGATAGAGTTGCTACATAGATTTTTACAAAAAAAAAAAAAAAACAGGTGGACCAAAAATAGCAAAATATAGCTGGAAGTTCTAAGGGTTACACCAGGGGTTACCCACAGTAACGGGAATCTTGGGAATCATGAACCGATGTCATGTCATTAAAACAAATACTGATCTCTATCAGAAAATCAATTTTTTATCCTGACCCAGTAGGTCTGTCCTTTTGCACACAGACAAAAAAAAAACAATGAAAAGAAAACAGCACACCAAAGAGCAGATACACCACCACTCTCAAGAGATTCCAGTGAGATCTAATTGAAATCTCCTCTGGTCCTGCCCTAATAGTCTCCAGTCAAATTTGCCTTCATTTTCAGCAGCCCCCTGCTGCGGTAAGTTATTAAATTACGCTAACCTGTAGGTCTGCAATCTCTGTCGCGGAGTAAAAGGAATTGAACCCATTCTCTCAGAAGAGATGATAAAAACAAGCAATTATTTCATCAAGCCAGCCATGCCAGATTTAGATTTCATAGCTCTCTTTGCTAAAAAGACAGCCGAGGCAGATGCAATGTAGAATTTTTATTTAAAGCACTGCTGTGGGAACAAAGATTGTTTTTGCCTGTACATCAGGTCTTGCTTGGGTATCACTCTCCTTAGTACAAGCTGTTGACAGCAGAACATCCAGGTTCTCTTTTAAGAAATTCCTCTTTTTTGAATGTCACAGAGTTAATATTTTGAGGAAGCCTAGAAAAACAACAGAACACGTAAAGAGCACGACCCCGCTCTCCTGCACGCAGCAGGATGAACACTATTAACTTACATACAGTGGAGCACAAGTGTGATTGCTCCTGCTTGTGTGTGTGCTGTTACTGTTACCGTGTCTTTGTATCTGTGAAATGTACTTCAGAGATACTGCCCAGCCACAGGCTTTGCACTTAATTATTCAAACGACGCCTATGCACACACTCAGAGGGACGCTAAACAAATAAAAGGAGAAAAATAAGACACCAAAAGCAGAAGTTGTCCCCGAACACCGTAAAATGGGGAAATTTCCCAGCTTAGAAACAAAAGAAAACGAGAAGTGATACCAGTTTGCACTGGCATTAGTGAGACAGCTTATTGAAAGTAAATGCCTTAGGCTCAATTTCTCAGCAGCAACGGCAGTTATACAAACCCGGGTAAATATCTAGTTTTGGTCTACAAACTGAGGAGGAACTGTTATTTTTGTTTATGTTCATTCTGATGTGTCCTCTGTAATGTGATGTACTGGAATATAAGCCGCACTGATATATAAGACATGGTTGGCCTGGAGACATTAATTCATGCTTTTATCACTTGTAGAATAGACTATTGTAATTCTCTCCTTTCTGGTCTCCCAAAAAAGAACATTTTTCACCTGCAATTATTAAAAAATTCAGCTGCTAACAAGGACCAGAAAGAGAGATGACATTACACTGATTTTAAGGTCTCTGCATTGGCTGCCCGTCTCTTTTAGAATAGATTTTAAGGTTGCTTTATTGGTTTTTAAAGCTCTTAATGGCTTTGGCCCATCTTATTTATCTGATCTGCTTTTACCTTACGAGCCAGGTAGAGCTCTCAGGTTTTCAGGCAGTTCTCTGTTAACATTACCTAAAGTTAAAACCAAGACATACGGTGAGGCATCTTTTTATTACTACGGCCCCCGTCTATGGAGCAGCTTACCTGAAGACCAGCGATCTGCACCTAATCTTAATGATTTTCAAAGCAAACTCAAAACGTACCCTTTTAGTGTTGCTTTGAACTAAATTTTATATCATCAACTTTAAGTTTTAGTTTTAATGACAGGATTAAAACTAAAACTCTTTTAGTGAGCTATTTTGGTGCTTTTATTTTAACATCTTTTACTGCTGTTTTTAATTTCATTTTATTTATTTCTTACATTTCATTTTATGTTAGTTTGTTTTTAGATTTTAACCTAACCTCCAAAGTTTCCTTATCTTGAATTTTAAAACGGCGTTTCTTCAATGCGCACTTCCCTGTTTCTATGAAATCGAACCCCTATTCAAGTTCACGCATTTCGATACATGTTTCTGTTGTTCTTGGATCGCGGGGTGGGAATTAGGGGTTGGGCTGGGGTAGATCAGGGTATTGTTTGTGTATTTCTCTGCTATGTAAAGCACTTTGTGCTACATGGGTTATGTATGAAAAGTGCTTTATAAGTAAAGACTGACTGATTGATTAATTTATTTATTGATAAAGAAAGTCTCCTGAAGGACAGAAAGTTAAAACTGTGTTCTAGCATGAAGACTGCTGTTTCCATGCAGATGTGTAACTCTTGCTTATTAGTATACCACAGTTTTCTTTAAGTGTATGATCATGGCCTAAAGAGGGAGAAAAGGATTAAAAGTAGCGCCACTAACGCTTGTCTGCCTTATTATGTATCTTGCTTGCATGCTTTGTGCACTGAGGACAAAATTTCTTTCCTCAAGCTCCATCTCTTATGGTAAAATACTGTAACACAATAAAATACCTCTTTTTGATATATCTGTTGCACGTGTATAGGATGTTTGATTTAAAAAAAAAAAAGAAGAGTGTCTTATGCACCTACTTTTAATCACTTTCTTTAAATTGTAAAAAATGACTACATTGATATAGAATTAAGGAAAGTATTTAGACTGTCAGGACCAGCTCCCTCTGGTCGTAATAATAACTCATGTTAATGGTACAGCAGTCATGTGTGGATAGACAGAGGGCAGAGTTAGTGCATCTCCTGTTACAAAAATCCCTCTTTGCTTCATTGCCACAAGTGCCCTTGTCACTAACAATTAATACCCCTTACCCGTTTATAGGGGTGCACATATTAAAGGTCAGTTTATTATTGGTGCTTTAAATGGAGAGCTCATTCTTTAGTGTAGCGTTATTGTTTCCCCTATCTATGTCTCCATGACTACATGCTCATGATGAAGGAAACACTTCAAGTCCCAACAGAGACGGCAACTTGCTGTGCTGCTGGTTTTGCATTACTGTGTCCACTTTCAGTTCGTCTCGTTCAGTTTGTGTGCTAGTCTATCATCTGGAACACAAACAGCTTTACGGCCCGTTGACAAGGACACAATGTGGGCTCTAAACTGAACATTGCAGCTGATTGCATGCTATGATGCCGCCAACAATTAACATTGCCATTGTACCATGAACAACCTGTTGGCTCATATCCAAAAAGCTTTGGCTCATGAAAACACCGTTTGTCATCATTTGCCTGTGCTTACATCAGCAGCCAATGTTCCTCCTAATTATATTAACTCCCTATAGGAAACAGCATGAGTGTTTGTACACCAGCCAGTAAAAGTGGAACACTTGCAGGGCAGATGCTGCTTATGATGGTCATAACTTCCCTATCAGTTTTTGTGGCCCCTGGTATTATTGACATGGAGTATCAGCTTGTACCAAAACCAAACCCCGTACTTGAATTTGCCTAGATAACAGACCTGCTCACCGTTTTTTGTTTACAAAAATAACTAAAGCAAACAAATTATTACCCAACAAGTTCAGAGTCTCCTTATTGGCCAGTTTTACACACTCTGCTGTAAGCAATGAGGCTTAGCAATGCCATGGGACAAACTTTAGAGCTTCAAATGTCTTTTGTAAAAGTAACAGCAGTCGCATCATCACATGTCAGGAACTTTGCTAGTTTTAGTAAGGCAGTGTCTGAAATGTAGTGTTGAGATGCTAGGACATATTGTAGATCCAAACACATTCAGAAAGACGATAAAAACCTGCTATTCTGTGTGGTGATGGGCTGATCGTCCAAAGCAATGAATCCCACCACCTTCTCTGTAATCTTTTAGGCCTATTTCTCTCACTTGAGGATATCTATTTTATGTTGGATAGTTTCTGCGGGCTAGTTTAAGACATTAAGCTAAGACATCTGTATGCTCATGCTAATGCAACAAACCCCCGTGTTTGTTTGTTTTCGCCTTTTATATGTCCCTGCAGAGTTGTGCATGTGCATTTCTCCATTTTAAGTTGATGCCATGGCAGGACTTCCACATCTTTTTTAATTACTTCCTTCTTAAGTATACCATTATGCTAACCCAGAACACTCGGTTTCAATAAATTGCTGAGGCATTTGCGCTCCTCCACAAATTGTGCTCAGTGACAGCTGAAAATCAGTAGAGGAATGCCAAGAACAACTCTGATTCAGTAGTTCAGAACCGGATTGGGACATTGTTAGATTTAACAAGAAAACAGATCATTAGACCTGGGTTTGCATGTTGTATCAGTACTTAATATAAGCAGGGTTCCTACGCAAGTATGGAAAGTATGGAAATAAATTTGATCAAGTTCCAGGTCTTTAAAAGTATAAAAAATGCAAACTAAAGTATGGAAAAATAGTTTGTTTCCAGACTATTACCACAGTTCTAAAATACTGTTTTCGAAAATATAAAGGTAGGTATTTCAAAAAAATTATTCTAAAAAATTAGGGTATGGAAAAGTATGAAAATTCCAACTGTGTAGGAACCCTGTACAAGAGTCTAAAAATTAACCTTTTATTTCGCTAATTGCTGGTAAAATTAGAACATTTACCAGCAAAAACAGTATTTTTTTTAAAAGGCTAAGGATGAGGTACAATTATTCAGTTAACAGTTCAAAAGTATTGCTTTCAAATGTGTTGGCACTGGTTTCCTCATTTCTAAAGCGCTGATACGTTTCAAACACACAAGAGGACACTTATTAGTCAGATAATTTACCAGGATATAATTATAAGAGTGTTGCACCATGTGTTTTTGATTGAAGTCAAACTGAAGAGACTACTGTGCTCAGTCTCTCTTGTTTCTAACTCTCTACTTTTGTTTGTGAAGGAAGGACAAGTTTTTATTCCATTTTTTAATATGAGCTGAATCTGACTGACGCTGCAAATTCCACTGAAATGTTTTATCTTGCTAGTTCTTCACCACAGGAAGAGGACACAAAAAAAATCCATTTAAGTTTGGTTTCAGTCTAGAGACAATAAAAGTCTGTGAATTTAATGGTTGCCTTCAACACACACCTCTAAGATAGAGGTACCTCTGCTGTTCAGGCTGAGGATAGAAGAGACATTGCTGCTTTCTAGTGGCAGGGGGGAATAACAGTCTGATGACCTTAAAACTGCATAATGTACCATGGGCTGTAACAAAAGGGAAAAGCATGCTAATAGAAACCCTCAATCTCGCTATCAACACATCAAATATCTGTGAAGGATGACAAGGGGAAGTATTTATTTTGCAATCTTTCACCTATGACATTTGATGAAACGCATGATAGATTTTCTTAACTGGGTTTTCTTTCTTTTTCCAAATGAAACAGTGATGAAGAGGCCTCATATTCTGATTATTACCCCATCATCCCTGCTGACCTGATGTCTGTGAAGGAGATCCTGGGCACGGAAAACTTTCCCCGCCACAGGACGTGGTAAGATAACACATCCAGGAGAATTTATTTCATATACAAATAAGACTCGAGGGCTGAATGATACGAATGAAAGCCTCTATTTGGGCAAGTGTAATTCTATATCACAATATCAATATCTATTTTGATGTAATACGTTCTCTGGAAGATCAATACAGAGATGTTAACGGGTGAAATAATCAGGGGTGCCTTTTCCCATCACACTGATGCATGGATCGTTTAAAAAGGGCCGTTAAAAAAAGCCCTGCTGCTCATTGATTAGCTCACAATATGCTCATACCATCATGAGAAGTGATGGGGATACTACCACAGAATAATGGGACTAATTAACTGGGGACAGAATTCCTGCACTTGACAGTTTTGAGCCCAGATTCAGATTTTATTTTGACACTTATGTTGTACTAACTGAGTCAAGGTCTTGAGAGGTTTAGAACTGGTTATGAAACAAACTGAAAGAAGATTATGATTTTTGATTTATTTGTTTTAATGATCTACATGAGCAAATGAAACAACCAACTACAAGTTTTTTTTTATGTATTTCTTTTCAACGGCTACGTGTTTCAGCATACTAGCTTAACACTAATAGGGCACGAATGAAATCATCTGCTCGCTTCATTCGCGTGAATCTAGACGCGTGAATGAATAGTATTTACTCTCTTCATTCGCGCGTTTAAAGCAGTTTATGCTAATTTCAATGGTAATCCCTGCCAATTCAGCCGGCGGGATCAAGTGATAGTCAAAGGTTTTTTACAATTTACCAGGTAATCCTACAACAGTGCACAAATAAAATCATCTACTCGCTTCATTCGCGCGAATCTAGACACGTGAATGAATAGTACTTACTTGCTTCATTTGCGCATTTACAGCCGTTTATGCAAATTTCAACGGTAATCCCTGCCAATTCAGCCAGCAGGATCAAGTGATAGTCAAAGGTTTTTTTATAATTTACCAGGTAATCCTACAATAGGGCATGAATAAAATCATCTACTCGCTTCATTCGCGCGAATCTAGACGCGTGAATGAATAGTACTTACTTGCTTCATTTGCGCATTTATAGCCGTTTATGCAAATTTCAACGGTAATCCCTGCCAATTCAGCCAGCAGGATCAAGTGATAGTCAAAGGTTTTTTTATAATTTACCAGGTAATCCTACAATAGGGCATGAATAAAATCATCTACTCGCTTCATTCGCGCGAATCTAGACGCATGAATGAATAGTATTTACTCGCTTCATTCGTGCGTTTATACCCGTTTATGCTAATTTCAACTGTAATCCCCGCCAAGTTTTTTATAATTTACCAGGTAATCCGATCTCCTTACTCACTTGCCCTCAGGCCAGCTCCTTTTTATTCCGGTTTTGGTAATTGAAATAAAAGGTATCATATATCATACACAATCAGTTTGTCCTCCATTTTAGATACTAGTGAACAACAGTCTATTTTCATACATCACCCGGCAACCTTTGGGCTGATTAGTTATCCTGATGCGAATATGAGACATTTTCAGCTCCCACCCAATTCGCGTCATTCGCATCGCCAGAGTAGTATGTGCTTCTAATCGCGTCTTTGCATTGACTTAACATGTAGTTTGTTCATGCAAATGATTTTACTCACACTTGGGGTGTGGAGACAGTAAAGCACACTTAAAAAAAAAACAGGGTACAATTAATAGTCGGAAAACTATTCCAAAAAACAAAACAACATCTGCCACAACATAAGGCTTTGTCCAGAAACTGCACCAAATTGACACAAACAAATACTTCCTCACATTAGCATTAAAAAAGCAGTAGAAAGACAGCTTCATCTGACACTTGATATTTTTCAATCTGATCAAAATCATGACAGCCCTGGAGAAACACAATTAACTTTATCAGTTAAAAGATTGGCTGGTGTCTTCAATCAATGTTCATTATTTAGTAGTCTAACTGTCATATTACTCTTTCATGAATTTAATAACATCATCTTATTATTTGACAGTAACATTTTATTAGAGATACTACAAAAAGTTAGTGACACCACAGAGAAAATTTCCAATCTTCTCCCTCCATCTGCAGTTCTCATTTTAGGCACATTATCTTTATTTCTCATTTTGAACTGAAGTCCTCCATGAGTACCAGCTGAACCGAAAATTAGAGCATGTCTCCATTTTTTCTCGAGAGGACTTCCTTCCTAGATGATCTGTACTCATTATGATTCTGCTTCTCAATCAGTAGTCACCACCACATCCTCCCTCTCCACTTTATTTGACAAAGTGGAGTGGCTCAAGTTTTGCTGGAGCTCTGCCCTGCAAGCTGAACTGCAGAAGAGCTTTTATGCCAGCAGAGAGGCTCAATACTCAACCGCAATAAGGGCTCTTTTCTGATCTGTCTGTGAAAGGTCAGATGCAGACTTCTTTTCTCATTTGCTATCTTTCAGATGTCGTGAAACCAATAAGCTAAATGAACCGTTCTTCTGAATCAAACTTTGTCTTTGTACTGATGAGGAAGAAGGAGGCGTTTCATATCCTGCTCAAAGAAAGGAGAGTATCAAGAAAAACTAATCAGTGGACAGTGAATGAAAGATGCTGCGAGGAACTTTTGGTTTGTTTCAATATGCATTTGTCGGGTATACTTCCTTGCAAAAAAGTCACATTCCTACAACCACATATACCTCTCATATCTAAAATTTGGTGTTGAACGTATAATAAAAGGGTGTTTCTTCAGCCTGCTGTGAAACATCTGGTCTGACACCTACCCCCTTACTATGCTAGGACTTTATTTTGCCTGTGGTTTCAGGCATTAAAAATTACAATAAGGATAAGGAGGACAAAGATAAGGAGGATGTCTAAGTGGCCTGTGTGTTGAATGTGAATTTTGCGTTTCATCACTCAGTTTAACTTCTGTTTGCCGTGAATGTTACAAGAGTACATAATGATATCGTCAGTCTTTGAGCGAAGTCACATTTGGCTTTTGTAGGTCAAAAAAAAAGATCAGTAATAAATCCAGTATGCTTCATAACCAATAAAGCTCCCATTAAGAACTTTGGGCCAAGCAGTCTTTGCGTATCTTGTTCTCTACATGCTTGAGTAGTGACTTTTGACAGTCGAATGTTTCCTTTATTTTGAATGTTTTACATAGAAATTGTAAAAACAGGCTGCTTCTACAGTTAGCTGGCTGGCATTTCCCCCTCACACCTTTTTTAGGCAATGAAACTCAATACAAAAATCCTGAACCCTGTCGCTAAGTGCCACATTTGGATGTCATGAAAAGGCATCAGTGTGGATTTCAAAGTTAACTATAAGAGCTTTAAAGACCTTTTATGGGAGCTTAAATCAGTCTTTTCTCTCAAAGTTACTATTAAGTCATTCTACAAGTGAAACCTGTCAGAAAAGTTTGGTTCTAGTTTTAAGAGTACTTGAAAATTTGCTTTCCTGGGTCTTACATAACAATGGTGTGATTACTTCAGTTTGAGGCTGTTGGTCTCACAAAACAACACTAATTTAAAAGAGGTCACTACATGCTGCATTTAATTATGACTGGGCATTTTTGATTGGCAGATTGATCACTAATGAGGTATTTTATGATGCAGCCCTGAAGTAAAACTGAGTGAGAATTAGGCAAGAGTCTCAAAAAGCAGAAATAATCCAGCACTGAAAAAAGTACTAATAAATGTACTTCTTTTTTAAACAGTGAGCACAGAGCTCGTAGCTGAACTTACTACCCTGCCAGTAGACAAAGTCCTTAACTTATTAGCGATTAGGAAACTGGGAGGATTGTGTTGATGACAAGTGTGAGCTACTACTTTTTTTAAGTGTCTTAAAACCATGTTGCAAGGACAGGATTACAGCTCAGCTGTGGAGGGGATGTCACATATCCCAAAATAAGTCCCTGAATAGGGAGGTTTAGGTCACTCAGATCAGGAAGCAAGGGGATTGTGGCCTCTTGCGACATGATTTGCTTTACTAAAATCCTTTTTTTTTTTCTTTTTTACTACTGGGACACTAGTTGTCCTGTCGGGGTCACACAGGACTCAATATCACTTCTACATGTGGTGACTTAGAGGCAACTGCTCTCCTGTTCTCCAATCATCCAAAAAATGATTAGTCTCTTTTTTTATTTGACATTATTACTGTATGTAAAGTTATTAAATTCTAAGAATAACCCAGATATAATGACCTTGAAGCCATAAAAGGAAGCCGCGGCTGGAAACGCAATGAGATGCATGGCCAGAAGTCACAATGATGACTGAAGAAGACTGGTAATGCTAGAAGATGGAGTTTCAAAGGAGAGAGAGTGAAAAAGGGGGAAGTCATCGAGGGTACAATCACCCCCTCTTGAAAGACAAAACACATCTGACAGTAATGAGCCTCAGCTGCAGAGATGTGGCCTGCCAACTCGGCATCTCATTAGCTGCCCTCTCTCATGCCACCGCCACCACCCTCTATCTTACCATCTCATCACAGAGTGTCTCTCCTATCCCCTAAAGTGCTTTGTCTAATTCGGTCTTGTCTCACCTTCAGTCAAATCCACCTGTTAAAGCCCTCTCCCTCATGAATTAGCAAGGTCCATTCCACTATGAAGGGAAATTTCTCCACCCAACCTCAATTCTTCACAAATCTCATCCCCCTCTTCTCAGAAGTGCTGAGACGAATCTGGTGTGGATGGATATTTTAGGACGGAGGCTGGATATCTGGTAATACTTGGGATGATTGACTCCTCCCAGGATAAGAAAGGACGGACGGAAGGATGAACTTCAAAGCTCTCGAGGATTGGCACACTATTTCTGGAAGGTCTGAATGTTGCAGGATGTGGGAGCATGACATTTGTTTTGATTTGTGAGGAAATGAAGGCGCTAGATCTTTTATGTGATGGCTCCACATTAAAATCTGATTCACATACTGCTATTATCTCCTCACTGTTAAGGGGTAACATGTAAATTATGCAGCTGACTCATGCCAGGTTTGTCTTTAAGAGGAGGGTTTTGCTGTTATTTGCACCAATATGCAGAATAAAATTTCCATCGGGAGCAATAATTAAGCTATAAACCCTCTCAGTCCTACTGACTTGATGAGTTCCAGTGTGCGTTCCCTTGAGGCTTAAAATCTCTGAGCCCACAGAGATTAAAAATACTGACAGGCATACGCTCCACTAAACAGGCCTGTGGCAGAAAAAGTCAAAACCATGTATCTGAGCCCCTGAAAGTGTGAGCAGTATGGGCACCTACAGGTCTGGGTAATGCATCTTTGCATACACGTATTCATATTTGCATATTTATTCATGCTGTTTGTGCATTTCACTGAATTATGGCAAGTATTTGAAGGGCCATTCATGCTCTAGTGGCCATCAAAGCCCAGAGAAGTGTTTGTGAATATTTAAGATTATGTCTCTCTCTGTTTGTTGAGGCAGAGTGTGTGTGTGTGTGTGTGAGGTAAAGTTCAAATAATTAAGCCCTGGGGACTGTCAATCAAAAGACGGTTCAGGATACACACCCCTCCAGCGAGAGAGAGGAGTATTAAATCACTGCATTTAAAGGAAAGCACAATCCATAATAGTGCGCAAAGAGCGTCTACCTCCATAAAGATGGATGAACTGCACATATGCAGGAGAACTGACATGGCATGGGCCTTTAGAGGTATTTATAGCTCCAACCTGCCATACAAATGTACATTTGATAGAGTCTTGAGTTCTCCAACAGAGGCTGGATCAAATCACTATCCTGAAAATTTCCATCCATAACAATGACGCACTACTTGGGCAAGACACTTTACCGTCATTTTCTCATTATGGATCATTTTAAACTGAGATAAAAGTGGATGTATTCGAGTTGAAGATTATCTGTTACAAGAGGAAAAAACGTGGCTATGAAATTAGTGGCTGCTCGGTTGGCAGCATCTAAAGTACTGCCAGCAATGTTTTATAGAAAATTGACTTTTAAGAGACTTTTAAGTCTCACTTACCTATTGAAAGATATTTCAACTCCCAGTTAAAACCATCAGAATAACACCAGAGCTAATCCTAACTTTGAAGTGCTAATATCTCCAGGGGCAGCTCAGCTTGTAGACTCCTCCTGAAATCTTTCTTACAGATGGGTATCATGGAAGTACACTGATTTTCAGCACAATACTACTGCGCAATCTCCAACCAGTTTTAATTTTGAGAGGTGGTTGTTTTGGATAGGGATGGACCAAGGGATGGGCGATAGATTATCGTTCATGATATATCGTAAGAAGAATCCTCCATGATAAATATTTGCCATCTCATGATAAATACTATAAATGCAAGTTGATGACATGAGCGCGAGCGATGGACTCACAGCCATAGCCCACACTAGGCCTGGACGATATAGAAAAAAAGCATATCGATAAAAAATAAATCATATTGATCGATATCGATATAATTGTTATAATTATTTAACATATATTTTAATTGCAGCCCTGGATGTTTTATGCTATTGCTTAATGACCTACTTTTAATAAAGAACACACAAGCACTGAATTCAAATTCAAACCTTTATTCAACCACCTTTTTTATTTTACCACAACTGAAAGTTTTTTAAAAAAGAACTTAAAAAAAAAAAGAAATCAACTTAAGTGGCCTGAGTGACGTCAGTAAATACTGATGACAAACATAAAGACTAAAGTGACCAGAAAATCTGATAAATAAATATTTAAATAGTCTTTTGATGAAAATAAACAAATATATAAATAAACAGAATAGCTTTAGGTGGGAATAGCATACTACCAGTTTTAACTGTGTGGGAAACTGCCCACAGCCTGGTGTCTGAACACTGAAATATTTCTCCCGGGGTCGGGAGATTTATTTTTTTAATTATCATGTGATTGACTTAATACACAAACTAAGCACGAGAAGCAGGACTTATCCACGCCGGTGTTGTGTCGTAGAATGCACCCCTGCCGAATGCACCCCCTGCTAGTAGCCATGATCCAAATACTCGCGTCTTTGTAAAATATGAGCTCATTTTCTTCCACTTTAAGAAGCTACACCGGAACGTATTTCCTCCGCACCCTTCTCACCTTTTCAACCCCTGACCCATTTTCATGCCTGAAGCGCTGTGTTTGAGAAATACTTGCGGCCGGGCACTTCATATCGCGGGTCGAGAGTGGCTAGAAGCTGGTCGAAGCCAGGCTTTTCAACGGTAGTTATTGGCAGTATGTCCCTCGCTATGGAGCATGTTACTGCATGGGTGATGTCCTTATGCCGCTCGGATGCTTTGTCGTATTTTGGCAAGAAACGAAGTCCAGTTTGGTCTGCTTCACATGCTTTGTGCTGGTGCTGGCAGCGGTTCCAGAGGATTCCTCCGACGATGACGTGGAGCCGCGGCGCGGCCGACACAGCTCGTACTCCTGCGGGTGCGATCGGTTTAGATGGTAAAACAAGTTGGTTGTGTTACCAGACTTCGTTTTTACTAATTCTCTGCAAATTTTGCAAACGACCGCTGTTCGCTTTTTGTCAGACTTCTAAAAACCAAAACATTGCCATGCTGGTGAACTACTGAAACCTTTTTACGGGACAATGTCCTCCGCTTCTCCTTGCTGTATCATTTTTTCTAATACACGTGCTGTCTGTTGTGGTTTGATAGGGGCTGGGCTTGGTGCCGTAGCGTACCTGGGTCTGCGTTTGTGATTGGTTGGGAGGAAGTAATGACTGTAGTAAAAGCTACATGATAGGCTATGATGAAAAAGAAAGGGAAACTGTGTTTTTCTATCGAACTTTTTATCGACCCGTTTTTTTTTATCGCACCACACGTCTATCGATCGATATATATTGTTATCGAATTATCGTCCAGCACTAGCCCACACAGAGCAGAATAACAAACTAACATGGCCGAAAGTAATGAAGAAGACGTTTCTGAGCAGCTTGTTACTGGACGAGGCTCCACATGAGGAATTTCCTTCAAGATCAGGGCCTAGATTAGCGCAAGCAGGTCTGCCTGACATCGTACAGTAGATCTGCTGCTGTTCACTCCTTGCAATAAGAGTTTTCAACAAATGTTGTAAATGTTTTCACATTTGAGACTTGTTTGATGTCATTAGTTTTCTCCACAACCTACCACTCAATCTTGTGGTTAAGTATCTTTATGACTACTCCAACTGGGCTTTTCAAGACGGAATAAGTCAAAAGTATTTGGATTAGAATTATATTTTCTATCTGGACTTTTATCGTCATCGCTAGAGTGGCAAATTTTATCGTGATTAATTTTTTAGCCCATATCACCCATCCCTATATAGACCGATTTTTTCACCAAAACTAGATTGGTGTCCCTTGCTCTATAGAGGAGATCTCTGCTGTTGTTTGGGTTTACAAAAACTTACCAACACCTCAGCTCCCAGCCCTAGCCGTGTGCTGTAAAGCATTTGAGATGCTGATGCAGATTTTTTTTCAGTTTTGTAAAAGTTTAGAAAGTGCTAACTCTAAAATAAAGAGCCGTGAAATATCTTTTAGACAATTTGCTGCATTTCAGTTTAATAAATCAAGGTAAACCAATCAACTGTGTTTTCTGCTAGCCTTTGTCATTATCAGGGTACTCTTCAAACTGGCAGCATTATAAATCACATTATCAACTAATGATCATTTTCAAACTGGAACTAATAGACTTGTTTCACACAGATAAATAAATCCTGCTTTGTGTGACTAAATAGACCAACACAAGCACGTGCCATCTCAACGGCAACCAACGTGATAAATGGTAAGTCAAGGATGTGACGTGGGTATTAACACAATAACACAGTGACTGTCAACACTTGAAGGATTCCTGAAGAAACACATACCACTGCTCTGCACTGCAATCTCTTCACAGTGACATGAATCAACTGTGTTTCATATCCCACTGACAAAACACCCACATCCCACAACCTTCGAACACGTGCGACAAAAAGCGCTTTTGTAAAATGACACATAGGTAAAAATGGAGCGGCAAACCAACATTATTACTGAGCCTTTTCAACATCAGGCTGCCAACAAGCATAAAACTTGCATTCCCCTGCAAATGGACTTGGACAGAAGGGAACATTAACTTGCCAAAAGAAAAAAAAATCAATGTGAAATTGCTGTTTTGTTTTCCTCAAAGGTTGATTCATCTTGTTGTAAAGCAAGCCTTTGTCTGAGTTGTTCTCTCTACTTTTTTTCACCACTGATGGAGGTCTGAATTGTTTTGACAACCCACAAAAAAGTTCAGATCAAGACACCCCCCCATCCCCCCTTCTTGTTGTGGAAAACAATATCTAGGCTGTGACTCTTGATGCCCAGACACGCTTCTCCCAAAAGTTTTACCAAACACTGAATTGGTAATCCCAATGCAGGTATATTTAATCTGGATCAAACAAACATCACCCACTCTCACAAACAAAGATTGTGTTCAGGTACAAAAATAACAGATAATATGAACAGAATTTTAAAAATATGCTTTGCTCCACCAGGGAAATCTTGAAGGAAACTCTCGCAGAGGATGAAGAATATTACAGAGACAAGTGGACCATGTTTGGAAACGAGGCTGAGAAGCTTGAGCTAGAGGTGATCAGGAACCAGCATGTGTTACGCACACGAGTTGACAAACTGGCCCTCCGCAGGCAGGTAAAAAAAAACTTTTCATTGTAAAAATCATGTATAGCAAGAATATCATTGTTTTCTGCTTTGTCTTATAATAGTATTTATTTGTCACGTTTTTATGGTGGCCCTGAGGTGCAAAACACAAAGGAAAATCAGAAAATGAAACAAGAAATCACAGAAACAAGGTCATTTCTGTGACCTAGTTTAAGCAACTTTAATATCACAGATAAAAATAAAGTTTGTTAGGAGTTGTAAGAAAAACTGTAAGATTTATTATCTTATTTACTCCCATGTTTCTCCAGTGCATAACCACCATCAGATTACCCAGAACGTTTTTTTTTTGTGTCTCTTATCTTATTTGTTTCTCTTTTTTGTGTTGGTGATCTGAAGGACTTGGCTGCCTCTTTTAGAGAATTAAGGTTGCTTTAGAGATAGAGAATACTCCTCAGCACATTGCTTTTCCTCTTATCTGCCGTATGCTTATATTTATCACTTAGAAAGTTTTCCCTCTCTGGAAATTTTCTGTGCTCCAGGCAGAGAAGAAGAAATCTGCCCACATGGAGTACATGGAGCGTCTGAGCCAGAAGGCCCCAGACTTTCCGATCCCTCTGAGGGCTCACACCGTCTGGGAGGGCATGACGGTCAAACTCTCCTGCACCGTTAAGGGCTATCCACCCCCTAAGGTCACATGGTGAGAGCTTCTATGTCTGCCGCAGTCTATTCCCTGGGCTTCCACAGTTGATATAAAGTTTCTATTTCTAAAAATGCCAACTTGTATCATCTTCAATTCATTTCTCACTCAGCAGGAAAGTCCTATTAACCACTAAACGTTACAATTTTCAGAGAACAAAAGCAATCCGGTCAATTAACAAAGCCTCACTTTACAACAGATTTGACAAATAACCATTCGAGAAATTTGAAAATTCTAGGTTATACTCATTTGAAGTATTTTTTCCATGACAAATTAATGCAATTCAAGATGGATGGAAAAATAGAAGACAGAAGAAAGTATATCAAGAGTCCTCCCAGAGTGACTTACATTGAATTTTTCATGTTTGATTCAATATAATATAAGGGGTATATAGGCCTGGGCGATAAAACGATAATGATATATATCAAAAATTAATTTCCCTCAGGTTCCCTCTGTCTGTTTTACATTTATGGTCCACTTGATGGCACAATAAAGCAAATGAAGCACAATAATTAAGCTTATTAATTAATTAAGTTATTGGATGGAAGCTTCAATGCTTCAAGAGGCTTCATCTCACCATCACTAACGAATAGCCAATGAAAAGGGGAGTTGCTCCAGGTCTGCACCGCGCTGAACCAACAATTCAGTCCGTTTTCGCTTGTGGAATGCCTTGCGACAAAACGTTGAAGAGACACAGAGACCTCACTGATGCAGTAGCTTATTGTATTGCAAAAGACATGCTACCAATAAGCACTGTTAAATTTAATTTAAGAGTGACAGAGAACATTTAAGATTGACAAGTGATTTATGACGTGATATCGTTATCGACTGATATGAAAAAAATATATCATGATAAACTTTTTCCCATATTGTCCAGCCCTAGTAGTAGGCATGCATGGTAAAAGAAAACTAACTGTAAGTATCAGAGTCATATTCCTAGAGTTCTAAACCATGCGTTATTAAATATCCTTCTGTATATCAATATGAAATCACCTATGTTAATTCAGGCAACGTTCCAAACTGTCGACCTTGATGCTTGAGCTTCTGAGAGACTAGCCAGAGAACAGACTGTGTGCTCAGTATTCATGAACCTCACCGAGATCCACATAACCTGAGGCTCGAGGGTTTCACCATCCCATATGGGACCCATCGAGCCCAATGAGCTGCCCTCAACAGTGCCCGGCACAAAACAGAATGAGAGATCAAAGACCTCCTCTGGTTGCTCTAAACTCAGCCTATCGACCGACATTTGATGAGTGAAAGACGTGAATGAGAAGTCAGTGGGCCGGGTCGTGAACCACTCAAGTGCAGCCTGTTATTCGTTTTTACTTTGATATTCAAAAAAACTCTGGACACGCACTCAAATCTATCTCTTAATTCTTATGTCAGGTATAAGGACGGTCTGCCTCTGAGGATGTCAGATCAACCGTGGAATTACAGCCTTCGACAGACATTTGGTCTGAATACACTGGAAATTAGAAGGTAGGTCACTGGTTCAAATACATAATAAAGGTTAAATTTCTGTGCAGGAAAAACCGTGAATATGACAAAGAGCTGTTTAAGATAAACTGTGTGTAGATAGCACCACTTTGCTTTTAATTAAAGAAGCATAGTATTTATCTCTGTGGTAAGGGCTGCACAATATTTAAAAAAAAAAAACTATTGTAATTTTTTGATTTAGATAAATGCAGTGTATTCTAACTGCTTTAAAACAATTAGAAATTCTTACAATACAATAACACTTTTCACAATTTGAATCCCTCAGTCGATTTTCTGCTTTCATATCAATCCCCCTCTCACTCTATCTGAAAGTGTTCAGCCTTCTGACACCTGGGGTTAGTGGACATGCATATAACAAAGACACTGGTTTGCTCACACACTATGTAATTCTGTCTAACTTACTGTGGAGCTGTGCAGTCTGTGCACTCACAGTGAGAAACCACTTAACCCAGGGTCTTTAACTCAGGGCACTTTTAGGGGTCCTGATTCTAGTGTCTCACTGGCCTCTCCTGCTGCTTGCCCGTACTGTAGGCCTACTGTTTGACAAGGTGCGAGTGTAGCTGTGCCAGTCAACCAATCTTAAACTGGAAGAGGTGAAACTGTTAACGCAATAAACCAGGAAAATAAGTGCTCTTTAGGTTACTGTCACAGAGACAGAAAGGCCCTTCTTTTTTACATGTCAGCATTTGCGTACAGAATCAAAACAGCACTATTAGTTCCTGAATCGTAGTGTTCGTGTTTTTAAATATTCTAATATTTATACTAAAATGACATGGCAACTGATGTCCCAAATATCCTATGTGTTTGAAAACAGAATAGACTGTGTTTTAGGGCAAATGAAGCGATTATTAACCCAGGCTCCATGACATTTCAAAACAACACATTTTGGAGTCAAAATCCTAATACCTCAGTATCTCAATTCCATTAACCTGAGATATTTTTGTTTAAGGTAATTATAACATCAGAATCCCAAACATGCTCTACTTCTAATATTAGAAATAATCAGTCAATTTTTTTGTATCAGTTTGATGTAGATGTACAATTCAGTAAACACTCTGTGGTACTGTTTAGTGTAGCGGGCTATGTGTGTGTATGTGTGCCCACAATGCTGACAAGCACCAAACAAGTGGGAATACACTGTTTTAAAATCTGTCTCGCTTAATCGAGCATATGATGCAGACACTGCCTGCACAGCAATAAGTTACTCTGTGTGTTCATGTGAGGGGTTACATTGGAGTGCTTTCAGATGGTTGTTTATCCCAGATTAATCCTGGACAGAAGTGGTGACAGCATGACATGTTTCAGGTAATATTACTAACATCACACCTCCTGGAATTTAGCTACTGAGCATGCAGACGGTGAAACATCATTCAAAACCCCCTGCAGGTCCACAGTCCCTAGCCTCCACACTCTGCCAGATGTTTCATGAAATCTTACAAACTTGTATATGAAGTTGTGGATAAAGATAAGAGTGGCCTTTATATTGGGGAATCAAAGCCGGTGCTGTTTTGTCTGACTCCTCCATTATCCAAATTCAGACAACAAAGTCAGCCAATTAAGTTAAGTGGTGTGGTGTTGAGGCTTCACATTACTTTCTTTCACGTTGTTGCATTTGGAATTAACTTAATAGCCACTCCAACAGAGTGAAGTGTGCTGCCTATAATGAAAGTATGTGCCGTGAGAGCACAAAATTTGTGAAACTATGGATGCATTTTCATTTCAGCTCAATCTTCAACACTTAATTTTTTCAGGATACACATTTACTGTTTATCCTCAGATGCTCTCCTGAGGATGCTGGCGAGTATAAAGTGGTGGCCAAGAGTGTCCTGGGTGAAGCTATGACTTTTGGAACACTTGTGGTCAATTGTGAGTAGTTTTTCTATTTCATACTAGTATAACGTTGATAAGATAACACAGTGATTGACTTTAACAAGAATTAATTTGAACTTCTAGACCCTGAGCTGCTAATAAGACAAAGTGTTATAGACAGGAAAGTATTCATTTTGGGGAGCTAGTCAGAGGCATTGTAACCAGTCAACAAGTATACACAGCATGTCTCTTCCATGTTTCAAACCTGATGCCAACTTCAAGAGTGTCCTGAGTCAACTTGAGAAGCAAGTTTAGCAATATAACGTCAATATTACTTCATCATTTTGCATACATTGAAGACACTGCCCTCTATTGGCTTTAATGTTGACATGCTCACGTTTAAAGCTTAATCAGACATCATAGCTGAATTAACCATTTACATAGTCATATAGAACAAACAAAACAATTCAAAACAGAAACTATAGATATTTACCAGAAGTATTTGAAGCCCGGCTAAGCTAAAACACAAATAAGCACAAGAAACATTTCAAACTCTGTTTATGATCTAAAGCACCTAAATCTGAATCTGAAAATTTCAACATTTAGTCTATGTGGAAGCTGGATAATACAACACCAACCAGCCACAACATTAGGAACACCTGGATGATCAAATGTAATCAGATGCAACAGCTCTACCACCAATTCTGCCTTTAGCAAGCTTGTTAGTATTTAGTTTTTGTTGGTGTAGGACAGGTGATAATTTAACATTGTGTTTATTATTGAAGATGTAGCAGATGGTGCTGTTATGTGATGTGTTGTTGTTGTTAGCAGTGTGTCTTCAATTTTGTCCACTTTACTCAGTGAAAATTAATAACATTGTGGTTAAAATGAACAGCAACGTTTACAAATTAACTTGGAAACCAACTAACCGTGCAACCAACCAGCAAACTGACCAACTTTCTAGCATGGAGGGCAAAACACGCCTCTGAACTCCGCACCAACAATTTGTCATCCAGAATTTAAGGCCAATGACAGCAGCAATAGTGAGAAAAATCCAAAGCGGGAGCAAACACATGCATGCCACATCAGAAAAAAAGTTTTTAAAGCCTACTCACTGTTAGTTGAACTCAGAGAAACCGTTTCAGGATGTTTCGTCGGCCATCTGTGCGGGTGGACTTTCTCAAAGCCAATGGACGTTTGACTCAGGTAACAGTGGCCAGTGTCCTATATCGCTTCTAAAGATGTTGTAGAGGTAAAAAGCCGAAAAGGGGCAGTCTTTGTCAAGAATATGTAGCTTCACGAGTGTTTTAAACTAGAAGTGTAACACGCACACGGTCAAAACGGTGGCGTTGTGGAAGTGGGGGGATCTCTTGCTCACTTTTAGCCTCGACGGTTTCTCTTCACTGCTTGGTAATCCTCAAGTTTCCACACATCCGGAACTCGACTCTGGCGTCTTCGTGTTTTTCAACAGGTCTGGGGTTTTCTCTTACGAACATAATTGCCCAAATAATTCACAGATTTTACATTTATCCAAGTTTGTCGGCAAGCCGCAAGCTGCGTTCGAGTTACCTCGGATGCCAGAAGTCCGAGCTGAAAATGAAATCCTTGTCCGAATATACGGCAAGCGCCAAAATAACTTTCGTATATGTAGCCAACATGTTTCAGGCCTCCGATTTTGCGTTTGTCAAACTTGGTAACTGAAACGCTGCGAACTCAGGTGAGACGCCATTTTCTGCTCCGACATCTGTCATCTGAGGTAACTCGAATGCAGCATTTTTGAAAGTAGCCGTTGGAATAAATTGGCTCACGCTTGTAACGTTTAACCGAAGCCCCGCCCGTGCGTTGTCTCGCGGGTGTTTTTTCCTCTTCAAAATACCGACTTCTGCTGCGTTCGTGTTAGCCTGGCTGGGCCATCCTGTTGCGTGAAACACATTCGACGTCTTCTGCGGATATAAACGATTTCTGCCGACTTTGCAAAGTCAACTGCAGAATTAACGGCGTTCTGAATGAACGGAGCTTTGAAAAGTCCCGCAGCTTGTGTTAAACGTCACTATCTACACATGGACCAATCAGGGGCTGCCTTTCCCTGTCCTTCGGGTAACAGTGAAAACACGATCTCTGATTGGCCCTGTTATTTTCTGACCAGGAATACACGCTCCCAATGGGCCGAAGTCCAGACTGTTGTGGGAAGGAACGGCAAGTGATTCACGCAACAGGATGGTCCATCCAGGCTACGTTCGTGTTACCTCGGAAGTCAGAAGTCCAAGCAGAAAATGACGTCACACCTGAGTTACCCGCGCTTCAGTTACCAAGTCGGAAAAAAGCAAAGTCAGAGGCGGAAACAAAATGGCTACATCTACGAAAGTTTTTTTAGCACTTGCCTTGTTCGAATGTAAGGGGCTGTGCTGGGTCCTGTGTAGTAAACGCCAGGCGGGTACGTTTGGTCAAATAAGTCACAAGTTGATTCATATGAATTTGGGAATTTTAAAATATTAGAGTTGCTGCAGATAATTTAAAGAGTCCATTAATATCAAAGAGTATCCCCTGTTAAAATAAAGTGTGAGCATACTCAGGCTACCTTGTGGAAAAACAAGAGTTAAAGTTTTAGCCTGGTAGTTATCTGTCATAGTCCTGAAAACCTCAATCTTAAATTCAAGGACCCTTCTTAAAAATAATAGATGTTTCATGTGTGGTTTAGTTGATGTCCTGGTACCCCCTGGCAATGATAATATGAATTTTCAAAAATCAGTAGGCTATTGTCCGTGGCCTCATAGCCTAAGTCTTTTTTCAGATGGGTAATGAAGTCACTCGTGTATTATTTAAATAAATTGTGCACAGGCAACATAAGTCATTAATACCCTTCATAGGCTGACACTGTCTCAAGAAGTGAAATATTCAAAGTGAGCATGGTAACCTTAGTTTTGACACAAACATTCATTTTAGTAATGTTATTTTATTCTACTGTGCCTTTTAATGACCCCTCTTTTCTTAAAGGCAGCAATGTTACCTGACCTTGTAGATAAATTAGGTGGTCCGGGCATTAATGAGACACTTCAAGGCCTCTCTATGCCATCTATTTTTCACAGACTTTCTCCAGTGGTTAAAAATAGGTGAAAGGGAATATTAGATGTGACTTGCATAAATGTGGTGTTGCCTGGTTTGATTTATCTGCTGTTGCACTCTGTCTTTTGCACCTTCAATTTCACAATATTTCCCTGTGTTTCTGTCTCCATCTCTGACCCTCCCTGTCTCTCTCCAATTGGTCCTGCTCCGACACCCTGCAACTCTGCAATTCAGCATATCAAGGAGCTGTGGCTGGTTCAGAGCTCTCACAGACCCGCGGTAAGTTTCACGCCAGGGCCTAATGAAAAGTGTCCCCTTTCATTTCTCTGCCATCCTTTGAAGTTCCTTCCCTCCACCGGTAAACGAGAGGGAGGGCTGCGAGGCTTTGAAGGCAGTGGCACAACACTGTGCTCTGCTGTGCATGCTGCACTTCATAAAGACAGATACAGATGGACTGAAAGGCAACAGCATGTTGACAGTGTTTGTTTGTCATGGGAGTTTATGTATCTGTGTGGGAGTCCATGTCCGTGGCTGTACGGGTGTTAAGCAAGACTATTTGTAGGATAGCTGCTGCAGGGACATAAACACTTGCTTCCAATTGAGCAGAAACAACAGTCATGTATATTTCGTTTTAGGAACAGCCAGGGATGTAATCCTTTTTGCTTCGAGCTGTGGAGCATCTCACAATAGCTGTGGTACTCTTTTGCCCGGATCACCCTTCACAATGTATGCTGTCATAAATGGGAAAAACAACAGGAAACGCTGCTTGTTCAAATACTTAAGAAAGCTTCTTTCAGTTACCAGAATCAGCCTTTATATTCATATGAATTATGCCTTTTTTTTATTAGAGGCAAAGGCAGAAATAGCGTGACAATGTTTTAGGGGCAATGAATGAGTTTGCTGTGTAGCTTTGACAGGGGAGAGCATTGTACTCTCCAACTTTTTTGCTTTGATGTGGGGGACAGAGACTCAGCCAAAGGCTGCTATACAACTGGGAAAACTCATGAGCAAGCCTTTTTTTAAAGGTCACTGTTGAACTTCATAGGCTTATCTAAAACCCGTGTTTGGCAGTAAAAGGAAGGTGAACCTTTAAGTTTGTCCCAGTGCTATAGAAATACACTTTGGTCCATCCCAGATCACTATACAGTTCAAACATCGGCCTAGCTATGCAAAATTTTGTGAACGCTTGTATTGACAGGATACAGGTTCGAATGAAAAATATTGACGTCCAAAATAATTGCATGAAAAAAATGCTCCCGGTGTGAAAGGACCTTAAGTGTCACACAAGTACAACACAGTATATACAACACACTCGGAAAAATGACAGTTAATTTAAACCAGCTGTTATCAGCAAACAGCTTGATTATCTCATATGGAGCAGATAAAAATTTCCATGATTAACATCTTAATAAATAAAAGCAATCAAAATGATCACTGCACAGAAAGAAACACTGACAAAGCATCTGAATGATGTCAGAAAAAGACCGACCTAAGTCTTGTATTTGAACACAGCCAGACGTACGTGTCAGTGAAAGGTTGAACTGCTGCTGATAGAATAATATCATTATGAAACATGTCACGGTCACCCCGTATTCATCTTTGAGAATAAGATCTGACAAGTCCTCATGGCACACATACATCTCACTTCCAGATAGCATCGCTTCAGTGGTTTGACAAGTGAGAGATGACAAAAGCTGAAGGAATAACTTGTCAGGAATTGCTGGCTTTAAAAAAAATTGTCAAATTTTCATCTTTCCTGCTGTCGTCTGTTGTTTCCTCGAAGGGATGCCTCTCGTGAGCAGGGGATCTTTCTATCATGACTGCGGAAGCCTGAAAAACTCATCAGTTTTGGTTAATGAAGACAGGGTTGTCTTGTTCAGTTTCACGAGTGAGGAAATCCGAAGAAGGAAGTGCTTGTTTCTGCTAGTTTGGAGAAAATTTAGTTAAACAGTAGAGACATCAAAACTCGGGAGGTAATAGAAAGAGCTCTCATTTCCTATCCTCAAAAATCAGCGTATTTTTTCTTTTACTTCCTGGCACTCACCTCTGCACACCCTCTTCTTCTTTGTTGCTCTTCTTTTTTATTTATCATGCTGCTTTCATTTGTATCTACTTTAAAATGTAGCACCCATCCAAATCATTACCATCTAGAATATATCTCTTCTCTCAGTGTGGTTTTGGATAAGACCTACTTTTTCTATTTCAATTTTGTCCCTGCATAAGCGAGGAAAACGCCTGTGTGTGATGAAAAGGGTTTCTCTCCTTTTCAAGTTTATTCTTAACCCTTGTCTTCTCCTTGTTCCCAACTTTCCTCTCACTTTTCTTCTACCCCTGAATAATCTCACTGCGTATTTTCACTCTTTATCTTTCCTGTAGCCTGGCCAGACACCCACTTTGGCATCACCTTTCCCCCAACCTGGGTGAAGGAGGGCAACAGTCTCAGCCTGCAGTGTACCTTCACCTCACCTCTGCTGCCCTCTAGACATGAGATCACCTGGTTCAGAGATGGTAAGCGTCGTTTCAGATGATATAAATCGAGTGGATTTGTGCTTCAGGTGATGCTCAGTTCATGTTCGTCTTCCTCCAGGCATCCAGTTGCATCAGTCCAGCAATGTGGACATTAAGACAGATGACTACACAGCCTCTTTCACTTTACAAGCTGCACACAAGGAGCATGAAGGTGTTTACACTGCCCGCCTCAGGACCTTTGATGAAATCCGGGAACACAGTGCTTTTGTCTATGTCAAAGGTGAGCACCAAAATGAAACCCTCTTTTGTGTGTATATTATATAAATCCACCACTTTTTACATTGAGTATTACAATTACAATGCTCACCTTCAAGTGTGTGTGGTGTTGCATGATTCTGCAGAGATCATTATCAGTGTTTTTCTACTCTGTTGCATACAGGATCACTCTGAGCCTCAGTCTTGAAGCAGTAGTTGATAGCCTGCAGCTAAACACACTGGTTAGGACAACCTGTAATTTCTGGGTTACGTACTGTGTTTTCCTGTTTGTGTAACATTGTGTGCATCACCTGGGTTCATCATGGACGCAATTGCACACAGTCTTGTCTATGCACTTTGCATCTCACTGGAGGACACCTCCAAAGAGCACACCAGAGAGCTCAGGTCATATGCAGCAACATAATTTCCAAGATGAGAAAGGGCAAATTGATCTTATTGAGACAGTGATTGACAAATTCTTCGACCAGACCTGTGGTCAGCACACACTGTCAACACAACTGTCGCTTAGTTTTCCTAGATTTTAGTTGTACGCTTTCTCCATTTATTTTTGCAGGTTTCTAATTGAAATTCTGTCATGCCACCCAATGACACATAGTACAGATATGGATGAGTACAGACTTGGTCTATTGGCTTGTCTCTGTATCTCTCTGCCATTGTTGTCCCTGCACATATCCACTCTGCTTCTACACTGACCCTACCATTCATGTTCAAACTGCATCTTATATGTTGCATTCACGTTTTAAAAAGTGCACACCAGACGCATCAGTCAGATGCAAAGTGCACATGGTAGTCCTCATACCATAGACAAAGGCACATACTGTATATCTCTGGACTTGGAGATAACACATACAGCAAACGGGGATGTGTTGCTGTATTCACACAAAATCTGTTAGTGCCAAGGGTGTGAGGAGGTGTGGGTGTGTTTATTTTTGTCTTGGAAACGTAGCCAACGCAGGAGAAATCAGAGAATGGGGTTGTATTCCAATCTACTTCTTTGTTCTTGCCAAAGCTGCACCTTCTCTTTTTTCACTGTCCATCTCGCTCATTGTGCCTGGAGGGAGGGGCCATCTTTTAAAGGTGTGTTAACAAACGTGTAAAGCCCTGTCTTGTTCTGCGCTCAAGAGTAACAAAAGTTTGGAAAAATTATGCTAACGAGAGGGATCTGGCTGTAGACCTCCACTGAAATAAAGCCCCAAGAAATAAAATATATTCACAAGAGACAAAAATTACGTACTTCCCGGTTTGATCGCTTTTGATTTGAAAGGCTTTGAATCAACTTCTGAGGTAAAAAATTAATTAATAACAAAATATAAGCCTACTCCTGGATTATTAGCTTTTATTTTGCAAGGCTTTAAATCAACGTTTGACAGAAAAAAAAAGGTAACCCCTGGTATATTTGCTTTTATTTAGGTTTATAGGTTTATAATCAACTTCCGACGTTAAAAAAAAGTACTTCCGGTATTTTGCTTTTATTTTGAAAGGGTTCAAATCAACTTCGAAATTAAAAAAAAAAACTCCTGGTATTTTTGCTTTTATTTTGAAAGGTTTGAAATCAACTTCTAATGGAAAAAAAATAAGTTAAATAAAATACTCCTGGTATTTTTGCTTTTATTTTGGAAGTTTTCAAATCAACTTTTGATGTAAAAAACGTACTTCCGGTACATATGCTTTTATTTTGAAAGGTTTCAAATCAACTTGCAACAAAAAATATATACTTCTGATATATTTGCTTTCATTTTGAAAGGTTTCAAGTTAACTTCTGATGTGAAAAAAAGTATACCCTGTATACATGCTTTTATTTTGAAAGGTTTCAAATCAATTTTCGGTCCCCACAGTGGAGGTGGGTCCTGACAGTGGAGATCTCCAGCCAGACTGTCTTGGATTTTTTACAGGGCTGTTGACCTTCACAGTTTGTATCCCCTGATTGAGATTGCGTGCTTGTCATGGAGACCACAGTTAAAGACTCAGTCCACAGTGACACAAAGCAGCAATCCTCCCTTAAAATGATAGCTAGAGCCTCCCACAGCCTGCCAACCTGCATCCCAAGTGAGATGGATTGTATTTGAATAACCCATTTGTTTTTTTATATAACTGAAAGTGTCACTCATACGTGACCTTGCAAGCCTTGTACAACAATTCTGCTGTTTTTGTAGATGGCATCATCATTTGTTGTCCCAAACCGGATAAATGGTGTTTTGACTGAAACCTTCACTCAAAACACAATTTGTATTCTCCAGATTTTTGGCTCTACTTTCATTTCCTGTCAGCGAACTACCCTGAGTCATATGGGTAAAAATTGCTCTATCAATCAAGCATCTCTAGCTGTAGACCGCTTGTTAACTTTGTTCAGTGAAACTATATACATATAGACTTCACACAGATTGTTGTTTTTTCCCTCATATAGATTGTTTGCAGCATGCAGAGAAACCAAAAGAACAACTCCCACTTGACTCATCAAACATTTGAAGTGCGTCTGCTCGGCTCTGCAGAAGGGCTTGACTTGTGTTTGTGTTTGGATGAATTATCAACTTTGAATTTAAAGTGCTACAGCTACAGTAAATGTGCGATGAGTCTTTAAACACTCTCATAACCTTAACTGAATAAACATATACATGTATACGAACTTAACGCAAAATGAATCATCCTGCAAAGCTTCCATTAAATTTACCTCTGGTGTTTTTTTTCCTCTTAATAAAACGTTTGATCGTTACCCGAGCTAGAGGAACTAATTAGTGATTCAGCAAACTTCCCCAAGTGTGGATTTTCTCCTCTAGTCTGCCTTCATATATATACAGTATTTGCATTACAAAAGAGCGGTACAGAAAAAAAAACAAATGAAAAAGAGAAGGAAGAGGAGGAACATGACAGAGATTTTCTCGACGCTGGCTCGAGTCTTTTGTTGCAAAAAAAACCCCCATAATTCCTCGCCTCAAGAAAGGTTTGTGAACATGTCATATCCGATCATTTCAATCCGCTTAGCATAATGTCATCATTCCTATTCCTCTCATTTCTGCATCTCATTACATCCACTGGCAATGATTATACTTTGTATATATTCAAAAACATGTGCTAATCTGTGTCCTCCTACAGCTTTAGATATCACTTAAAGTATATGAAGACGTCATAAGCTCCAAAACTTCTTCACTCAAAGTTTCTGTACTTTTTCTGCTCATGTTTTTCCGTCTCATCATCAACTTGACTTCAGCTGTCATCAGTTTCATTTTTTTGTTTCTTTCCTCTTTCGGTTTCGTTTGTTTTTTCTGTACTGTCTCAACTTTTCTTTTCCTGTTTCTTTCTCTGTCATCCAAACTTTCTCCTCCTTTCCCTACAGATGCATCAGCTGCAGTCCTTGGAGGTCCTGCCTCCCCTCTTGCCGTCCAGGTGTCTGATGTCAACAAGGATTATGTCTTTCTTACCTGGCAGCCACCCAGCGCTGATGGAGCCTCACCTGTGCAGGGATACTACATAGAGAGGTTAGGTTTGGCTTTATCAATACAGTAAATACAGTTTAGCAAACTTGTAAAGACTAATAGTCATCCAAACTTAACGTTAAGTAGCATCGATGGAGGAGTGGAGGAGTTCAAGTATCTCGGGATCTTGTTAACCGATCTGTCGTGGTGAAGAAAGAGCTGAGCCGGTCTATCTACGTGCCGATCTTCACCCATGGTCATGAACTTTGGGTAATGATCAAAAGAACAAGATTGCAGATACAAGCGGCAAAAATGGGTTTCCTTCACAAGGTGGCTGGGCTCAGACTTAGAGATAGGGTAAGGAGCTCAGACACTCGGGAGGCGCTCAGAGTAGAACCGCTGCTCCTCTAAGTCGAGAGGAGTCAGCTGAGGTGGCTTGGGCATCTGGTTAGGATGCCTTCTGGACGCCTCCTGTTAGAGGTGTTCCAGACATGTCCCACTGGAAGGAGACCTCGAGGCCGGCCCAGGACCAGGTGGAGGGATTATGTCTCTTGCCTGGCACGGGAGCGCCTGGGAATCCCGGAGGAGCTAGTGGAAGTAGCTGGGGTGAGGGCTGTCTGGGTTTCCCTCCTGAAGCTGCTGCCCCTGCGACCTGGACCCGGATAAGAGGAAGAAAACAACGACGAGCAATGATGGAGTTTGACCACTAGTCAAAGAAATATGAATGCATGAATGTTCATAATTTCCATCTTCTGACCAAAAATGTTGACTTTTCTTCTTCATTTGACAAGTTGAGGAAAGAACTACATAGCAAATGTCTCTTTATATCCACTTACAATGATTTTAAAGGACATTTAAAGGAAATGTCAAAATATTCTCAACTCAATCAGTGAAGGCCCTCTTCTGGAAACTGACAAGCATGAGTTTGAATATGAAGAAAATTAGAAATTTGAAGAAATAATAATAATAATAATAATAATAATAGTTATTTTTTAAAAGCAGAAGAGAGTTTTAATGAAAACGATTCAGAGGAGAGTTTTAATCAAAGTGATCCGGATCAACAAATCGTTCTTTGTGAATCAATTAATCTCTTAATTAAGTATGCCGACTTTGGTTGCACTTGTAGGCAGAAAAAAGCAGAAAATCCTCAAGGGGAGCAGAAACCGAACAAATATTTTTTTTATTCTCTTACAAAAGAAAATGAAAAATTTGTGATTAGATTTTTAAAATGAGTGATGATTAATGTAAAATCAACATTTGACTTTTTCTGATCACACTTTGTATTTTATTCGTTTGTTCTTTTTGGAATTAATTTTTTTGACTAGACGGGCGAACAAATAATCCAGGAGGGCAGGGAAGGTTGAGTAATCTCTAAACACAAATAGGTGAATTTGGAAAAGCTTGCATTGGTATCATCCAGTGGGGGTGGGAGGTGAGTCACAGAAATATCAGTAACAGAAGATGTAAGTGAGATTTAGGGGGATGAGACGGGTCAGAGAGTCTCAGGACATCTAGTGGATGGATGAAGAATGGCAGTGCAGGGGCCCCAGAGAGGGGGGAACGACACTGAAGGGGAGGACGGAGTATCAGACTGGAAGGGAAAAGAACTGAATCAAACTTTTTGACAAAATAACTGAACAGAAACATTTGTCTTCATTGTCAGCAAACACGGGACAGACAAGAAAAAAGACATTAATCTGAGAAATTCAAGTTCTGTGACTGCATTTCTGCTCTGACTTTCTTCCCAAACTAGACTCTCAGTGAAATCCTATCGATGTTATCTCCATAATTTAGATTGAATTTAGATTGTTTTTTCAACAATATCCTGTATAACAAGTCAGCAGCAGACCTACAGGTGAGACTTTATAATAGAAATTGTGTTGAGGCAGATAAAGCCGGCGGTGGCTTTGACCATCTTTTTGGCAGAGTGCACATGAGATGGATGATACAGTCGGTAATTATCAGCCCTCAACAGTATGTTAACATCAGAGTCAAAGACTCCCGGAGGAGAACAGGTGCTGCACTTATCCACAATTATCAATCACAATCGTCCTGTACATAAGTATTTTTATTCCTGTGTTTACACGCATGTAGAGAAGAAAAGGCATGAATGTTAGCGTGTTTTTTTGAATGTATTTTTGTATTCTCATGCACTTTATTTCTTGTAGAGGCCACGACTCATCATGTTGTTGGTTATTGGGCGAGGAAGAGAAACATGAGATACATCCTAGTTCCCTAGCAACCTCCTTATGCTTAGAAAAACTGCACTCTTTCTTTTCTTTTTGTTTTGTTTGCAAGTGGCAGCAGTTTGTTATTGATGTTGTATAATCTGAGCTTGCATTCCTCTTGAAAAATCTGTTTGTATTCTTTTTGGAGGCCCATTATTTTCACATGATGATTTCTGGTCACAATTATAGGTCTTGGTAGGGTACTTACTGACTTAGATGTATTGTTGTGCAGACTGAAATTGTTTGCAATTGTTTTTATAATGTTGCACCCTGCAGAGAGCACGCTAGGTGGTTCAAACATTACCCGTTTGGTTGTTTGTTTACCTCTCTTTCTGATGTCTGTCTTTCTTTTTGTTATTACCCTCTCTCTCTTAGATGTGAAGTTGGTCAGACTGAGTGGGTGCGCTGTAATATGCACACCCAGAAAATGTGCTGCTACCCGGTGTTCGGGCTAAAAGAAGGGACTCAGTACCAGTTCAGGGTTCGTGCTGTGAACCAGGCTGGAGCAGGACGTCCCTCCATGGCTACAAAACCTGTTCTTACTGCTGATCCACAGGAACACACCAGGACTATGGGTAACACACAACACACTCTTGACTGTCACCATGTGTCAACTGCTGAATTAAAAACACAAATTTACTAACAGACTCTATTTCACTTTTCTGATTTGTTATTTAAAATAAAATGGAGACTAACTCCAGGACCTGGTAATTGGAGATGTTTGATTGTGGCTTGAATTAGAGAGGGAAAACCCCCCGCTGAATGAGTTTGCTGATCCTGAACTCCTCTCGGAAAACCTAGAAATTAATGCAGTATCGCACAGTCACCATGGTAACACATTCATATCGCCTTACAAGGATGGGTTTTTTATCCTGAAGAAACAGGTGTGTTGGGCTTGTGATGTAATGTGTGCAGCTGGGAGCTTGTTAGACACTGAATGAAATTACATAAACATGGCAACTGCATTTAAATGATCACCCCTGAAATATCTGGTATGTGACGACTCTTTTTATGTTCTAATCTAAATGAAGGGTAAGGTTCAGTCTGTAATTTTTGACCTATTTGTTCCTTTATAAGTACCATAGACTGTATATGGAATGGATGCTGTCTGCCTCCTCGCTGGGGGAAGCCACCGTGAGAACAGCACTCTCTGGTGACGGGCTGCAGTGTAGGTCATAAGGCTGCATTCCAGTTACCTCGGATGCCGGATGTCGGAGCTGGGAATGACGCTACACCCGTGTTGACAGCGTTACAGTTAACAAGTCGGAAAACTTAGATGGACGCCTACAGTTACCCGGTGTTAGCTGTTGTTTTCAATTGTCAGCTGTCTTTAGCTGTTGTTAGCTATACCAGTTGTAAACAACGCATAACACAGTATTTTACTCTACAAACACCATAGCACCGTGTTCACAGTTAGACGTTGGGCAGTACAACATATACCACTTATTTAATTTCACAAAAACATAACAGAAGTGCTAAAAAATAATACGTTATGAGAGTTTTCATCGTTACTCTTTACTGTTGATGCACTGCGCTGCCATCTTGGATTATGACGTTGTTGTCAAGTCAGGGTTGGCGAGAATCGTCCGAGTTTCCAAGTCGAAATCGGACTCCAGTGGGGCGTTCCAGATGAATTTTCAACTCGAAGCTTGGAAATCCCGACTTCCAAGGACATCTGGAATGTAGCATAAATCCCGCCTCCTCCAACAATCCCTATGGAGCTGTGGACAAACTTTAGAAATTTATTACACAGAATATACATTTTTTCCCCCCTGCTTGCGATGTTGACATGTAGTTACAGTAAGACTGGTTTGTGCTCAAGTCCTGTTCTCTCTGTGCAGCTCCATTTTTAAAAGTTATTAGGGGGTTCATGTTTACTATGATTGACATTTGATGTAGCCTATAGGCGTACGAAGATTGCGTCGCTCACCCGGGGGATTCGCTGTTTAAGCGTCATCACAGTGACTCTCCTGCCGTATGTGTACAACGCTACTGCGCAAGTGGTGGTTCCAGGAAGTGAAGAAAATCCTGGAGATACCGAGAGCAATTCGGTTTCAAATTTGTATAATGACAGAAGGCGGAGCCAAGTTGTCCATAGTATATACAGTCTATATGTAGGTTAAAATACACACATATGCATAAATAGGACCCTTTGAGATGCACAAATGAGGAGATGGTACTGAAGCCACTCTCAAAAAGTTAACTCAGTTGCATTCTGGGTAATATAAGACAAATAAAGTCTTTGTTTAAATGTTTTGAACCTAGTCACTCACCTCAAATCCACCAATATTTTAAAAAGTGCAACTGAACCAGATCTGAATTCTTTCAGCAGGTTTTTTATTTCTCTGGTCAAGACTAAATAGACCAATTTACAGGTTGGATCCTGAGCAAATACTAGCTGTGAGAGTAGCTTCAAGGCTCTTTGTCATCCTTTTTACAACTTCTGAATTTCTCCGCGAGCAAACAAAAGCTGCTTTACACAAAGGTTTGGAGTATTTTGAAAGCTGCATGTGTAACACTTTGCTTCAAAACCTTACAGATTTGTTTGGTTATGTTGTCTTAAGTTTGATGACCTTTTTTTTTATTATTTATTAAAAATTTCTTTGAATTGTGATTACAAAGAGCACCAGTGATGTGTTTGAGACTCTTTCTAAGTGTTGGTTCACCTGTCAACTATATAAGGCTTGCAGAATATTCACCCTTCTTGTAAACGGATGAAGATGTGTGGGTGTGGATATTACTTTTGAGAGCCGGGAGGAACTGCAGTGGTCTCTGTAACAGCTTCTTAATGACATCCTGGAGTGAAGCTTTTTTTTTTAGTGGGTGACTTTGAGGTGTTTAGGATTCGTTAAATACTTCTGTACAGTGGGGGAATGAGAACTATTGAATGAAATCCAATGTAGAGTACACCAGAGAGTGTGTGCGTGTGTGTGTGTGTGTGTGTGTGTGTGTGTGTGTGTGTGTGTGTGTGTGTGTGTGTGTGTGTGTGTGTGTGTGTGTGTGTGTGTGTGTGTGTGTGTGTGTGTGTGTGTGTGTGAGTGTGAGTGTGTGTTAGACGGAGGACAGATGGGCTGTGGTCAGAAGCTGTGGATCATTAAACACCGATGAAGGACGGGCAGAAGGTTGACTTGCCTCCAGCCTGCGCTCCATCCTTCCATGTCTCTCTCTCTCTCTATCTCTGTTACCTTTTTGCGTCACTACCTCTCTTACCCGTGGCTGCTCCTTTAGCATTAACACTAATAGTGTTATCATGGCTTCTCATATAACTTCATTACCCTAATATTCTCCTTCCTTTATTCCACTCTCTACTCATCTACCTCCCTGTCTCTGTCTCCCTTCTTTTCCCAGTGGTCAAATACGACAGAGGAAGAAAGCTCACCATTACAAAAGATGAACTTGAAGGTGAGAACGACATCTTTTTCCTGCCACAGTGTATAATTTTACCATAAAGGGATGCTATTCGAACATATAAACGCCAGATTTCCTGCAGCCTCTGTGTTTTACTGGCTCACAAGGTAATGCCTCCTCTTCCTCAAGTTGCCCCAGGCTTGAGAGCTTAATGCATTTCTGTTTTATATTTATCAACGAGCTGCAGTAATTGTACAGCTGAGGCGATGAGCATTTGTTCCATTTACAGAAGTGAAGAGAGAGAGCAGTCCCTGGTCGGCTCCTGGTAAATGCACATAATGGCCTGAGGTAGTGTGAACGCCTGTGAAGAGGTCTGATAACCTTGGAAATGAAACTCACAGACAGAGCGAGATAAAGGGAGAGAGGAGTAGGAGGCAACCAGAAAACAAATGTAGCAAAGACAGGGCATTCGTATGCTCTTTAATAAACCCTATTCTGTGATGATTCAGAGCAAAAAGCTGAAGAGAAACACAGAAAACCACACAGGCATGAGTGTTGCTCTAAATAGCTGGAAGTTTCATTCATGCAAACCTAAGTACACACACATTTTAAGTGCTTTATTTGAAGGGGTAATGTCTAAATTTGCACATATTCAGTGTTTTCTGAAAGCTAATGGGCAGAGGCACATTTCTGTTGTTGACTTCGCCCTGCAGTTGAAGACAATTGATTCAATAAACAGTGACTATGAGGACCATTTCCATCTTTCCTGTCTGGTTTTAAGCAAAAGTGAGATGAACAGAGAAATAATCAGGAATGGTTTGGTAGATAGACAAAGAACCGTAACAGCATGTTTAGACCGAAAGTAAAGATGAACAACACATCTCCTTCATGTGTTATCCAAAAGTGACGCAAAAATTCTCCTTTGATTAAAAAAACTACACATTTGACCTTATCAGAGCTAAAACTGTGTAGAAAAGATTGACTCTCCATGCTGGGGTGTAGAAGTCCTGCCCCTTTTGATGACTAAAATCACTCACTGCAAAAACAGCCCTAATAAAAAGAAGCAAAATATTCTTCGGTTCAATCAAATAATCTTGTATCGAGCAAAAAAAAATCTGCCAACAGGGTAAGCTTTTTTTGCTTGACAAGAATTCTTAAAATAAGAACTTCTTGGCCCTGAAAGACTCAAATGAAACTTAAAACTAGACAGAAAATCTTATATTAATCTAATTTTTTCTACAGCAAGCAATGAAAAATGAAGATGAAGTTAAAATTACAATTTTTAGTCTCTTGAATAAATGAACTTCAAGAAAATTCACCTTAATTTAAGATTTTTAAGAAGCATGACAATAGTTAGCCATAAGTTATCCATTTTCTCTTAAAATTAGATATTTTTTCAAATGCAAAACATGCTTGTCATTAATATACTTTTGTACAAAAAATAAGACTTATTTCCTTGATACAAGGCTGTTTTCCTTTCTTGAAATTCCTTTCTTGTTGTGCATTTTACTTATTTAATAAATCACCAAATCTCTACAGACAACAGTGCAACAGCATCTTGTGTGTTTTTAAACAGAGACTCCAGCGACTCTTTTGTTAGTTTTAGTAATGTTTCTTCTCACTCCTCGCTCTGCCAATCCAATGCACACAGCACCCTAGGGGCTTCATTTGTCAAACTTGTCAGTCATGGCTGTCTACCCCTATTTACAGCCTCAAATAACTAATTAAAACTAAATTTCTTATAAAATAAACTTCTGGGTGTGATTCAGCATGAAAGGAACGCATTATAATGACAGAAACCGTGTCGAAGAACAATTTCTTTGTCAGATATTTGGATTTTAAAGTTTAATCCATTTCCGGTTTGTTAACATGGAGAAGCTGGCTTTGTGGTATGTATTAAAAACAGCCAGTGGGGGGAGCTGTAATGGGGCGTTCACACCAAGCGCAAGTAAAATCATCTACTTGCTTAATTCGCGCGTATGTTGATCATGGACAATCATTTACTTCATTCAGGCCATTTGTGCATCAACAGGCTGCTTAAAAAGCCGTGGATAGCTGCTAATGCTAATTTCAACAGTGATCCAACCGGCGAGATCAAGTGATAGACAAAGGTTTTTCACAATTTATCAAATAATCCGACCTCCTCACTCACTTTTCTCCAGGCAAGCTCCTTTTTATTCCTGGTTTTATAAAAAAAAAAAAAAAAAAAAAACTTGTCAAACAGCTCCGGGTATCCACACAGTTTCCCACATTAGTGAACATCTTCCGATCCGTTTTCATTCGTCACCTGGGAATCTTCATGCTGATTGGTTATCGCGACAGGAATATTTGCTTGGGTTGAGATATTTTCAACTTTCGCAAATTCGCGTTATTCCCACAAATTATTTGCTTAATTTGCATCATTCGCGCCGCCAGAGTAGAAAAAGCGTCTAATCGCGTCTTTGCATTGACTTTACATGTAATTCATTCGCGCGAATGAGTTTATTCGTGCTTGGTGTGAACGCCTCTGAAGTGTTGTGGAAGTTTGGGGATGTCATTTCAACAATTTTTCTACACAGAACGTACTTTAGATACTCAACAGTAAAAGTGACAATAAAATAGGTCCGAATGATCATTAATTTATTCCGTAGTTTAAAAGAAATACATCAACATGAAGAAAATATTTGACCTCCATTGGCAAACTGTCGGTCGTCTTATCATAATATAAATCTGAAATAAATTTAAAATGGTAAAAAAATGTGAGGAGGTCAAAAAGAGTCTCCTTTCCTGTTCCTTTCTTACTTTAAGCCTTTTTGTTATTTCGGGGTCTTAAATATTTTAGTTCAGGTTTGATAATTTAGCATTTTGCCCTCAGCTTGGTCTTTGGTAAGCAGCATGTGGAAACTTGACCTTTCTTGAACCCTTTCTTCGATATATGTATCATGGGTTTCTTTGGCTGCACAGGGCGGATCATTATTCTAGTGGATGTGTTTTTTTTACACATCGTGGATCCGGACTACAGCCTCACCTTCAGAATTAAACATTAGCTCTTTAACCCTGAAGTCTTGGTTTCATTTCAAATCAAAAACACTAAAGTGCCGAGATATAACAGTGGATACTTAAACCTAATAATACTTCAGACTGCACCATACACACACACATAAAGACATTAAATACTCCTGCTAGATCAGCACCTCTAATATTTCAGCACCCTCTTTGGTCTGAAGTTCCTCTCTGATCCGCACTGCAGCTCTGGAACTCTTCAGGGGATACAAACAGAGTCAAAGGGAAGACTTTTGTCTGGATCTGAACAGTCCTCTTGTCCTTGAGTCACTTGGCGTGTCATTGAAAGTGTGCTGACTTCGGCAATTGTATTATATCTTATTCAGGACTTTTATGTATGAGGAACTGAGGGGAAATTGGGGCTGCGAGGTAAATCTGTCCAATCGTGCGCTTGACTTGAATTCATCACACGGAGGTGTAACGTATTCTGATTTAAAACTGAAAGAAAATGGAGTACAAAAAAAAAGCTGCATTTGGACTCTACATTCATTTTCACAGACCTTTTTCTTCCTCATCCTCCTCTTCCTCCACCTCTCCCGTCTCTGCAGGTCAGGTCAAAGCTCCCCTACCTCCCACAGACGTCCACGCCTGTGAGGTGAGCGACACCTACGTGGTGCTGAGCTGGACCGAGCCCGATCCCAGAGGCAGAGAACCGCTCAACTTCTACGTGGAGCGGGTCAGTCTTCACGCCTACACATAGAGACACACACAGGCACACAAATGTTTATATTACAATAACTACTGGTTTCTCGGAGGGTAGTTAGCCCCTCGCCCTCTATCAAACGCTTTCCTCTTGAAGGACCACAACAAGGTTTTAAGAGCTACAAATCACTTTGCTCGTGGCCTCTTTCCAACTCATTCTGCAATTTTTCGATTGGTTTCTCACCTCCAGGGCAGGCTTAAGTTTGCAGGTTGGCAAATCGACATGCAGACTCTTTAAACTGGCGTAAATGGGCAATCCATCACTTGTACACCAATTTTTTTGGTGAAAGTTTTGTTGATATTTAAAGTACAAAAGTTCAAAGGAAGGATTTAAAAGCTGCTGCATTCAGGGGAGCTCTTACATCTGACTTATATCAGGGTTGGCTGTAAAATTACACAATGACGTTAAGGAGAAATGAGAGAAATATGACAAAGAGGTTCCAGGAAAACCTTAATATTGCAATTCAGTCTTGAACTCATAAATTCATGGAATTTTACAAACAAGTTTCAGGATTTTCTTGCCAAACTGAGCAGCAAATGTTTGTTCTTAGTTGTCACTGAGGTGATTTATTGTCTGCAGAAAAGATAACTGTAATCTTTGCTGTTGTTTTTTAGCTGAGGGAGTCTAGTGTTTTCCAAAAAAGCTTCTTTTGGCTCTGATTTGTACAGCGAGATAGCAGCCTTATGATTAAAATGATCTTTGAAAAGGCTTTAAATCTGTAGCCGAAATGTATTAAATTTAGGTGAACGTTTTAAATCAGTATGTTTACATGCACAGTTAAGTAGAGCTATGGTTATCTCATAATTAGTTGATTTATTTGGACTATTATCTTTGTCGCACTTTGCTAGCACAGGACAGAAATCTAATTACTGACAGAAGTAGGTTGACCTCCGTTACTGTAGGTGGCGATGTGTCCCGTTTTTTTTCTTGTTGCTATCTTTCGGTTGACGTATCAAAACAGTCGGCAAAAGGCCTTAGCAAGGAAACAGTGAAAACACCATCGCTTTTACAGCTCTGTACCATTTGTTTGTATGATAGGAAGTTCAGTCTTTTTAACGTCCTTTCATTGTGTTGATGTTTTGTTTACTACCTGGCTTTCTAGCAACACATCCAAGCTATTTAATTTCCCGCTCAAAGGCTGACGTGCAGACTCTGTTTGATTTCAGTCGTGTTTACGTTAGGATGACCATATTCTGGATTCTGGATTCTCAAAAAGAGAACACAACTACCTGGGGCGGAGTCATGGAGTGGTGCTTGGTAGATTTTGAGTTTTCTGGTGGGGTCAAGTGTTTTAACGCGCTTCTAACTCAGCAAACTCAAAACTTCTGTACAAAAACTGCGGACATCTCTAAGATTTTATAAACTCCCCCCAAAAAAGAGGACATGTCCTGGTAAAAGAGGACATATGGTCACCCTAGTTTACACAAAAAGTCCAGTTTCTGTTAAACTAAGGCAATAACCTTTTTATTTTTTATATGTAAACATCCTTAATTAGTTAATTTATTTTAAGAGATGAAAAAATTGTTAACACATCTTTAGAGTGCATCTTTTGCCGTACAACTACTGCACTCTCCCTAGGACCGAGCATTTCCAACAACAGTGAAGGCGCCCACAGCAGGCAGACACAGTCAGCAGCTCGCTCATGAGCTCAGTTGAATATTACAGCAGCCAGATGTTTGCCTGCAGGAGAAAAAGAGGGCGAACTAATATTTGCACTGAGGGCAAATGAAATTAATGAAAAAATAGTTAACTGTTCACTGTTTATTCTGTTTATTCGAGTTTCTCTTTAAAGGACGCACTGAGGTGTAAAATTACCTTACCATAGAGCTTTTTTGCTACTACAACCCAACCAGACGTATTCTCACTCTCTTGCTCACAAACAAGTGTAAATACTTTAAAACACGACCAGCATCATCATTAGTAACACTCACACATCCTCTGAACACAAGGATCAATGTTCTTGCACCGTCACTTCCTTCACTCGTTTGTTAACTTTGTTCAGTCTGGTGCTGGAGCATGAGCCGAATAAACAGCAGGCCCCAACAACCTACAGCACTAATCAAAGAGAAACACACACACACACACACACACACACACATACGAGAGTGTGTCCTCCTCTGTGGTGCCAGTTTAATGGGAATTGGTGGACTCATTAAAACCAAACAGACCTTGATTTTGCTCTTTCATGCCATGTGCTTCAACACCGGTGGTTTGATTGTCCTGCTTTTACTCTTGAAAGATTCATTCCCCCTCTCTTTTACACTTCATTAAAATCCACCTGAATCAAAGTCCTGAGATTTTTGTTTGTATCTAAGAGTTGTAAAAAGTTCTTTCTTCTGTTTACTTCTTTATCTGTTAAAAATAAGTTTCCCATCAACTCAAGATTTGAAGTTGAAATGGTGGTTGCCAGGATATCATAAGTTCTCTTCCAACATGTCAAACTACTCTTTTCAACAATAAAAGGCCTCAGCTCTCTGATATTAACCCAGACAGCCCAAAGCTTCTGGCTCCAATAATCTGAAAACTGCCACAGGAAACAGATTTTTATTGGACTTTAGCTACCAGTGTAATAAAACTGTCAAATCTGTCAAAGGCTTTTGAAATTACTGAAGTCTACCGCCTCACTTCCGCCTTTATAATGAAAGGAACATTCAAATATTTCTTCGCCCTTGAGCAAGCTCTTAATAATCGCTCATCTCTTTCATATGCCCCATACTATCATTAGGTTTCTCCCCAACAGTGAGTCACAGAAGGATATATTGGTAAATCAGACTTCTAAAATAGACTTATCGTGTCATATAGCGCCATTACCTCGGACAGAAATGGAGAAAAGATGTCCAGAGGAGTGGCTTGTTGTCCATTTTGTTCATGTCAGTCCATTTTTTTTCTTGAAAACCTCTTTTCCTCTCCATGTGCTCTACTCCTCCTGTAAGTCTCTGCCCTCGCCACCTCTGATCTGCCAATCTTTATTCTTTATGCCCTCATCAGTACTTTAATAGTTTGTTTTAAAACTCGAGAATCTTAAGTTAACTACAGAGAAAATGAGCTAAAATTAAATAAAATATGTGACATTTGAAGGAGTTTTTGGCAGCCCTTTGCTCTTGTGCAAATTGAATCCTCGAGCATATTTGAAGGACACTGAATAATGAGCACATCCCTGAGATGAAAAGCTCTTCTGATGTTATCTTTGCACTTTTCTTACACCATTCTTGGATCAGTCTCTGGTAGAGACGAGCAGCTGGGAGCTGGCCAGTCTGGATGTGGTGGTGAACTCTCCTAGGTTTCCAGTTTTTGACCTGGTCAAGGGGAAGCAGTACCGCTTCAGAGTGCGATCCATCAACAAGTACGGTGTCAGTGACCCCTCTGAGCCCAGTCAGCCCATCTCCTTGGGCAAGCCACAAGGTAAGAAAAGGTGCTACTGCAGGTATTTATTCCTCTGCAGGTTAATTTTGTGCTTTGTAGTTTTTTTTAAATAAAAGAAAACCGATTTTGTTTATCGTTTATAAGTTTTTCTCAACCCAACTGATCGTTTTCTTGTGACACGGAGCAAATAGTTTCTTGGTTTGCAGATTTTTGTCACAATTTTAACAATTGTAATGATTCGTATTGTCATCAAATAGACCTATTGTACCTTTAAAGTATAGATCATTACCTCAGTTCACTCTTTTTAGTTGCCGTTGAGACTATGACTCTGGCCTTATTTAAAGTGAGCAATAAAAAAATACTTGAAAAAAATCTATAAAGAGGAATCAGTGGGGATCTCAAAATTGGACAAACAGATAATCTCAGTTATAAAACAAGCTTTTTTCATCTTAAACTTTTATCCAGAGTTCTTTTTATTTATAACATTTTCCTAACATGCTTTTACAACCACTCATCTACATTTTTGCTCACATCTCACTTGACGTTTAAGTTAGCCAAACCTCTCTGTCTGATTTGCAGCTGGTTTAGAGGTCTGTGTTGCACCCCTGCGCAGCGTGCTGCAAGGGGAGAAATAGAAAGAAAAACAGACATGTAGTTGCTGGCTTTTATTCCATAAATGTAAGAAGAGCCGCAAGCAACATGCTCCCCCTGCTGGCTGTAAGCGGAAGTGTCTGGACCTGTCAAAACAGGCGATTACAAACATAAACTGGCACTTTACTATTTAATAAACTTTAAAGATGAACTTAACTGTCAACAATATGAACTCTTTTACATTTTTATGCCATTTTTACTGTTTTTAACATTTTTAAATGTCACTCATATCCATCACATCTGCAGCCCACATCAGAACAACTAAACATCTGCATTACTTGAGCGTCTCTGCACCAGCTCCCTTTGCTCCTTAAGGTTGATTTTAAGACTTTATTATTAATGTTAAAAATCAATAAATGGGCCAGCTTTAACATTTCTCTTTGACCTTTTAAAAATCTTGTTCCCAGGAATCTCTGATCTTAATATCATTTGCTTCTGGCTGTTATAAGGTCAAAGCTGATGCTACGGGGTGACTAAGCTCCATAACTCTTAAATGCTCTACAATCACATATTCAGTTGATTCCCAAACTTTTATTCTTTGACTTTTAGTTCAGCAGAAGAGATTGTTTTTATCTTCTTTTCTCTTTCTGGTCTTTACCATTAAACTTTTTATTATCCTGTTGTTTTATGGTTCTTTATGTTGCACATTGGTAGGCTTTGGATGTTTTCAAATCCACTTGTCATTAATTTTGATTGGATGACCGGAAATATGATGATTGAATTATGTGTTTCAACTTTTTATCTGTTTCCTATCAGCTGTGCCAGCTCCTCCTCACTCAGTCCTGGTCTTCAGAGACACAGACACCTCAGTGCTGCTCAAGTGGCAGGAGCCCAAAGACAAAGACGACATCCTGGGTTACTACCTGTACTACAGTGAAGTCGGCAAACAAGACTGGCAGACTATCAACAACAAGCCTGTGACCGACACCAGGTAATGGTAAAGAGCTTGTTCTTTTGAAAAGGTTTCAGAGAAGGTACCTTGATACATAGTGATGTTTTCTCTCCTCAGATTCACAGTCCATGGCCTCAAAACCAGAAAGGAGTACGTGTTCAGGGTGAAGGCTGTGAGTCGAGCTGGAAACAGTAACTATTCAGACGAGTCTCAACCCATCCTCGTCAAATCAGCCATTCGTGAGTGCAGACCGTCACAGCTGTCATGAGCAACACAATCCGAGCATCAAGAACTTTTTTTAAAGAAACATTTCTGAAGCTTTTCCCTAACTCACCAGCTACTTTGCATTTGATTTGAAATGAGTTATGCGCAGCGAGGGTCTTAGCAAATTTCTTGACTACACTGAAAAGCCAAGAGGGGTCACAAACCTCACATAAGGTGCTTCATTTGCAGACGTCAGCTGATTAAATGTCTTAAAAACTCGGTGTACACAAGCACATGGCTTGTGTGTCATGTGATAGATTTCCTTGGCCCAGGACAGGAACACAAGCCTCACATCACTTTGTGCACGGTGCAGACAGACTGTAACCGTGTGGTCCTTAAATTTCAGTGAAGGTATCTTCAGAGTGACATTTTTGGGAAAGCCTTTTGCTGTTCAAGCACAGCAGACCCCCCTGTGGACAAAACAAGGTCTATAAAAACATGGTTAGGTACACATTTGGTGGGACCTTACAACTCCCATGAGTGAGTCAGGTCTTCTTGTTAAACATCATACAGTGCGTCTAACAGCTGGATGAGTCCATGTTCACAAGAGCGGCAGCTGAGTTGCATTTCAAACTAGCGCCAGTATCTATCATTTATATTATATCTATAATATAGATATTTAATTATATCTATCTATTTATCTATCATACAAATATGCTAATGAGAATACTACATGGTCAACACATGTATCAGACCCCAGTATTCCTGGTCTAGAAGGAATACAAAGGAGTAATGGTCATTTTAAGGACCTGAAAAAAACACTATTATTTGGATTTTTAGGGGTGGTGAGAGTATTTTCTCATTTACAGAGTGATAAAAACAGAGATCCAAAGTCCCCTCCTCTCCCCCGTCTGACTCCAGTATGTCAACAAAATAAAACTTTAATAAGATATTGCCTCATTTATATATTCAAACATAACATTTGACAAAATTTGTAATACAAAAAATGTTTGTCTTAATATTAATTATAAACTTGGTAAGTTTCATGGTGATATCTGTAAGTTCAAAATTTTACCCTATCCACCAGAGGTGTCTCCCCTGGGCGCTATATTTTTTTTGTAGGACGGTAGGGGACAAACCCCGCCTCCTTTACCTCTGATTGGCTGGAAAAGCTCATCACACGCTCAAGCCAAACGCGGGCTGTTGACTCTGTACATCGAACAGAACATAACAGAACATTGTCGCACTTCCAAATCTCCTAACCCAAACCCGACACACGATGATGTTTCACAGCCATTAGGAATAACCAATCGGACTTCTAGCCAATCAGAGTTGAAGGAGGGTGGGACCCCATCTTAAAAATGACACCTTTCTAGAGGTCAAACTTTGGTAAACTTTTAGTATGTTATTAAGGACACCTAATACTTTAAAAAAACAGTTGAGAAACCTTTTGTTAGAATTATTTTAGGGTTGGGTGTGGTAGTTAGATATCTACTGACCTATATTTAAGTTTTTAATGCATCTAAAAGCCTCAGAAGAAACTCATATTTATTCCTCTTTAGGTAAAAAAAAAAAAACGTATTCCCCTTCTAGAATCATTCTTGTTTGCGACTTTTCAAGTAAAACAAAAACCTTGTTACATATTCAACTAAGCGTCCTCATGTCAATCTCCATATCCTGTCATCTACTCTTATTACACGACTGTCAGGCAGTGTCTGAAAAATTCAAGCTTTAAAATCTGCCTGAGGAAGAGCAGCTGACCCTCTTCGCATCCCGTGCTGAATTCTCCGATAATACGCTCTCTGCTGCACGCAATACAGTGCAATGATGACTCAGATTTGCATGCCATTCGCTGCCGGAGTATTCTCACATCTACTCTTCCACTGGGACATTACCTGAGGATATATGGCTGGAGTCCAACTCTATGCAAGAAATGCATTTTAATAAAACTGAATATGAGCTGAATATTTCTTGGGTCTCATTTAGGATTGCCTGATATTGGCCCACAGTTAAGATTTTGCTTCTCCGGAGAGGAGCTGTATGAACTGAGGAGTTTCGCTTTGTCATTTCTCAGTCTATTTAGCAGGAATGTGTCTCTGCTGAGATTCTCTCCTCTGTCACCTCTCTTTTGTGATTTCCACCGCTTGTTCCAGGTGTCCCCTCTGCGCCCTCTGCCATCGCCCTGCTGCTCTGTACTGGAACGGAGATGGTGCTGAGCTGGAGGGCCCCTTCCTATAACGGGGGAGACCCCGTGCGCGGATACTACCTGGACCAGAGAGAAAAGGGCATGGAGACATGGAGAGAGGTCAACGTCAAGCCGGCGAAAGAGAGGCAGTATAAGGTCAGAGACGTGGGATAGCATGTCTTACTACTGTTTTACTTTTTCTCTGTATCCTAACGAGGAAAAATAATAACTGGAACAACCTCTGAGTGGCCCCTGTCTGAACAGCATACCTGAATCCAACACGTGGTAAAAAGAACCAAACAGCATATATAGTAGATCACAAATGAGCCATCTTACTTCATTCCTATCTTTGTCAAGAGCTGCTGATGAAAGTAGAGGTATACAAATGGTTAAAAGTGACCGAGCGAGCAGCATTGGTCGATCGTGGAGAGAGTGGAGAGAGAGATAGAGAGCACTGTTATAGGTTATGATGCAGCAAAACTAAAAAAACAAGAAGTGCACAAGGATGCAATGACTGATGAGACTAAATTTGTGAGAAAATTATAAGAGACAGACCATAGACTGTATATAGGATGGACACCACCTGCCTCCTCGCTGGGTGAGGCCACCGCAAGAACAGCACCCTCTGGTGACGGGCTGCAGTATAGGTCATAAATCCCGCCTCCTCTAGCAATCCCTATGGAGCTGTGGACAAAAGTTAGAAATTTATTACACAGAATTTTTCTACCCCCTGGTTGCGATTTTGACATGTAGTTACTGGACGACTGGTTTGTGCTCAAGTCCTATTTTTTCTGTGAACCTCCATTTTTAAAAGTTATTAGGGGGTTTATGTTTTCTATGATTGACACTTGATACAGCCTATGGGCGTACGAAGGTTGCGTAGCTCACCCAGGGGATGCGTTGTTTTAGCAGAGTGTCATCATAGCAGCTCTCCCACCGAACGAGTGTCTACAACGCTACTGCCCAAGCGGTGGTTCAAGAAAGTGAAGAAAATCCCGGAAATACCGAGAGCAATTCGGCTTTAAATTTGTATAATGACGAAAGGCAGAGCCAAGTTATCTATACAGTCTATAATACAGACAGAAGAAAAACACTCTCATAATGCAGTAGATTAATGTGGTAATATATAGCTTTCAGGAAAAATCTCATTCATTTTGCCCTCAACATTATGTCAGGAATTATTCTGCATTCAGGGACGTCTTCTATACCAGCACCGTGTGCAGGTCGGAAATCAAAAGTAACAACAGGATGTTGTGGTAACTGATGAATAGACCTATAACATATGGAGGCTTCATAGCATCTGCAGACCCTGAAGTAGTGAGTGAATGTACACAGGCTGTGAAATGATAACCTTGACCGCTGGTTTAATAATGTTCATGCATTTAAGTGTTTCAAATGTGATATATTTTTGGTCTCTTTATTCATCTTCCTTCAGTAAAGCAGACTAAAAACAATTTTGAATCCTCTGAAAATGTCCAGCCTGCTTAATGTCCATGTCTTCAAATCTGGCCCCATTATTAATGTAATTAAATAACCCTGATGTAGACAGTTTAATTTCCAGTGATGTGAGTTTTCTTCAGAGTGATTGTACCTCGTCCAGTCTACTCAGAAGAAGACAGTGGCTGTGTCCAATATTTACGACCCAGTATCCTGTTGCATGTGAGGAACCCAAGGACAGCCATGCAGGCACTCTGTGGATTATCTCCACTTCTTCCTGTCTGTCATCCACCGTACTTAGTTTTCTATTGGTGTCTCTAACTGTATCAACACCACCTACGATTATAAAAACCTTTTATTCCTGGCCGACCTTAAGTGCATCTATACAGAGCTGCTAACATGGTTGGCCATTCACAGCCAGTCTTTTGTCTAGTTCATCCTTGTTTCCTTTCACCTCGTACTCTTGAAGACTTGAAAAAACTCTACACACCGCACATGTGAGTTTGTAGTTTCTGGCCGTACTAAAGCAAAAAGAAAAAGTTAAAATAATCAATTAAAAACTAAACTCAGCACTACCAAAAAGGCCTTTCTTTTTACTTACACAGAACAATACAAATTACCTCTCTATTAAGCAGTTGCCTGAAATTAAAGGCAGTCTTGGCTAAAGCTCCCTCATCCACAGTGACTGTGTCACTAGGCAACTAGCAGTGTCCATGGAGACCCGGAGCAAAGTTAAATCTTGAACCTGTCTGGGTGAGATTACAGGTGTTCTTAATTAGACATTGTTGAAATATGTTATGTGTGAGTGGTTGTTATTAGCTCCTGGAATAAACAAAGGCAAAGTTAATGAAAGAAAAATGAATGGGGTCTTGTGTTTATCAAGATTATCCCTAAATGTGGAGAAGAGGGCGTCTAGAGGACTGGCGAGTCCTCCTTTTTAACAAGAAGGAACCCTCTGTTGAGAATGAGCAGCTCCCCCTTTTGGGGTAAATGAGCGATTTCAGACATTTTCCTGTCCCCTACCTGCATGAGCTGTTATTCTAATCTGCCCGGTGGCTTCCTGGATGCAATTTGGAGTAATTGGAATATTGATTGTGCCGGGATTTCGTGCTAAAGGCTTGTTTTCCTTCTCTGGTTGAAACCTGAACAACAGCTTTCACAACTTTAGCTGCAAGATGAACCTGTTACTGATTCAGCAAGGGTGTTCCTGGTGTTATTAACACCTTTTGATCAAAATAACACACTGAATCATCGGTATCATTAACTTTAATAAAAGAGCAAATAATGCTCATTAAAACCTCATTAGAAAAAAAAGAGGTTTGCTTTAAAAACAAACTTGGGGGACAGAAGCACTGCCAGCAAAACTGACTCAAGATTTCATATGAGATGTCTATAGATTAAAGGGATATTCCGGCGTAAAATTAATTTAGGGTCAAACACACCGTAACACCGAGTTAGACACCCCCTCGAGAGATGAATGTTGTTGACCGCTTGCTTCTCTAGTTATACCAACTTTAGTAACGACCGCACGATAGCAATACACAGCTGTCTGAGGAGCCATAAACAAACCTCAATGAAAAACGCCACTCTATTGCCACAAATAATTCTCAGAACAGCACCTAACTTCATCAACAGGACATATAGGGTCCCAGCCATAGTACTAGCCACCAAACATCTTTTTGACTTTGTCTGATTTCTTTAGCAAAGAGACTAAACACAACTTACCTGCTGTCTTCCAGCAGCCGCTTGTTTGTAGCGAGACCTCAGGCCAGTCAATTACGGACTTCAGTGGGGTGACGAAGCTCAAGGAAGAACATTTATGATCATTTCTTCATGGAAATACAATCAGACCGAGACACTAAGGCAGAAGAACTACAGCGTCTGCAGTGCAAAATGATTAATATGGTGATTATTACTAAAAGGAAATGATAAAGTAAAGTAAATGTGGTATAACTAGAGAAGCAAGCGGTCGGCAACATTCATCTCTCGACGGGGTGTCTAACTCAGTGTTACGGTGTGTTTGACCCTAAATTTATTTGACGTCGGAATACCCCTTTGAGAGTTTTACCCATTGAGATTATACGATATAATACAGCAAAAAAGTTGAAAATGGACATGTTTGACCACCGTTTTTTTGTACTTTTGTCCAGCCTCACTCAAAACCGTCAAACTATAATGCCGTAGTTTTCAAAAATGAAGACTAAAAAACTCACTTTTTCTCTTTTGTTTATTCAGAATTGTATAATTTTCCTTTTTTCATATTTTGTGCCATTTAAATCAAACCAGTTAGAGGAGAAATGTTCAAGCTATGAGGGATTCATGGACATGTGAGTCATGACAAGAGGACCCTGATACACACTAACTCTTTGTAGGGAAACTGATGGACTGATTTTCTCCTTTTAAGAGAAAACCTTCATTATTACTGTGAGCAGACAACTGTTCATTATTAAACCCAGTTTCAAACCACTTTAAGTAGAGTGTCAGGCTGCTTTTTTATGACGATAAAACACAGATGACACTTTTTTCAAACCAGCTGCTGCTCTCTTATTGTAAACAAAGACCCTGTACCATTTATTAACCCACTTAAGCATGTAAATATGAGTTATTTAATTCAAATGCACCCTGTTTGCCATCTAGTGGATAAAGTGTGTACAGTATTCTCCTCTGTTCCGTAAAACCATATTAGTTTTGGCCCCTCACTGTAATCCATCTGCTAAAAAGATTGTCATTCCCCGTAAATATAGTCCAAGAATGAGCTATAGAGGATAAAGGGGTTGGTATGTGGGGTAGGGGAGGGGGCTATTGGCTTTTAGACAGCAATTGCTATTATTGTGAAATCACCTCTCTTTGGTTGTGGCAATTAGGGGGCAGAAAGCAACGGCAAGAAGTTCACAGCTGTTCCTGGACACGATAAGGGCCTAAAAGTCTAAGTGGCTGTGAATAGAGAGATCAATGTTCAGATCAATAAGCTTGAATCTCTTCTCTTCCTGATGCCAAAGCGCCTCATGGGCTCAGTGCAAAATGCTTTGGCAGCAGCAGCAGAGATTATACCTTGTAAAGTGCCTGCTTCAGTCAGGAGTGGTGTAACTATATGTCTGGTGAACTTTCGCTCCTTGATGATCTGAGCGAAGAGAGTCTCTTTACATAAACATGAAGGAGGGACGGTTTAATGCTGCTTTAGCAAGAACCAACTTAAATCTAACTTTGGGAAACAAACTGTATTCATGTTTAACTAAAATCGATAAAGAAATAACATTGAGTGGCTTAACAGGATTGATTCAGCCTCTAATAGAGTCGATCAGCTCGTCTGTGATGTGTTTCCACAGGTTTGTAACCTCACCAGCGGACACTTCTACCAGTTCCGTGTGTTCGCCGCCAACATGGCCGGTGTCGGGAAGCCCTCTGAGCCGAGTGAAACTTTCCTGTGTGAGAAGTGGACAATGCCGGAGCCAGGTGAGGAGGAAAATGTCTTTTCATTCTCTCAGACTGCTGCACAATCCTGTATCTCTGCATGTGTCAAAGTGTGACAGTTAGATAAGAGAGAGCGGCTTGACTTGGATAAAAGCAAAATAAATCAATGTCAGCTATCAGGGTTACTGCTGATATGATTGATGAAGCATATCTGTCTGACAAAAAGTTCACGTGCATGATTAGAAAATCAACTTCCTCTTTTACCTCACTTAAGAGGCACATCAGCTTTAAGCAGGGATGAATAACTTAAAAATTTAAGGATTTTATTCTGCATGCCTCTTAGTGGACAATACTAAAACTTTATAAGGGTGAAATAAGGATAAAAAGACTATTGATTAACTGTTGGGCACTACACCATACACAACAAATCCGTTTTAATTTAAAGTGGCTCCATCAGAAGTCCGTATGGTCATCTCTAAAGTAAAAGGCCAGGGCAAAAGAAGTACAAGAATAAAAACAGGTTATTTGCATATGACGCGATTAAATTGCCAAATGAAGGCGGAGGTCAGCAGTCAAGAGCGTAATACAGAGGCTGCTGTAATAGCTTTAGTAATAGCCTCAAGTTAGAGGTAGTTAGTGGACTTAATTCTGTGATGAATATGTATGACTCGTCTTTTAATGTAGCCCCGACTGGAGAGCCCCTTAGTCCTGAAGCCACGCTCAGCTTTAGTGTCTCTGTGTGAAATTTTTTTTTCCCAAATTGGTGCAAAAACAAATTTGTATGTTTGTGAGCCAAGAATCTCATCTGACTTAAAATTTCTTGAATTTTTAATCATTGTCTCCTTGAATTTAATGGTTTTGGTTAAAATAATTAATCTACCAAAACAAAAGGGAAAATTTCAAGATTTTCTTCTTTTCTGTGTTAATTTCTTCTGTTAGAATTTTTTAACTGGTTATGAAATATATATACGCATTTAACACATTCAATCGATTGTGTGCGCTGTTGTGCTCATTTGACAGACGCAATCCTTTGTGCAACCAAACATCGTTTGCTCGTGTTTTTGCACACACAAACCTTTAGTAGATTAGGCCCTTAGTCTTCACTGACTATGAAGCCAAAAGGTTTAGAGCTCCCCCTACTGACTGTCTGCAGAATAGGTCATATACCCCACCTCCCTCACATTAACAGATGGATGGAACATGAGTCAAACTATGAAGTTTCTGTCAGTATGGTTAGTTCTTAACATGTTGATATATTTTCTGAGGTTTTTTTTTTTTTGGTTATTTGATTTTAGGAAGATGATTGACTGACAGCCCTTTTTTTGCAGCGTCAGCAGGCTGTATACAATCAGAGTAACCTTCACTTACATGTAGACTTGGCTCTTATATAGCCTGAGTGGTCAAAACCCCTTCAAACAAGTCAGAGCTGCATCAGACACTCCATGCTGCTGTCTTAAAGTTATTACATTAAGTGCATGGTTAAAACTACAGTTGAAAATATCAGCAGCTTTTCCCCCTTGCATGTGGACTGACTGAAAAAAAAGTTTGTCTCCAGCTGAAGAAACAATGAACCTGAGATAATAAAAGTGAGAGCTACACCCTTTTATTTTTATTAAAAACACACATACTGTATGTTTGCACAGGCACACACACTTTTAAAGTCATTTCAGCGCGTGGCGGCGCAGCCCGACAGCTCTGGCCCCCGCTCATATCAGCTTCTCATGGCATTAATATCGAGGATGGAGAGAGGCTCTCTCGCAAATGCCACTTTTAAAACGCAACTCATTAATCTTAGAAAATGGGCTTTCCTGCATGACTTCAATAATTTAAAAGTGACCGAAAATCATTAAGCAAATTAACTACCACATGCCAGCATGAAGTCAGGAGGGGTAGATTACAGAGAGTGGCTTATTTTTGAGTTTAGTCCCTGGTTTGTTTTATTATTACTTCCTAGTGGTGACAAAGAGGGCTCTTTATTATAGAGTCAGGTTATATAAACAGGCTAATATATATATATTTTTAGTTTTAATGGCTCGGGTTTTGGACACAAACACACTCCCTTCACAGTAACACTGACCCTGATGTGCAGCGTGTCAGTGACCCTCACTCCTCCCTCTCTCAGGTTGTCCGTATGACGTGGAGGTGAGAGAGGTTAGAGACAGCTCCCTCGTGCTGCTGTGGGCTGCTCCGCTGTATGAAGGGAGGGGCCCTGTCACTGGCTATTTGCTGGAAATCAGCCAGGGTGACCAATCAGACGAGTGGACAGCTGTGACTGAAAATCTGATCTCTGACACACATTACAAGGTAAGAGTGTTACAAGCTCAAGATCATAAACAGAGATTAAGTTCACTTGAATACACTGTTTTCTCTGCTTTTCAAGATTTTAAAGCCCCTCAAACAGGCCCAGCTGTTGAAATAATCATGCTGACTATGATTGGTAAATATTTTATGTGTTTCTTATGACTTCCAGGTGTCAGGTCTCCAGGCGGGTCAGACCTACCGACTGCGTGTTTCAGCTGTCAATGAGGCAGGAGTGGGCTGTGCTTCCCTGCCCACTGAGCCAGTTACCGCTCAGACCAGACCAGGTCAGCCGCTGTGGTTCAAGACGTACCAACACTAATAAAAAAAACCCTCCCCTGAGGCCTTTAGGGGCTGGACTGAAGATACAACAGCATACAAAGCAGCCACACATTAAAATTGATTTGGGAAATGTTTATGAGTGCCTTTAATAAGCAAGTCCAACATTCAGAGAATTGGGATTTCTGTTGCTTTCTTGCTAGGAGCGAGATAAGTGGATAAATAACTCTCTTGTGTTTGAATATTATGAAAGCAGCTCCAACAAGGAGACTGTGAGCTTAGCAAAAAGACTGGTAACAAAGGGCTTCTAGCTTCATAAAGATGAAGTGATACAGGTTGGATTAACCCTAGAGCACTATCGCTAAAATTAGTAACACCATCACTATCGCCGGGTGATTTTTACCCGAAATAATATACCCAAGAAAAGGTACTTGTCATCAAAATATATCAAAATAGGACAATTCGTGACAAATTAAAGTAGTTTTCTTTTATTTTTAACTGTGTAAGGTGCAAAGGGAGGGGGGAAAGTGCCATGAAGGGACCATATAAACATGCAACAAAATAATATATAGAGAGAGAAACTGTAAACTTAGTCTCTTTTCCACCCATCCTGGGGCATGTGAGTCTTCCCTGGTGAAGACTCGGGGTCCTTTGGCACAATAACAGCTGCAGGCGAGAGAGAACTAAAGTATGGCAGATTTTCAGTGAGTAAAAATGACCAGCTGACTAAAATATTTCTTATCACCATATGAATTCCCTTGAAAATCACTACTTTGTAATAGTTATTCATAACCACTGTGCTAAATAAAGATAGCATGCAAATTCCAGGACCACTCTTACTGACCTTATTTCCTACATGCAGCTATGAAATCCACCCAAATCTACTTTACCCTCTATCACCCGAACACGTGCCTGTAGGAAAAAGCAGGTTTTGGATCAGGGAAACAAATACGCCTTCAAAGATGTCAAAGACAATGCTGAAGTTACCCAGAGACCCATGATACTCAGACAAACACAACATAATGAAAATCACGGAAACATGTTTGGTCGGGTGAAAATCACCCGGCGATAGTGTTCCAGGGTTAACTTTCCAAAAATGCTGAAAAATAAACACCCACAACAGATCAGGGATTACTCCAGCAGCTTTTTTCATTTCTAAAATGTGTCAAAATATGTTTATTATTCTGTTATCATACAAAATTCAAGAGGAAATCAGTTAAATTCAAAGCATATGCATAATAAAAAAGCTCTGTATTATGATTCAGTCACCCTCTCCATTCTAATTTGATGACAGTGTCGATGAAAAATCGCAGGCTGAACCAAACGTATAATTCTCACTTATTGTCTTTTTCTTGCCTCAGGTACCAAGAACATTGAGATCGGAGTAGACGACGATGGTTTCATATATCTTGGCTATGAAGCTGATGAGATGAACGATGAGAGCGAGTTTCTCTGGGGCAAAAACTACTCCGAGCCCATCGACGCTGGGAGAGCACATGCAGAAACCAGCAAGAACAGGTGTGGTGGTTTCGGCTCAGAATCGACTCTTTAGCTTTTACTTTTTGGAAATCTGGTTGAACACAGGTAGTATTTAGAAGAGAAACACAAGAGCATCACATTAAATTCGATTCTAAACAAACTAGGAGGGGGAATAGAGGGAATATCTAATAAGAAATTACCATTGTTATGAAGAAACTAATAGACTTTGCATACAGACATTAGATTGATTGAATTAGCTTAATTAAGCGCCACATTTGGAGCTACTCTCACGTGGGTTTTCACTAAATGTCAGCCTCTTTTAATTATCCGTCCTTGTAGCTTTAGGGGAGTTGCATTCAAGCTTCCATGTTCCACTTGCTGATAGCTTGAAAAACAATTTGATTTTTAAGTCCAGTTGGCTGAAAGGCATTTGGATCAAATTTGTCGTGTACAGACATGTGATAGGTAACAGCATGAAACTTGGGCCTCTCGAAGACGCTCCCTTGATACATTTTTCTATGTGTCTGTCAGGTCAAAGCTCACCTTCACAGACCCCTCTGAGGAGGATCTGGGTCTCTACACCGTGGAAATGAGTGACAACCCGGACCTGTCATCCAGCTACGACTTCACAGCTGAAGGTAAACCGAAACATGAGGGAGTAGGTATTTCTATGCATCATTTTATGTTCCCCGACTGACGACGACTCAGCAGTGTCATTGAAAAGCTGATGGCAGAGGGAATAAAAGACTTTTAATTTGAAGGCTTTTCAAGTTTTTCAAATAATTATTCCCCTCAGAACCTCTTCTGCAAGGTCAAACGTCTCACTAAGCATCCAACAAAGCATTTGATCTCAATCAACTTTCAGTCATGCAAGCCATAGTTCCACTGTGTTAGGAAAATGTGACCGCTTAGCAAAGTTTAATTAACCTTCAGAAACTGTTTCATTACTTTGCAGACCTTGAGCGACTCAAAGAACTCAGCTGGCAAGTCAGGAACCCATGTATGTAAAGTCATGTGTCACGTGTGACAGTATTCATACAACATGTCCTCCATTGAATTCAGTATTTCCTGAGGTGTTCTGTCGTTGTTTTTGGCAGTGATAGCTCTGAAGTCTGGTTGGCAGGTAGAGGTGTCTGAGAAAGGTGAGGTCCGTCTTTGGCTGCAGACAGAGAGCCTGAGTAACGACGCGGAGCTGCGTCTCATCTTCAATGACCGGGAAATCTCCAGTACCCCGGTGAGAACCACGGCACGTTATTCTGTAATATCAACCAATCAGTTCATTAGTTTCTACTGAAATAGCTGCAAGTCATTTTTTCATGTTTTTTTTCATGGCGTCAAATGCAAAGACACATACTCAAACGCACACAAACCAGTATTAAATCCACTAATGAGCACCTTTTGCATTAGCAGCTATAAATACGTCTTTTTAAGGCAGCAGCTCTGTGCAGAAGCAGACTCATTGGTAGACAGCCATCTATCCCGACTAGGTGGATCAGAAAGTAGAATACAGACAGAGTGATGTATGTACAGCAACAATGATAGACAACACAGACTTGTGCTAATGATGCTAATAATAATATTAGGAACGTTGCTGCAGTTCAGGAAGAACAAACTGATGATAAACTTTCTTAGACTGTGTGGTTGATGTTAAAAATCTTAACATAATAAAGTATTGGCTCAGATTATACACCAGGCATGAGATCGGTTAATACGTACATGAAGAAGCTGTGTTGTTTGGCTAAGTTGATAGTTGTTATCCTGAAAACTTATCAAGCTTGCTACTTGTTGGGTTGACCACTTGATGAGTTACATTTGAGGAAAAAAATAATACATTGATTTCTGTGAAAGCATAACTATATAAGAATATATACAAGGCCAATCCTGACAGCCCAAACTTGGATACGAAGACAACAGTTTGGGCTTTAAGGGCCTGTGTCCACTGACAGCATTTTCAGTTGTCCGCAGCACCAGTATCAGTAAGCTTCCCACTGGTTGCTAGGTAACAAAAGTTGTCTTACAGCACTTTTGTCCTCCTGACTGTTAAGTCTGTTTTAACCTTTTTGAATATTGAGATATCTGATAACAGCGAAAGCCATTGTAGGCTATACATGGACAAGAAACTTAGAAAAGACAGCAATGTAAAAGTGTTTATGACTGAGAGTGATGAGAGGGCAGCAACAAAATACAGCTGACAGTGAGGGCATTTTTATGCTTAGATTGCTGAGTGCTGAAAATACCGACTTCCATTTGTTGTATGTAAAAAACAGACAGAAAATGCTGTCAGTGGACACAGGCCCTAATAAGCACAGGTAATGTGGAGGAGGAGCCTTCATCTGGTACAGGTGTTAGTTTAAGTCAGACCAAAGCAAAGATGAAATTTGAACATGATTCAGAGGACCGTTTTGTTTAGTTTATTCTGGATCTATTATGTCCTGAAGTCTCCAGTATGTTAATTACCCAGAAAAATTAAGCTAAAATAATCAGTATTTTCCCACTCATTTTGTTTCTTTGTCTAGCATCTTCTGCAAAAGTCAGGCTGAAATTTGTGTGCACTTGATATTTATATGTCTCGAAGCTGACCTCGAAATTCATTTACTTTCATAAAACAACTCAGCGAGAGCCGAAGCTATTTGCAACCAAAACAAAAAGCAAATTTCACAAACATTGTTACCCTATCATTGACAAAATAATGTAATACAGCGGAGAAAATAGCGGCACAGTGATTTCACCTGCCATCTCCGAGACCCAAAACAAAGCAACACTATAATCATCAAGGAACATAAAGTGAATGTGAACAAACCTTCTCAGCGCTGATATACGTTATGACATCAGGCTAAAAATAATCAGCGCCACCGTCACGGTTATCGCGCCCAGCACTGATGTGTCCACGGAGGGAAAAACAAACATGACACACTGTGTTTGTTGTGATTTCACAACTCTGTCGCACACATTTTGTGCGTCCGTGTTTGTGTGCGGCGGGCCAGTGCTTCATACTGAGTCGCTTTCATTCATCATTTGTATTTCATTTTCATTTATTCCATTATTTCCCAATATCACAGCTCCATCTGAACAGCACTGATTATACGTTATTTCTAAATGATCACAGCTGAGGTTTGTGAATTCAAAAGCCATTTAGCTGATTAGGGCCCTTAGGCTCGTCATACATCACGAATCGTATCCAGCAACGAGGCCCATCAACATGCAGAGCACACGCTTATCTGGATGAACGTAAAAGCCAGGAAAATTATCTGAAAGGCTGCTTCATGTGTGTCCGTTTGTTTGTTTTTCAGTGTGCGTATGTGTACATGTCTGACAAAGAACGACTGTTCAATCTGCGGTGTGTGATTTTCATTACAGACACGTTTCACGCACTCGTTCACACTTTACCACTTCTGTACGTCTTTCTGTACATCTTTACAGCTCCTGCCTGTCATCTGTCAGTATACGAGCTGATGTGTGCTGTATGTGCGCCGCATGAATGTTTGCTCTTCTGCAGCACCGCAAGATCAACTTTGACAAGGCCAAAGGTCTGGTGGAGATACTGTTTGATCAGCTCTCTCCGGAGGACCAGGGCTCGTACACGGCTCAGCTGAGAGACGGACGTGCTAAAAACCAGTTCACTTTGGTCTTTGTGGATCAAAGTAGGTACCTCACTCATTTGTTATTAAGATACATACACTCTGCAGAGGGAGGTCAAGGGGAACAATAGAGCTAAGTAGAAACGGGACTCCACAACAGCTGAGTTTCCTCTAATTCCTTGTGGTGATACTTAAAAAAATGTGATTGGCTGAGATCAGAGCAGAAGATGCGTCTGATTTAATATCTTTTCTGGAAATAAGCTACTTGTTTCTCAACTTAAGCAGCCAGCCCGCAGTATGCAGATTTTAGAGCCTTGTTATTCAAGCAGAAGGACAGATAGTGAGAATTTACCACCAAATGTTATAATTGTCAAAGAGCAGAAGTCTTGAGTCTTTATGAAAATAAAAAATCCCAATCATAAAAAGAATCCTCCAAAGTTTTCCCTGTGACCTCCATCTTTTTAAAATTCTTGCCATGGCCTTTTATAGACCTTCATAAGATTTATTATTTTGTTTTGATTCAAAAAGATGCGAATAGTCTGTGTTTATAAGTATTTATTTGAAAAATACATAAATCAATTTGGGGGAAATGAAATATATTGGTGATAATTGCTTTTTTAAACACCATTTGCAATCTGAAATGTTTTATAAAGCTAGCTTAGAGGAGTCTGCTCGTTTGCAATCTCTCTCCAGCTTGTTCGATGTTTTTTATTATAAGAGGAGCACGTTGAATGTTAACTCCTCCTTTAGAAGAAAAGTGAAAACATATGTGTGCGATGGATCATTACAGTCAGATGAGGCTTGTTTTTATTTCTTTATCTTTTAATAAAAGTGATGAAGGGGTTCACCAGCGGGGTTTCAGTTATACGACATGCATCTTAATCACCAAACCATCACAGCGTCTCAGGAACTAATTAAAGGAAACACGATTCAGTCTTGTGATGGACTCTGCTGATGTGTTTCTGATTACTGAAGAGTCTCACAATAAATTTACCATGTAAAATTTGTTTATTTTGAATATTGTTTCTCATTGGTCTACATCTGTGGTGCTAGGACGACAACAGCAATCATTGGGTTGATTATACAACACTGCATTTCAGTGATCCTCTTTCCATTAGAAATTGCTTCTTTTTCTTATTTAAAGCTTGGAAGATTTAAATGTTGCCACTCAGTTATACTTTTTAAAGTTTGGGGATGACTGTTTCTATATTGTATACACTAAAGATCAACAGCTGTTGAATTCGGGAGAGACAGGAAGGGTAAATAAATGCTGTATGTTCATTAGGGCTGGGCGATAAACCGAAAAATTACAGATACCAAAATTTATGGTATATTCTGTGTAAATAAATCAAAGTTGGTTTTGGATGTGTGTAGGTAGGCTACGGTCTCATGTCCCTTTAAGACGCTGTTCTACATCAGAGACGTGAGTCCACCCCATCCACTCTGTAACAAAGAGGGAAAGACAGGTGAGGAGATGGAGTTAATGTAGGAGGGGGTGAGCAGCTTGTGGAGTAGTTATCATCCATTTATCATTATTGAAGAGAACTGCTCAATATATCATGATTTTGATTTAAGGTTCATATAGTCTTTTGACTGGGGATGGGCCACCCTAGTCTGAGAAAGCTATGGACGCGCCCCTATACTTCAATTTCCTGTGCTTAGGTCCTTAGTGTACTTCAACCTGTTTGTAGTTTTGTTTAATAATTCATAAAAGGAAACCTTCAGAAATAAAGAAAAAGTAGTTCACTTTCCTCAACCAAGCCAACAACCAGGCCCAGGCGTTGCGAAAGAGTTGTAGTATTATTTACCAACCTACAAACAGTAACCTTTAAAGCAACAGGTTTTCATCACTTCTCTCCATATATCCTTCATGATTGAATTGTTTTTCACTCTGTTTGGTATTTCTGTGTCTCTGTCAGAGTTTCGTCAGGCGCTGGCCCTGGCTGATAAAAACAGACGAGACCAGCAGAGAAAGTGCGGTGAGCGGCCGACATCTGTAACACACTTCCACAAAGTAAACACAATAAGAGGGTTAGCTGCTGCAGACTGTGTGACTCCACGGCACCCAATTTGAAGTTCGATTGTAGAGAATATTCATGTTTAACCTACCGCTGAAAGAAAACCTGTGTTACATCAGGAGTTTATCAAGTGAGTGAGAAGCTCAGAGAGAAACAAACATCACTCAAGGTGAATTTGAAACACCTTTTAAAAGATTTATATGTGAGTAACACAACTATCCTCTTTGCTTCACGTTTGTAACACACAAGCTCCATGAGAGGAAGCTTCACATATCTGCTTCATGTTGGGCCTACAGCACATTTTCAGACTTGCAGGCTACAAAATGATAATTAAAAGGAGCTGTTAATTCTCTCTCTTCGTATGTAAAGCAGCTGTCACTGTCAGTTTTCAGACCATCATGCATTTGGATGTTTCCACAAATGTAATTAATTAACTAAGTATGATGAATTTACGTTTAATTAGTTGCTCTGAATTAATTACCCGTTGAAAGTCTGTGTCTCCACAGTGTCAGTACAAATGAATAATCATGCTCTCTTTTTTTTCCAAAGGGCCATATTTCCTGGAGTTCTTGTCGTGGAGTGTAAACGAGGATTGTCAGCTGATCATGAAGTGCAAGGTGCTTTTTCAGAGTCCTTCTTTTCATTTTACCTTCTTTCACAGATGACAAATTTACCAGTATTCGTAGATTGTTTAGAGCTGAGACAATCTTCCAGTTTTTTTTTTGCTTTAGTTTGGTTATTAAACTAATATTCGGTAACACTTGACGCCTTTCTCTATAACCCATTATGAATATAGCATTATAATCATGTTATAGCACTGTATAAGTATAGTTATAAACACTCATAAATGATCATTATGCTTTACAGCAATAACCATAACAAACTATAAAGCATTTTATCATGACTTACAAGGTCAGGTATTATAATGTGTTGTGCTTATTGTTATGAAGCCTTATGATAACTAATGAGTGTTAATAATGATAGTTATACAAGTTTATAAGCAAATTATAACACATCATAAATATATGTATTATCAATGTGGGCATTGTAAGTGAGTTGTTAACAGTTATAACACATTATAATACCTGACCTTGTAAGTCATGATAAAATGCTCTATTATGTGTTATCATTATTGCTATAAAGCATAAAGCAAGTTTATAACTATAGTTATACAGTGCCATAACGTGATTACAACACATTGTAAATATATTTATAATGCGTGATAGAGATAGGCCTAAGTAAAGTGTTACTGAATATTCCAACATTTTAGGGATTTTCTAAGGTCCATTTAGACTTTTCTTTACTTGTTCTATGTAAACATATATGTCAATATTGTGACACATTATTATATTTATGTTAATTTTATCTGAGATACTAATTAATAAGTTAAAAACTTTGTGCCGTCACTTTAGTTTGCCAGATTAGATTACAAAGAGTACTTTTTATCTAAAGCTCTAGCAGGATTATGACAACATATTCAGTATAACTAACGAAAATCACTCCAGATTATGGCAGTATATTTTGGTTGGTTTCATAGTTGGTAGCTGGTGGCCAGATTAAGTGTGCTCTAAAATGTATTTATGCTTCTCCCTGTTTTTACTCATTAAAGTTCCTATGAGGGTTTTTTTAATAGGTCAATGAGACCACTGATGACAAGACTGACAGCAAATATTCATGATGAATTATAATTTTCACTGTAAAAAGACACAGGAGAGATTCCTTTGTCTTTTAACACTATTTTCACATAGATGTGATAAAATCATCATTATTAAAAAGGTTTCCATGTTGTCCACAAGGGGGCACCAAAGTCAACACAAACGGAGAGTTCCTCACAGGAGCTTTAATTGATGCAGATTTTATTTACCTTGTTTTGTATTAAGTGGAAAAACTTGAGTGGTGTCAGTTTTCCTTTTTTAACTCTTGGAAAGTAAAAGACACAAAATATTAAAATGAGTTTTGGGAGCAGATTAAATCTTACACCTGAGATTCTTCAGTAGATATTTTCTCCATGAGTGCACACACAGCTACACTGAACAAGATTGAATTTGATTGAACAGTTTGAAGTCAGTTAACTTTTGAGGATAGTCTTGACAGACAGGATTAGTTCATGTTTAATTCTCCTCTCTATATCCAGGTGACAAATACAAACAAGGACACGACTTTGAAGTGGTTTAAAGAAGGCGTTGGGTTGACTCAAGTTGAGTACGTCCAATCATCAGGGGTCAGCACGCTCACAATCCCACAGGTACTCAAGCATCTTGATCCATTTTTTAGACCATGAGAGGAAGTTTGTAGTGAGATGAATACAAATAGAAAGAACCAGACAAGATGTTACCTGGAAATAAAAAATACATCATAGCTCTTGTTTGTTCTCCAGAGTTATACTCATTTTAAGACAGAAGTTGTCAGTAAGTTTGATTCTGTTTTGTTGTTTTTCTTTTCTCTCAGGTCACAAAGAAAGAGGCGGGTTCATACAGAGCGGTGGTGTCGGACGGACGAGGAGAGGATGTCAGCACTTTAGATTTACTGAATGACGGTGAGATGAATCTGATACTCACCTTTTTATTTCTGTGTACGTAAAAGTGCCACAAATTCCCTGTTTATGGTACAAATTAGGGGATTAAATTCTGAATTTTATAGATTTTATGTTTTATTTTCTATCTCCAATATTGAGGCAGCCACCTTTTCTCATATACTTTAGTATTTATTGAGCTCCAAAGACAATATGAAACACCCTCTGAACACTGGATCGTTCATTTTATTTACAGAGTATGACAAGCTCCTGCAGCAGCTGAGCAAACAGTGTGGTGAGTTATTAACACTTCTTCTTTACACAACACTGTTTGTGTAATGTGCCAGTGATTTTTTATTTATTTTTTTGTGTCGGGACATATGAATGTGTTGAGCTCCTCTGATAAAACATGAAGTGTTTTAGAGAAATTTGAGATTTGTGCAAATAATGAGAAGCTGTGATTTCTTTCTACATGTCTGTGTAGCACTGTCGGCCAGCCAGCTGAGGATTCAGAGCACCGCTGAAGGTGTCATGATCTACTCCTCACTCAAATACTACATAAGCCACCTGAAGAACAGTTGGTACTACGGGTAAGTCCGCCTACAGGGAAACTCTTTGACCTTACGCCTTTTACATCCTCCTCTCAATCGCTTTGTCGTATCAAGCAGATGGTCACGGTGTTATGGATGATGAGTGTATAGGAACATCTCAGGGAAAAATGTGCTGTAATAAGAAGACACCTGTGCAAAGGAGGTCCAGGAATAATGGAGCTTAGCAGTTTTTTACTTGAAGTCACGGAGGAATAACTCTGTAAATGTCAAGCTACAAACAGAGGATGCACACAATACCGCAGAGCTCTATTACTTCCCCCAGCAGGGCAGGTGTCCCGCTGCCTGCGAAGGTGGTATACCTGCAGGTTCACATAAATAGACCATGAAGAGAGGCTTCAAATACAGGCCTTATATTCTGCACCAGCACACACATGAATAAAAGCAGTTTAGGCGCATTAATCGCCTGAGACGTGTCTCTTTAGGGTGGAAACTCTTGGGGGTTCATCTTCGAAAACACGGGTCAGAGTTCAACTTCTTTAACGAGTTCAGCAGTTTAATGTGACAGAAGAGGCGGATCTTAATGTCTGCATACAAATTTTCTAACAGTGCAGCTGGATTCACATCTGGACGACTGATTCATTCAATCGTTCTGTTACAGCGAGTTTTAGTGAAGACTGCACAGAGGCATGTCAAATATTCAAAGATACCAAAACAATCACTCTGAAGAGACAAAAGTATTGAATTAATTCTTAAACAATAACTTTATCTATTTTATTTCTATTTTATTTCATTTTATAGCACCGTGTTTTAGGTTGATCTATTTTAGGCTTCATTTCATTTATTGTAATTGCTGTGATTGCACTTTTATCATCCTGTGCAGCACTTTAGTCAACCCCAGTTGTTTTAAAGTGGCTCTATAAATGAAGTTTGAGTTGAGTTGATTATCAATCAATCAATCAGTCTTTATTTAGTGCTTTACACAGAAAAAGGAATAAAAGAAACAAAGAATAACCAAATCTACCCCAGCCCTACCCCCCATTCCCACCCCATGATCTACTTGCAACAGAAACAGTATTAAAATGCATGAACTTCAAAAGGGCTTGATTTCATGAAAAAAACAGGAATGTGCGCACTGAGGAAACGTCATTTTAAAACTCACGATAAAGAAACACTGGAGGTTTTGGTTAAAATCTAAAAACAAAGTAATGTAGAATGAAATTTAAGAAATAATAATAAAAACAGCAGTAAAAGATACTAAAATAAGAGCACCAAAATAGCTCAATATAAGACGATCCTGTCATTAATACTAGAAAGGGATAAATGCTAAAACACCTAAACAAAGTTAATGATTTAGTTAAAAGTAAGATTTAATCTGATTACTACATATTTCTTTAGATTAAGTTGCCTCTGTATATATTTGCAGCTGTTTGGCAGTGTACCAACAGGTCAAACTGAAAATTCAGAAGCTGAATTTGAGACAGAGCTGCTAAAATTTTGATGGATTAGATTACTCTGATGTTCATAATGTTATAGGTGGTTGGTGTATGAAGAAAAAAAACATAATCCTGACATGGTTTGAGATTCTTGTTTCTAAAGGAAGGTTTCTAGCTCCATCTGCTGGCTGCTGATCCTGCTTTCACAAAAGAGAGGACTGACCTTGTGTAATGCAGTCTACAAAAGTCCTGGATGGATCATTTCTTTTCATTGACAGTCTAAACTGCAGTACCCCTGCAAATGAACTGAATTTTCAATTTTCCATTCCATGCAGACTATATAAAACTTTGTCCTTGATTATTCTTGTTATTCTCAGAAAGATGATCTCACAAGAACGAAGTGAAAAAGCAAGAGTATTTGTTTATCCCATTTAGCCAACAAAGCAGAATGATCCTTGTACCTGTTAGAAGGACTGATTTTGTTCATTATCTTTTTATTTCTCTTTAAAACTAGGATTCAATTTAGACCTAAACTTGTGTGTAATTCAGTGTTTTATGTCCATCTTAATGTCTTATTGATGTTCAAGCTGCTCCACAAAAATTCCCTCTAAAGGACTAAATAATACAGAGTTTAACTGAATTAAATAACTAGCAAAGACAAGGCAACCTAAATCTGGTGTCAAAAGGACCAGCTCTACATCTTATACCAGGTGCTTTATTGAGGTTAAAGCAGAACTATCTTGCCTTTTGTGAAAATCATTGTAAGTCTGTATCACACATGTGTTCATGTTGTGTAGGGAGAAGAGGATCGACCAGGAAGCCAGGATGAAACCCGGCTGCAGTATGGATAAAGTCTGGATCGAAATCCGTAACCCGACAGAGAACGATAAAGGCAAATACACTTTAGAAATGTTCGATGGTAAAGACACACACAAACGATGTCTCGACCTGTCCGCACAAGGTGAGTGGATCTAAGATGTGTTATTTACAGAAGTTCAAATCCAGATATAAGATTATTTTCATCTAAAGTGTCATTTTTATCACTGTTTTAATAACAGCCCTTGCTGACGCCATACTGGAGTACCAGAGACTGAAGTAAGTGACATTAGAAACAGTAGATGATCTGTGGTTTGCTGTTAAACTCAAGTCAAAGCAGAAAAGTTAAAGGAAACGGATGATTAGTAGGAGACTGTTCTCTGGAAGCATCCCAGCTCAGTCTGGTGTGTCTTTACCCGAGGAGTGTCACATTGATTTGACCCTTTGTTTCCCTCCCTCAGGCAGGCGGCCATTGCTGAGAAAAGTGAGTCAGAGGTTATGTGTTAGTGCGATCGCAACAAAGTTTACAGGGTTGTAACAGTGGGTGTCAGCGTGGAGTTATTCTTGTGTGGTTTCTTTTAGATCGGGCTAAAGTGACCAAAGGTCTTCCTGATGTTGTGGCCATCATGGAGGGCAAGGTAGGGCATCACTAATTAGTCGATTTCTCTTATAGTCTCGTGATGTTGTCATTTTCAAGACCTCTTCCTCATCCTTTCTTCAGACTCTGTGTCTGACCTGCTTCATCGACGGTGATCCAGCTCCAGAGATCTGCTGGCTGAGGAACGACAGGGAGATCGTTGACGAGGCCCAGTTTACCATCACCAAGGAGCCCAAGTGCAGCACCATCACCGTGCACAAAGTCACCATGGAAGATTCTGGAAAGTACAGCATCTATGTGCGAAACAAGTTCGGTTCTGAGACTGTCGACGTGACTTTGAGTGTTTACAAGCTCGGGGAGAAGCCTCCTGCAAACGCTGTGGAGTTGTGTTAAGATGAAATGAGGCAATCAGGAAAAGATCAGCAGAGTTCGGAGCTTCGGGTTGATGTTTTCACAAAAAGATGGATAGATAAATACGGGGTAGAAAGCAGCTAATTATAGTTTCATACCACTAATAGTTTCAGTGGGATGTTTGAACTTACCTACATTTGCAAAACAGAAAAATTATTTGGATAAAAGCTTCCTCCTTAACAGTTTGACTGCCAGCTGATTGGCTGATCAGCACCAAGAGTAGGGTGTCCATATTCTGAATCCCTATAAATCCGGATCAGGTCAAGTGTTTTTTACACATTTCTATCTCAGTTAATCCTCGCTACACAAACTCAAAACTTCCGTACAAAACCGCAGACATTTAAAGGATTTTATAAACTCCCCCAGACAGGCCAGGCAAGGCCGGACAGCCTCCAAAAAAGAGGACATGTCCGGGTAAAATAGGACATATGATCACCCTAACCAAATGTGAACTTTTCACTGATTTGTTCCTTCCTTGGTTAATAACTTATCAGCTGAACATTATTTTTAGAAAACTGAAACCTCTTTCCAAACAGAGTGAAAAAGACAGAAAACCACAATCTGATTTCCAGGACGTGTCCGGCATACTTGGCATTATGTTCTGGCCTCTACACACAGCTGGCCGTGACTGGAGTGCAGAGGGTCCATCTGCAAAGGTCCATCTAAAAAAAGATGCAGTGAGAATGTTAGTCGACCTGGCTTCATAGACGTTTGACAGACGTTGTTAAAATTACAGATTTCTTTTGTGCAGATTAAGTTGGAAGTTTGAGTTTCTAAAAGGGATTTGAAAAAGTAGGAACTTAACAAAGAGACCCTCATGAGGCGATCGCTTATCACCCTGACAACCTTTTTTGTTGTATCTCAGACATCATCAGCTCACTAACTCTGACTCTGTTCTACTTTTAAACTGCGTTTTCTCTCTTACCCTGACGGTGCCTGATTTGGTGAATTGAAAGTCTCATTCGTTTGTGTTTCATTTGAATAAAGCAAGTTCAAATAAATGTGTTTGAGAGCCTGAAGATGTTTATATAGTTTCGTGTCATATTATTACATTTTATATTTATTTTCTGCAAACATTTCTTCAACCGCAGTGGACTACAGCTTTCTATTTTGGTAGTTTTGCAATCAGAGTTTGTGTCTTGCACTGTGAAAACAAACAGTCCGTGGTGTCATTGACCTGACCGCAGGGCCCCAGTGAGTCAGGTAGAGTCACCTCAGGAGGTTCAATGGCACTCTGCAGAAAGGTTGCAGACGTGCAAAAAGTTCTGCTGCCTGGTGTCACATTTCCTAAGTTCTAGACCACAGAAACCCTGCACCTGCTGGGGATGTTTCTTTTTATTGTACATTTTTAAAATGCATTGAATTGTTTGTACAAGAGTGACACAAATTGATGATCTTTTCTTGATTAGAAACAGCTGCAAACAAACAGCATGTCTTATCTGTTGAAAACTGGACGCAAGTTTGGTAGAGTATATAATCTGCTGTGCAGATGGTGAGGCTGGATGACCAGCTGATGCAATATTTACTTCTGAGTAATCCCCAGCAAGTAAGATTGGGAAATTATTAATGCATGAAACCCCGTCTTAAATGAAACGGTGGAGTTTCCAGCTCTATGCTGCACTGTTTCCAAACATATCACAGCTTGAAAGAGAGCTTAACTTCATTCTGGGCATCTGTACTTCTTCTCCACAATGCTGTTCAAATAAATAAGCTTGTGTTATTTCTCAAACCTGCACTGTTTAGTAAAAGTGCTTTAGGTAAAATTTTTTGATCCCATATTTTCAGTATGAGCTGCAGATTTACCACACTTTGGATTATTTCTTATTTCCCATCCTTAAACCAGCGAGTACATTGTTTCATGTGTTTTCTATTTGTAGGACTAACTTGCCAGCACTTCTGTGCATTTCTAAAGCTGCTTTCTTGATCCTTTTAGGAAAATTTTGTATTTCTTTTGTATCTTATTTATTTCTGAAAATAGTTTAATTGACAAAATAGGCCTAAAACACGATAAAAATGAACATCTGAATTCATTTTTGTTGGTCAAACTGGAGTACGTGAACCCCCGGTTGTTCAAACAGCAGCGATTACTACAGAGGGGTTTGTTACTCATTAGACACAGTTCTTGTATAAGAGGAGCAGCACTCCAGTCACATCCTCCACATTGTGTTGAGCTTCACACAGCTGTCACAGCCTCCAGCCCACCTCGGTGAAGGAGAATCCAGATCTTCTAGAAAACATGGCCTTCAACGGAACATGGCAGGTCTACGCTCAGGAGAACTACGAGGAGTTTCTCAAGGCCCTGGGTGAGAATATAACAAATATTAAACAAAAACTGAATTATCTTTGCTTGTAGATTTTTATGGCATGTCTAAACTTGTGGACTGGTTACAGAACTCCCACCAGAAGTCATCAAGATGGCCAAAGACATCAAGCCGATCACTGAGATCCAGCAGAACGGCAATGACTTTGTAGTGACCTCAAAGACCCCTGGAAAGACTGTGACCAACTCCTTCACCATCGGCAAAGAGGCTGACATCACCACCATGGACGGCAAAAAAATCAAGGTTTGTCTTTTTAAATCTGTTTTTTTACTACGAACGACACATAGGAGCCTCCAAATGTTTTGATTTGGCACTTGAGTGTGAGTGTTTTTTGTCTGCTGAGTGCATGCCTGGCATTTTGGAGTATTCATTTTATGTCTCGTCTCCTTTTTGACCCTTAGTGTGTTGTCAAAATGGAGGGTGGCAAACTCATCTGCAACACTGGCAAGTCCACCCATATTCAGGAGATCAAGGGAGGAGAGATGATTGAGGTGAACGCACATCTAAAATAATGTCCTGATGTATTATGAGTTTTCTGGGAAGAAGATTACATGTGTTTTACTCTGTTTTTGGTTTTCAGACTATGACCGTAGGCTCAACAACTCTGATCAGAAGGAGCAAGAAGATGTAACCTTGGCGATGAAGAAACCAATGTCTATTTAATAAAAGTGTTGCTTAAAAAGAAGTTTCCTGTGTATCTTTACAACAAGGGAATTTTGGGAAAGGTCTATTTCAACTATCCTTAGTGTGTCTGTTTGACATCATACTACAAAAGTCAGTTTCTACAAAAGCAATCAAAACATGAAGATCCTGTAAAGCAACATATTATCTAATATTCTTAGATAATTTAAACACAAACGAGCTGTAGCACAAATCTGTCTTTATAATATCCCAACATGGGGTAAAAATAACTCATGGTCCTGAGATTTTAAATGGAATATTTAGGGTGAGTCTGACATTATTCTTAAATGGAAATATTTTCTTTGACAAATTTTTCTACAAACTAAAACAAGATGTAACTAAACTTTATTTTGTTTGTTTTTTGGAAATTGTGATTTAAACAAACTATTATAATTTCAAAACTGGGTTATCATTGTGAAGAAAACTGTATTTTGAGACTCTTATTTTGAAACAGCTTACTTTTTGAGTAGGACTTTAAAACTATGGATATTCACAGCAACTAAATTATTTCCCCCTGCATATTTAAGTATATTCTATACTAACAATTACACCTACATTGGTGCTGATACAGCCAATGATATGTAATAAACAAAAGAGCAAAAATACAAAAAGTCCTATTTGAGTAGGCCAAACATTATGAGGCAGTAAGTTCATAATAAAAAAATTCCTTGAATAATTTATTGATTAAGAAAAGCACTAATTTTCCTCCAATAATGCTTCATCATCGGTCAATGGTGTAACTCTATGCCTTTAGATTAGAACAAAAGCGTAGAGAAATTACAGTAGTTTACTGATATTACTCTCAGAAGCGTGTTTTTATGAGCGTGTGCAGTGTGAACTGTGAGGCTCTCACAGGCCAGGACGTCATGTCAGTCACCTGATTATGACAAAACATTAACTGTCATTAACGAACAAGTTGCGACAGTAGATCGTAAAAAGTTGCCAGACACCTTAAAGGCCTCCTTTTTCTATCCTCTGTTGGAAACATGTTTGACAAGTTCACGTGTGTTTGCCGATTTGTCGCTTTAGCCTGAGCCCTGCGGGCCTGTAGTTGAGTCAAACTAATGGAATGATAATTGGTTAGGGAAACTTGGCTGTCATCTCGTCATCACCACAGAAACATGAAACAGACGTCAGTGTGGGGCTGAATAGGCGAGTTGTGGCAAGTTGTTTCAACTCTGATCGAAACCTTCTCATTTGAAGAATTGTCTTTTAGATTTGTAGAAAAGAATGACTAAAATGTATTATCTTGTTCTCATTGACAAGAATTATGTTTAGAATAATCAAAAATAACCTATTCTATGTAAAATAACCTTATTTCTCACACTAAATTGAACCAAAGAAATCCCTTAAAGTGGTAGGTCTATAGTTCAAGAGACAAATGAGAAATTAATAACAAATCTAATTCTTATTAGTCCAAATGAGAATTAAAATGGACAATGTTGACAAATGTTAGCCTACTAATGATGTTACCTTTTCCATTCATGTGAGTGAAGTCTTTTTGTTACAGAACATCATTTTTACTCTCCAGAATGAACATTTTGATATTTATACTACAGAGATGGGAGGTTTAAGGCAGTATTTCAATAAATACAATTAAAAAAATCCAACAGATAATGTGAAATTATTATTTTTTCATATCTGAATAACAAATATGGATAACCATGATGACTTTTTAACCAGTCACAATGTATATCTCAGAAAATGAAATCAAGACTGGTAACAAAAATGTAGTTTTAACTGGAAGCAATTCTGAAGAATAATCCACATTTTCCTAAATTGTAAGAATTTTGTTTCACATAGACTACTGAGTGTTGAAAAGCCCAAAACAAATGAACGCAAGATCTTTTTCTCCTGTAGCGCCAAGATGCTTCACAGAAAGATCTAGGCGTCATTCTTCATGATATTTATGAGAGGAGCGTCTCCCATCCCATGTGAGACGCCCAGTTTAACCACTACCCACTTTTGTTGAACTAACCACTAATAGCTATCATTAAACATGTTGACCTGAACAAGGACTGCTAATACCCTCGATACAATAAGCTCAGAGGCTTTGTTGCTGGTGTAAACAAGCTTTAGGGCAATAATAGTCACTGCTGCTATATTTGAAGTATGTAAATTGCACAATGATTAACTAGCCCATCTTTGTTCAGTGTATTTTTATGTGGGAACAGTGAGGGCGAAGTGTTTAATTACACTGTTAATCCTCCATGTCTTTATCTGAGAATTTCCAAAACACCTTTCAACAGAACTGCAAAGAGAGAAACCAGTTGTTAGGTAATAATAACGTGACAAAATACATGCTTGTAAGTGAAGCTGTAAAAAAGGACACATTTTACAAACATCATTTAGCCCTGAAAGTTGATCACTGTAAGGTAGGTGGTTGTTGGAATAGTCTGAGGAAATGTTTTGCTTGTTTTGTACAAACTCATACAAATATTTTGCATTCTCTGACCCTGAGCATTTGTACCTTGACTGCCTGCATTCTAAATGAGCCTGTTTCATGACACAAATGGCGAGAGCACTTGCTTGTATTTAGTGATTTAATGCCTTTTTTAAAACATCTATATTCCACTTGGTGTCTGTACACATAGGGGAAGGGGATTTTCTCTCATTCATGTTTTCTTTTGTTCAGTTTGATTTAATTTGTTTGTTGTAAATGAATTAAAATTTGACATTTTGATTGCAGTTGGTTCAGTGACAGTGGACTCAGACTGTGTTTTTCTAATAATTATCATGACTGTATTTTGTGCACAAAATTATTCTTTCTTTTTCTTGTTGTTGCCTTGGTGGTGAAGTTATAGCCTGGCTGGGCCATCCAGTTGTGTGAATCACTTGCCGTTCCTTCCCACTCCTTGTGAGAAGGAACGGCAAGTGATTCACGCAACTGGATGGCCCAGCCGGGCTAGTGAAGATACAACTTGTACCTTTCAAATAAAGAAGAGAAATGCAAACCACAAATAGTAGTACTGGGACTAAACAGAGCAAAAACATGAAGACTTTCTCTTCTCAAAGGCCTTGACACTACAGCCTGCTTTAAGATATACAAGATCGTCAAAGTATGCTATTCACAACCTGAACCTTTAATGGGCCTGTTGGCATCAGCCCAGGAATACATTAAGTATTACCAGATTGCATTTAAAAACAGCTATTCTGAGGTACCTGACCCTGACTTCATGCTGCAAGTCATAATGAAACTGCTCTGAGCCACGTACATCAACACAACATACTGTATATCTACCATATCTGTGTTTACTCATAGATGTTCAGTGTTGCCAAAGGCGTGTTCCTGTAATGAACATATCATCAAAAACTGGTTTGTTCTTCCTTGTAACTTCCAGTCAACACAAACAGAACAGCAGCCATTGTCCTGCCTGATTCAAATACACATAATCGATCTCTGTTGAGACTGAGCTGCCCCTCCTGGTGCTGAGCTGCTCTCTGTGACCACTAGAGGACACCCCACCATCCTGGCTCATATGGCCACACAACAAAACACTCTCGCCCCCTTCTCCAGATCCAGACACAAAGGCAGAGAGAGCAATTACTCCTGTCCTTCGACTGCTGCCCTCCCTACTCTCCAGATCTGGAACATGGTCACTCTGTAGCTCTGTAGGTCCTGTACCAGATAAATATGGAGCCTCTATAAATTCTGCTTAATCACTAACATGTTTCCTTTAAAACCTAGAAAGAGTTTTGTTCTCTGTTTGGTTAGTTTATCTCTTTAGTATGGATAAGTTTCAGGTTGTTGTTGAAGGAAAAAAAGGATGATTAAACAAAAAAGTATTTCCACTTTGCATTATATACAGCAGAATGATAGAACACTTGACTGACAACTTTGGCTCAATTGTGTTAATGGACATAGAACTATGACTTCAGTTTATGCAAAAATGCCTCAGATTTTTCAGATCTATCACATTTGTCATTGACTATAAATAGATGCAAAGGATGCATTTTGAACAGTAACTGAAGCAGAGTTGGCAATTTTACAGTAGGCACTGGTGGTAGCAGCCTGCTGCTTAAGGTTCATGTGTGGGTTGAGTTAATGTGTGTCTTAAACACCATGTTATCTTCACTGTCTTTCCTCCTTTATGACAGAGATTTGGGTATGACGTCTAGTTATGTTATCAAAGAGCATAATATAGACCTACTATACTGAACAAATACAAATCAGACGTCTTGAGGTCAGTGGTGAAACGTCCATAAAACTTATAGTCTAATGTATAAAGGATGATCTCTACTTTAATTAGAAACCTGATTATACAGTTGAGTATGTTTAAATTAGTCCTATGCATACTATGTGAATAAAAATGTGAATTGATAATGAGGTAGATAAGGTTCTGATTATTAGTTACTGAAATGAATTTGTGAGCTAGCAGTGATTGATTCAAGTCAATTGAGGTTGTATGTTTTTGTTGAGCAAGTGTAACGTTGAATTCACACTGTTTTTGTCTCTAAACCACTTTACTTAAACCTAAGTGCATGATCGATCCACCTGAAATTCACAAATATAACTTACTTAGAAATTACTCCATTTAAAACAAATGTATCTTCTAGTAACTATGAGTTAAGATAATAGCTAGCACTGTGGTGTGTATGTGAGGTAGATGTGTTAAACCATCTTGGAGATATTCAGGCACAGACAAAGGTAGGGGGGAGGGGAAAGGGATTTATTTCTTTTCTTTTTTTTTGTAAAATTTGTCATCAATTCATTTCACAGAGTGTTTTTCACATTTGTTTTTTTCAAGCACCAATTCGATCTAATCTTAAACAGGGCAAATTCATTTCATCTTCAGTGACATTTCATGGGGGACTTAATTAACAGCCAATTCGTTACAGGTTACAAATTTCGAATAGAGGAGACTGCCGTGTAAAACTCAATCTGGGTGAGAAAAACAAAATAAAAAATAGAAAAAATACATGAACCAATTCAATGAGGTACGACTACAGCATGGGACCACGTTGAGTTTTTAGCTGGCGGAAGAACAGCTTAAAACTGAAGGCGGTTCTTTACAAGTTTTTGGTCGATTCAAGGTGTGGTCACCTAATGAAAAGAGTCAGTATCAGCATGGGGATCAAACATAGGCACAAACAGGTCAATGCAAGATGAAAATCATCAGGCTTACACGGCGTAAGCACATTCAAACTCATATCCATTCATTGGCAAGTCTCCTCTAGGTTCCAATTGATATTTTTTGATGTTACAATTTCCTTTTAGCATCTATCACCCTACACTGTGTTATACAAAACAATAAAAAAACATGTGCAAGATCTCTGGAAAGATAACAGTGCAGGAGTACTGACAAATGCTATTGGCATTATTAACTTTTTTTAACAAAAATATTCTTCAGTATTGAAGTCAAGACATTGAAGTCAAGACATGTCCTCTGCATGTCTTATACATTCAGTGTTATTACTAAAAATACTTTTGTCGGGCAGGCCTCAAACTCGGCCTGCAAATGTACATATGCTACAAGAACTTTATACATTTCATTATTTACATGGCTCTTGAACACACTAACAAGCTTTCATACTCTGTTTCGTCATCTTTAGGTCAGCCATTAGCAGCTTTAATTCTGCAAAGGGAAAGTAGAAAGAGCCTCAATACAGGATTGAATCACAAAAATAGAGAATCCATAGGGAGATAGTCAATAACGCCACCATCATAACATTAGCATTCTTGTCTGTAACTTATCAAAAACTAGGTTGATTGCAGTGCAAGAGTTTTGATTAGGGGCAGAGGCAAAGAGGGTCTGTTGATTAACAGGCAGTCAACCACTGAGACCTATTTTGTAAACATATAAGCAAGACAACTGCCCCCTCGTCAGCACCCCCGGGCCACTAAATGCAGAAACCCTCCTCAGCTCTGCCTTAGCTTGCTTACATTTGCTGGCAGCCAACAGGGCCGAGCCACGTGAAACTCAACAGTCCCACAAATAAACATCGGCCCCCTTCCGCATGTTGAAGCCGCAGCAATGTCTTAAATAGGCCGAGACTGAGGAGTAAACACAGCACTGATCAGGACATAAGAGGAGGCCCAGGGGTCTGAACCCATTCTTCACTAAGCAGGCATGGTAAAGTGGCAATGACACCCACCGCTGAGAGGATGTCAAAGACGTAAAAGGAAAAAACAAATGAGTACAGCAAATCTTTGCTTTGGTTACACACAGCTCTTCATACAACTTTCAACCACAACAAAAAATGACTTGTACAAATTAATGCTATGATAGGCGTTTTTGGCCTCGGACGAGTTCAACTCCCATAGTGCATGTGCGCACAGCGCAATAAAAAAGGTACAGGAGTTGACAGTCCAGAACCAGTGTGCCGTGGTCTCTTATTACTCTTCAGTTTGAGGTTTTACTTTTGACCTATACTTACTCACTACAGCTTACCATCTCTAGCAAGATAGCTTTTTCCCTGCAGAATTGCAGCTGAGTGTCTCTTCCCCCAAACAAGGAAAACAAATAACAAAAAAGGGGGCCCTAGTCAAAATGCTACAAATATGATTTTGCTTTAGCACCTGATACTTTGGATGAATCTTAAGGAAAATCTTAAAAATAAAAAAATTCAAAAAGGCATCTGTCCACAGAAATGGACTGTAAAAGCTCTTGGGAGTAATCTAACTTACTGTATGAAACCTGTTTGGGTGGAAAAGAACACTCAATCTGCTTTGAACAGCTAACATAAAAAGAACAAAACAAACTAGAAGTACAAAGGATATCCAGTTTGTCATAAGTCACAGAAAACGGACTCCACTAAAAGCATCACCAACCAGCAAGGCTCAGCAGCTGTAATATCTTGAAATGTTAGTTTAAAAAAATGGGTGTTCACTTAACATTTCCAGCAAACATTGCTGAGAATGTTTGAGGACACTTGAGGGTAAATCTAAAAACAGCTAAAATTATTACATCACTGAGGTGTTCCTGGGAGGTGGGTGCCCTTAGTAGGGTCCCAGTTCATTGATTGGCCTTTCATCAATAGACACAGGTATCCCTCTCAGGCCTGCACCTTGAGGAGACTCTTGAGCTGGAAAGTCATCATCTCCCTGTTATCACAAGAGCCCATTGGGAAGGACACCCAGTGGCTTGGTGGTTTGGGCAAAACGCTAGGCGAGGGTGGCTCACTGAACTTTGGCCCCGCGTAGCTCGGACTCCCTTGAGTGGCCAGGAGCGTGTTTAAGTGAGACACTGCACCCTCCCAGTTCTGATCATAGTTGGTGGCAAAACGGACAGAAGCACTTTTCTCTGCAGACACGGCCTGCCGCGCCTCTGGAGACCTATGGTAGGCTACGCCTTTGTCGCTCCGGCGGTGGCCATGGTGGTGCAGGCCTCCTACCCCTCCTGCAGATGCTGCTGCTCCGTTCTGGTCACGGCTTCTCTGCTTGGCTCGTCCAAGTTGATGGTTCTTCTTGGGTAGAGGGCGCTCAGGGTGGGAAACTGGAATGTTGTACCTCTCTCCACCTCCCATACTGCCTCTTCACTACGTGTCACCTAAATAGCAAGAACATTGCAGATGTAGTTTAGCACACTTGGATTAAGTGCATTAATTGTGGTGTTGTGTTCATCTATTTTTGGCAAGGGTACACTAAACAAAGCCTAATCCCTCCGCAGTGCACGCACACACTTGCGCCACCTCTCAGCGAAAACAATCACAGAGCGGTACGTGCAGAACCACTCGGCTCTCAGCCGAGTCGCCCCTCCCCCACCCACAACGAGGAAAAACATCCCCCAGCTCACCTCTTTGTTGTGAAAAAGTTGACGACACGGAGATCTTCCTTCAATCTCTCGCCACCAATCGGGCCCCAGGTCCTCGCAGTGGTTCTCAATCTACCTCTCTCTGCACTTCGGTGTCCAGTAAGGTCTGAGGTTTTCATGTGCCAATAATGAGCGTTGTTTTGTCGTGAAGCCGAGTTGAACATCAATTCACCTCGGCACACGGGGCTCCAAGAAGTCGATGACCCTGCAGTGCAAAATGAGAATCTATTGGTTTGCTTTCACGTATTTAACTTCGAAGTTTTCTTACTTATGTATTTATTTTTCTTTTTTGAGTATTTTTTTTCTGTTTTCTTTTGGGGGGTGTTGTTATCTCACTGCAGCAGAAACCGAGCATTTGGTAGTGCGTCACCACACCTAACTCGGTAAAAATCAATAATAACCTAATAAATGTCGACTACATATATCGTTAATAAGGTGCTGCAGCTAAAGCAATGAATTACATAACAATAAAAAAACTGCGACATAAATTCCGTTTCAATTATCAAGCAGAAACATTTTTTCAAACACTCACACAAAAAACTTCGATGTTTGCTATGTCTAAATTCATTCTGACAATATTTGTTGAGTTAATAGTTCATTTACAATCTCGGTCAAACTACTCTGGCACCAAACCAAAACAAAGAAACTGGACTCAATATGGCGACGAGGAACAAAACTACACCGCTTACCGACTTCTACAGGCTCGGTTGATGAAACCTTCCTCGAAATAAGATGAGTGATATGCGTTAGAAATCCTTCCACAGACTAGGTAAGAATTATAGCGAGGCTATATTTCTTAGTAATCCGTAACCTTCAGGTTTACAGTGGTGTAAAAGACGGCCGTGAGGGGCCTCTTTTCTTTCTCTCTCCCGACTCCGTCTGAATTGCAACAAAATGGAATCTACAGCAGAGATATGTAGCTGCGTCTGACCGAAACCTGACCAATCAGGCGGTGGGGACAACGTGTACCAGCCAATCAGCGGAGAGAAAGCCAGACGCATTCACGCTTGTTGCCAGACCGGTGACGTCAATCGCTTGCCGTCCTCTCTTCTCCTTTGTTGGAGCTCGGGTATTTCCTGAAAGGGAAGCGAGAAAATAACCGAAAACAAACGACTTTAAACCTGCCCAAGGTTCCGCTTTCGGTCTAAAACTACATCGAAAATATGTATACGGTTTAATAGAGCAAGAAAGAATGGTTTTAAGTTGTAAAAAGATCAAATTGAATATTATGTAATGAAGACCCCTCATTTAAATGCGGTAAACACGTCAACAGATTATGTTTACTGGATTACACTGGCTGCTAAACTATTACAGGACAACTACTGAGTGTGGATCTAACCTGTTGTGTAGGGTAGAAACAGCTGTAACAGCCTGTTGTGAATTACTGGCTGTTGTTTTTTTTGCCCATCCCCCTATCCTTGTCTGCCCTACAGCTACAACATAAACAACACTGAACAGCAAATAAAGAAATAAATCTTAAACACTTATGGTTGTGTCTTTGACTGTTCTTATAGTTCCCTACCCCCAGTTTAAGGTGAAGTTACTCTCAAATGGTCGGTGGGGAATTGTATGTGCCATCTCATTTTAGATATTAACATAAGAAGAAGAGGTTTATTGATCCCCAAAGGGAATTCATATATACTGAGAAGCCTACACACAATGTGATGTGACAAACTTCAGTGCCATAACCCACCAAGAGTTTGAATACAAAAGCCCAGGTCATAGTTTACATTACCATGCAAACAGGCAACACAACTAATGCCACACTGTTAAATCTTCAGCAACATTTGTCCTCGGGGAGTATTGGGTGGGAACTTAACTACCCCCGATGTTTGTTTGAGTTAACCAACAGCCAAATGGTTAACAATGGACTCATGGTGTCTTCAGAGCAGATGGTTGTTTGGTTTCTAATTTAAGATAGATTGACTTGTAGCTGAGAATATTAACAGGGAGAGGCCTGGTATGGCCCATTAAATGTAAAGCTATTTCCAGCACTTTCTGACTTAATGGGGTTTTGGGTTATATAGCTGGATCTGGTTGCCCCTAAACAACCAGATCCTGGTTGTTAGTTTGTTGGTCTGTTGTTTAATGGGAGTAATTTTGCCCTTTTCTTTTTTGTCCATTTGTCAGATGACACTCTTTTATCAGTTGTTGTTGTACTTTTCATTGTACTTTTAAATAATGCACGTCTTATTCCCCTCCCTGTCTTGATTGGCTGACACAATGGTCTTTAAACTTGTTTTTGCGGTAGTGTGCAGGTCAAAGTCTGAAAGGTGCTGAACAGCTCGCGTCATATATCCAAGTCCATGGTCAACGTTATTTAGACCTCTTTCTTGTGTCAAGCGTCTAAGCTGTACAACAGTTTCGCAATCCCGTCTGTGTCAGAGCTTGTTGCTGAAGGCCTCGGAAAGACACTCCCCATAGCAAGGCGACCTTTGGATAGGGGTGTGTCCAACAAGAGTCAGCTATGTATGGAAACTAGGTCACCCAGAGGCTTCTGTAGGTCGAACAGAAGATAGGAGGTGAACAAATCTCCATATTTGACTGGCTGTAGGGTCTTACATAAACATGAACGAGATGTGATTAAAACAGTTGGCCATTTTCGACACTGTAATGGAATATACTCCTAGAACAAAAGGGTAAAAATAGATCAAGAGGATGTACAGAATTTTACAGCAGAGCGTCTCCGTCTCTCTCTCACACACAAGGCATTTCCCAAAACGTATGGGTGTAAACAGTGGAAACAAGCAGTGGGGTTTTACATGATTTGGAACAGAAATGTCTGGTGAGCACACCCACACTCAGTGAAAGGAGCAGAAGCAGAAACAGTTTCACACTATCAGCAGAAAGTTGGGCCAATCGCAAACAACTTGTATAACACATTCAGTTGAAATCTGTTCTTTTTGCTGCCAAGTTTTGTCCTATCTTGTTTGATTAGGGCACTGTGACATAACTGAATTAAAAGGAGCCTGAAAGCACTCACAGAAAGAAGAAAGGTACTCTCAAAATCTGTTTCAAGTCTGAGCGCAAACACAAAGAATTTGATCTCTGTTGCCCTCAATGTATCTCACTCAAAACTCAAGGAAGAGTTTTCAGGTTTCTGGATGGAAATAGAAACAAAGCAAAAAAGGCTGACCACAGACAGGTGATGTACATGTAAATCCATGAACCATGTAGCCAGTCTGAAAGCATACTGATATGTCCTAATGAGCCTGAGCAAAATCAAATGACTCAAACTCGTACCTGTATCCTGATTCAAGAGCTGAGTAATTCCCAAAGCCTGAAACCTAATACAAAACAATACAGGGTTAAATTAAACAGGGCCTGTTTGCTTCCTGAAGAGGCCTAAATGAGAGCTTCCATTCGGATTTTATGAATAATAATCATCTCCTTATTTTAATCCAGCCAAATACAGGAGTTCTTTTTTTCTCAGCGTGTACAGTATAACTATGTTTTTAAAAAAATGCATGAAAATAAAGTCTGTCTAACACAGTAAATGTGAGTTACACTGTTCTTTGTGTGGTCTGTTCAGCCATACAGAATCTAGACTGGCTGACAGCACTTTGATAAGGTTACAGGATCAGTCACTTGGTATTTTGCTCTTTTCAGATGAGTTGTCTGACCTTAACATTTTCTCTTATCATTGAATCTAAAAAAAACTCAGTGTACCCAGAGGATTTCAGTCAGTTTGGTACTAAATTACTGCTAAATGATGACGGACACAAGAACCCAGGACTGGGCTGTTGTTTCTTCTTGGGTTTACTGTGATTGTCTGGGTAAATATGAATAAATACTGAATTGTCCTTAAGGATAGATTGTTAAAATCTGAATCTGGACATGAGAGCAGTAAAAGCTTTTAAAGTTTGTACACCATTGTTACCTCTTCTTATTATTTCAGTGATTTTATAAGTGTTCATGTCAGAGGCTTTTACATAAGGTAATTGTTAAATTCTAAGTTAGAATATTTTTGTCTTTATTGGGTTTTTCAAGTAAAAGATACGTTTGGCTTGGTAGTTAAATTGTGCATCCCATGTACAAAAGCTAAAGTCCTTGAAGCTGGTGCCACAAGGCCCTTGCTGCATGTCATTTCCTACTCTTTGTTCCCAGTGTTGGTCAATCCACTATACTTTCTCACAAGTCCAAAAATAACATTCAAAGGGCTTGCCACTGCAGCTGAGCAGATACCTCATTATTGGTTAGACATGAAATGGATTAAAACTCATTCTGGTTCCTCTATTTATCCTACAGGAGCAAACAAAACCATCAGCAGTAAAGTCAACCTTTTCTATAATGTTGTTCAATGCTTGTAACCACTGCTGCAGGTCGGTGTCAGAAAAAGTGAGTGAAATAAGACTGCAAGAGGGTCTCTGTTTACATTATCCTTAACAAAGAAAAAATATTCCCTTGTTTTATTCCTGCAAAATTTAACTTGAATACCTGAATTTTAATTGTTCACTTGCTTCATTTGTCCAAATAATTCGCTCTGTTTACATGCCAGATCCTGTCTGTGCAAGTGCCCAAACACGTCCTTCATGCTATTTCAGTTTGTTTACGTCACACATGGTTGAGTTTGTCTACTTTGTGAGGATTTATTGCGTTTGCACAACTTACCAGATAATCCAAACTTTCTTCCATGCAAGCTCTTTGTCATTCCAGTTTCCAAAGAAAAAATGAGTCACGTCGTACAGCTGAAAGCGGCGGCCCAATGGCAAGATTGTTTACCATTTTTCCGTACAATGTTTGTTGCTTGTTTTACATTGACTTATTGATTCACTTGCGCTAGTGATTTGGTTTGACAATAGAAAGTCATCGGAATGAAGAGGTATGAGTTATTGCCTTGTCGATCAGGTGCACCAGTATTGACAAAGTTCCTCACAGGAGCTTTAAGATGTCATAAAATCAAGAGAAAAAAAACTGCCAAGAACCTGACTTATAATATCTACAAACTCTGGAATTAACTATTTGGGAACAACCACCCTTTTTTCTTCTTTATCTTCCAGCTGGAGCATTTTAGGTCAGTCACTCACTCAACTCAAAAACTCATGTGGCGCATAGTTTGTCCATGCTGTGCTACTGTAGAAACATGGTGGTTTAAGATGGAGGCCCTCTATAGAAGGGCATCCACTACTCTCTGAACTTATTCTAGGCTTACAAATAAAAACTGGTTTTACACTTTGAATATAATAATGAATGTTATATTCCTTTCCTACCAGGTCTTCATAGAGTCTGAATCAATGTGGCTCAGACTAGGAAAAGTACGTTTGAATATTTCAAATGCTGAACTAGAAAACAATGAAGAAAAATGAATGTGTAAAAGGTTAATCTTGTATTATGTGCTGACCTCAGGTTAAAATAGGGTCAGAGTCTGTAAGGGTTTGTCTCCTGTGATATTTAATTGGTTCTTAAAACTTATCAATTTATGCCTCTGAATTTGATTTTTAATTCTTTGTTCATTTTGATGCACAATTCGATTTCTGAATGAATAATTAAACTATTTATTAATAATTAATAATTCAATTACCAGAATCCAAGGAGCAAAGGAAATAATTACCCATTATTAAAACATTTAGCATGAAGTAATTAGATTTCTGCTCTTCATTTTTCTTTTGTTTTTCACATCTGTGATCTGATACTGCTGTCTGAAGGTCTGGCAGTCTGGAAATGAGAGGAGGAAATTTGATTAATGGATTCAGCCCGAATCCATCTGAAACAGCACAGCGAGCCGTATCATGTTTGTGTCCGGGCCGATTTCTAAAAAAAGAGGTATTGTGTAACAGGATGATGTAATCCAACTAATAATTGAACATTTCCGGCTTTCTTCTGTCCTGTTGTCTGTTCTGTTGTGATGCACCTGGCCGGGCAGTGACTGAGAAGAAATCTTATTGAAGCTGTTCTGCTCGCTATAATCACATTTCCTGCCTTCTGGCTTGATGGGTGGATCAGGTCAACAGAGGGAATGACATGACCAGCACACCCTGTCACTCTTTCATTAAAAGAACGCTTATTTATCTATTTTTCCTTTAAAAAGTGCTTCATTCACCTGAGCTGAACTTGATTAAAACATCTCTTTCTGACCTGCTTTATTGTTTTATCATTTAATAGATTTGTCAGTCCCACTTTATGTCTAGTTAGCATAGTTTTTTTTAAAGTCACAGGCTATATAAATAAGTCACTAATTTCTTTGAGAATGCCTCAGGTATGTGATTTTATGACCTGATTAATTTGTCATTAAACTAATAATGTACTTTATTGCACCAGAAGGGCTTCGGCTAAATTAAGTGTCCTTAATTGATGATGAACAGCCTTTTGAGATCAGTTTTCATTTTTGATCATTTAAGCATTATTAGCTGCTCAAACCCATGGCCATTGCTATGAATGTCACTAAGTCACTCATTACTGAGTGTCCAACATTTCACGGTTGCTGAGCATTGCCCCCTGTTGTCCTGCAAGCAGAATTACAGCCTGTCCATTAAACAATGACTACCAGCAGCACCAAGCTTGTAATACTAATGAAACTGATCATCTGAATTTGCAACAAAAGCCTGTTTACACAATTTAAGACCAGCTGTGGATGTTAATATGTCTCTCAAGGGTGCATACTATACACATACAGATAAAGAGGGAGTCACATTTATGCATAAGTAACTTCTTATTTTGCCATGAATAGCAAAAAAGTTGTATTTTTTTATGCAAACGCTTAAGTTTCAAAACTGCAGACAAATTTCAAAACTTTTCAACACTTTTGCAAGTTATTTCTCCAATCACTGTGTCATTATTCATGCCAAGTGTTGTAAGAATAGCATAAAAATAACACAAATTATGCAATTTTTCTTCCATGTGTGTTTGCGTGATGCTCTGTCAAATGAAGATAAGTGGAGAATAATTAGCCAGAGAGGTGGAAGGAAACGCTGCTGCTGCACAAACAGGAATAATTCAGGGGCAAGGAGTATTTACTCTGGGCAAAACATGTCAAACAAGGTAATTAATTTAAGTTCAAAAGGGATTTCTTTTTCTGTCTGAGAGCAGAAATGTGACAAATCGTCACAAATAATACGCTAATTAATAGTTATTTATGCACGAGAAAGCTGTAACTCAGTTCTTATCATCTGTACTTTTTTATTTTTATATATTTTATATTTGCAGCAGTCATTTTAAATCTCTTTTAAATATCTTATAGTCACTTTAAAACTGATTATATTCCTGTTTTATATAATTTTATGTACTCGGTTTGTCTTCTCTTAAATATCTCTGTCTTCTGTGTCTTCAAATATGTTGCTTTTATCTTCCTTTGAATGCTTTCTTCACCGGGATGCCTTTTGTGTCTGAAATGTGCTCTATTGATGAAATTGCTTTGCAGAAATTGCAGAAGGTTACTGTATTTGTCACACAAGGCGTGTTTGGAGTGTTTTCCATTGCTTTTTATATTGACATATTTTTTCACACCCAGCTTAAGTGCTCTGCTGCTCTGAGTCTGCCCTTTACACAGTCTGCTGGAAAATCATAAGAGGAATCAAAAATGTATAAACCTCACAGTCTCTATTGCTGTGCACTTATGTCTATGGTTAAAAGTCATATTATAGTCTAATTCAGGAAAATAGACTCTTCTGCTCTAACTTTTTTTTCTCTCTCTCAGACTCCAGCTGTGTTCACAATAACATCATTTGAGCTCTTTCATCTCTCTCTCTTTCTCTCTCTCCCTCCCCCCTTCTCTCTCTCTCTCTCTCTCCTGTCATCACAGCCACCCACCTTATCTTCTCCCCTCATTCGTGCTCTTTGCCACCAGTCAGGTCTGTAGAGGTTTGTGTGGTCTTGCTGTGCTTGTTTCTGCCGCTGCTGAGAGACTCAACTGACACAAATAAAACAAGAGAACAAAGAGCGGGGAAAAGGTAAGTTATCAAAAGCCGTTTGAAATGCTGAAACAAAGTAAAAGTTCTTTTTTATGTATTTGATTAAGAAACAGATTTGCTCATGTCTTAAGTTGCTGAAATGAATTGTCTGTTTGTACTCTCTTGGCAAAAGAGCTTCTGCATTTTGCAAGAAAGAGGCAGAGTGCAACAGTGACTCAAGACAGAATTACCACATCAGATTTTAACATGTCTGATAATGATGATGTGACTAAAATTGACGTCTGTTTTAGTTCTTTTTTTACATTATCATAAATGATTGAGCTGCTGCAGCTTTCTTGAAGACAAAATCTTTTCTTATAAATCAATAACACTTTCTCAGCAGTCACAACACTACTCTCCCTCAGTCAAGGACTTTTTTTAAACCATGAGAAAGAAGAAGAAGAAGAAGCCTGAGGTGGTGTAATATCTCCTGTGCACATACTGCTCTCAGTCATGTTGAGAAATATTGTCCTTTCAGTAAAGAGGTGGAAGATAATTTACTTCTGCTCCTTTACAAGACAGTATCATATTTGTGGTGAAAAAACTGAAACTAGGCTCACTAGACAGGAAATAAAGCGGCTGAAGAGCAGAGCGACCTGATTAGGTGAAAGCGTTCCCTCAATTGCACTCACGAGGATTGTAATCACTCTCACTGTTTCCCATTAAATTCTACTTTATGATTTGTACAGTTTTTGTTATCATTCTTCAACTGCAGTGAAAAATTTTCCCGTAAAGCCAGTGCAAATCATAAATTAATGCTCACCTGCATGAACAAAAGTTGTATTTATGTTTTTGTCCGAGCAGTCATTAGTGCCCCGACCAATCTATCACGGCATTATTGACTTTAATCAAATCCTCTCACATCACACCGAGTTTAATCTATTGATTGCATACAGGTGATGCACTCAGCAGAGGATTGTTCATCACTGTGGTGACCTTCACACTCAGATTTACTGTTTTGTTAATGTGCAGTTCGTCTTCAATTCCAGTAGGAGGCAGTCTACATCCTGTAGAGTATGATAATAAGAGACATACAGGAATGTTATGGTTATGTTTGCATGCACTTGTAGTAAAACCACTTTCACTTTGATTATAGATATAAACTAAACTATTGATTTACATGATAAAAATAAGAAAAGTCATGCAAAGCGGTGCATACTTCAGCTATATCTATCTGCACGTGACACAAAGACAAAACCCTCTTTTTATCTGCATGCTTAAATGTGTATGTAAGGGAGCAGAAAAACAAAGACACACTCATGCAGTACTTCATTTTGAGCATGTGTGATGTTGTATTGTTTCTAAAAATTGCGGTTTTTAGTTGATGCTTGTTATTGTGCACAGATTGTCGTGCAAATGGTGTTGCAAACTGTGTTATATGTATTTTAATGCATGTGATCACACCAAAAGTTGACTTCCTTTATTTAGATGATGATTTTAGGTAACTCTACTGAGAGTTTAAATAAAATCCCACCATATTTACACTGCTGAGATTTTGGGATCTATCAAATCATATGACCCCTGACTTTCTAAATTTATAAAATGATAAGGTAATATAATTATGACAGGTTTTTTTTTTTATTTCCAGTAAAAATAAAGCTCACCAGTCCTTGTTCCTGGAATGCAGAGTGTTTTATGATCCGTTTTAAATCCAGCAGGATCCCGTCAACTGTCCCCTCAGGACGAGCATCATCAGCAGATACTGTAATGATCATTGTCTGTTTACAGTGACCTCTAAATGACTTTCTGTCTTGACTCACAAATGTTAATGTTCACTTTAAGCTCCAAGTTCAATATTGACAAAGCGAGATCACAGTTTCTTTTTTTATGTGTTTCTCCACAGGAAGTTGACCGTGTCATCTGTTGAAAAAAACCCTGAAGGTTTGTCTCCAAATACATTATTATACATGTACATGTGGCAGAGTTTCAGTGATTTATTTTGTAAATGCAGTATATTTTCATGTTGGCTGCATTTGTGTGTCTAAAACTAATTTCACTTTTTTATGAAAAAAGTCAAATGACTAGCAAAAGCGCCATCAGCAACCACAGTTCCCACAGTCATATCTAGGCCTGTAACAACTGTGGGGGGTAGGTGTCAAACCAGCGTTCACACAATGAGGACAATGCAAGTGATACATTCAGTACGTTCACATGTTGTTCGGAAAAGCTGATTATTGCCTGAAACTGAACTTCGACAAACATGTAAACATGTAGTCTGACTGAAATCTCACTTAATTGAACTTCTTAAAGTTGGGTTAACATACCAAGATAATGCGGTTAGAGATCAATTTTCTCTTTCATGTCTACAGCTCTATCAGATTGAAACTGGCTTAAGGGTTCTGTGCATGCAAGAGTTCGCGTGCTGGGCTTTAAGCTGAAGCCTGATAAGCATCAATGTTTTGCTTTGAGGCTTGGTAGTAAACAAAGCCTTAACAGATGAAGAAAGGGCGTAAAAAATAAAAACTTTCCTATGATACACACGCAAAATGATAGTGTTGTAAAAGTGACTGTTCAGTGCACATCCCAATATGTGACTATAGTGAATAATATGACAACCAGGAGACAACCCAAGAGTAACAAGCTGAAAGGGAGCACATTGCCCCCTACCATAGAAAGGTGGACATGATTCTGTCAATGATTTGATTCTCGACCAGTGATTTTAAACTGGGACAAAGACAGCAGTCCTGTTACATCGCCCAATCAAGCTCAACTTAGCTGAGCATGTAAACATACTGACTGTTCTACGAAATCAGGACATTTTACAACAGAAAACCTGTCTTTCGCATGTGCAGGACAAAATCAACAGAGATCAGAGCCTATCAGGGCACCCAACATAACTCAAACAGAAAGTTTCTTACTGAAACTTTAAGGAATTCTTATGATTGTGATAGTATATTCCTCTACAAAAGCGTCCTTGGATTAGTAGCAATACTCTGATGAATTCATTAAAAAGTGAAAGATGGGCGTATAGACAGACAGAGCAGTACTGGTTAAAGACAAGACTAACTTTAAAGGTTACAAATGCATCAGACAAAGGTTGGCGTGATGGACTGTGTGCAGAATTGAGCCATAAAAGGTCTCCTGGTATGTGGTGTGATTTCCTTTTTATGTTCTGTTAGCACAATCATAATGTTCAGAAATTGATAATTTTCTCTTAATGCCATTTTTTATTGTTTTATAAAATGTCGTGCTCATCATAAAGTGTCTTTCATGGCATATTTTTCCAACTTTTCTATCAAGGGACATCAAAAACGGATGAGACTGATGAATTCCATCAATTTCAATTCGTCAATTTTGTTGTTTTATTTTTTCTGCATATAAATTACTGTCATGCTGCATCTTAATATCAGTCCCTAGCAACACTGGCCCACACAGTGACAGCTGAGATGGATGAGTTAAAGGTTCCCTCATGTTTGGGGCCCCCACACGCCAAAGGGAACACCTCATCACTAACAGGTATATAAACAAATACATTTAGTTGCTCCTTTAAAGTCTAACAGATAAGGATATTTTCTTTGTAATTAGACAAAATGACGGTGGAAACATAGCTGTTGTCTAGATATACTTTTAAACTAATATCTGTCCTGTTATACCGTATGTAAACCTGTTATTTTTCTCACAGTTAACACATCCTGTGAGAATCTGGAGTGTTACATGGTCCTCATCCAGGCGGAGAAAACAGCCATCGGCTCCATCTGTTTCCTGGCAGGTCCCATCACCCTCCTGGAGAACGCTCTGGTGCTGGTGGTGATAGCAGCCACCGCCACCCTGCGACAGCGGCCTTCATTTCTCTTCATCGGCAGCCTCGCTCTGGCTGATGTCTTTGCCAGCTGTTTCTTCACCACCAGCTTCCTGGACTTCCACCTGTTTCGCCGCAGCGATGGCCCCACCGCCTACCTCTTCAAGTTAGGTGGGGTCACCATGGCCTTCAGTAGCTCTGTAGGGAGTCTTCTGCTGACTGCTCTGGACCGCTACCTCTGCATTCATCGGGCCTCCAGCTATAAGGTGATGGTGACCCGAAGGAGAGCCGTGCTGAGCCTGGTGGTCCTCTGGAGCGCCACCATCTTCATGTCCTTCCTACCTCTAATGGGGTGGAGGTGTCCCACAGGGCTGACCCCACCCTGCTCATGCCTCTTTCCCTACATCAACCAGGGCTATCTAGCATGCTGGACCAGCTTCATCCTGGTGATCTTGGCTCTTATTTTAGGCGCCTATGCTCTCATTCTGTGGACTGCACACCGCCACGAGTCCTCCATGACCAACATCCAGGGAGCAGCAGGGACCGGCCACGCCCGCATGAGGATGGATATCCGGCTGGCACGTACCTTTGGGCTGATCCTCGTCATACTGGTGAGCTGCTGGCTCCCTGCACTCTCCTTCATGTTGGCTGATGTCTCCATGCTCTTGACACACACCCAGCAGAGGGCCTTCGCCTTCTGCAGCACCCTCTGCCTGGTCAACTCTGCAGTCAACCCGCTGCTGTACGCGCTGCGCTGTCGAGAGCTCAGAGTCGCTCTGCAGCAGCTGATTCACAGACTGTGTGAGGCTGGGAGGTGTAAAAAGTCCACCGAAAACTTCAGCCCAGGATTACCCTCTATAGAAAACTGTACTGCCTGTTCTGGGAACGAGATGCCCAGGAACAGAGACACCCAACTCAGCTCAATCTCAGAGGTGGTGGACAGTCAGGTGATGGATATGAGAAAATGAGCTACTGTACAGACAGAGAGGTGTAAAAACAGACATTATCTAGATCTTTACTTTGGACTAAGAAACCTACATTCAGATTCCTTCTCATCAAATCAGAAGTGCTGGAAAAATATCCATCTTGCCTTTTTCATAAGTGCAGCTGTGGTAACAAAAACACAAACATACCATTGTAGCAAACCAGGAAATCTAAAAATGTGGGAAATATGCACAAGGGTTGTTTGTTGGTACTTACCCAATGCAGCAGAAAGACCGGTTACGAGAAGCAAACATTCGTATCAAACAGAAATGTTCACATACCAATATGAACTACTTGTATTATCTGTATCAACCTCTGATTAACTTAGTTTAGTTACTGTGAGACTAAAAATAAAAACTACTGCGTGGTGCCAGCAAAAGTCAGCAATCAGTGTTTTTTCGTCTACAAATTATTTTAATTTTCTAATTCTATAAGTCCAATTAGTGCTAAGATCATGTGCTTTAGATACTTTCATTGGCAACTGTTTAACATTTTAATACTGCTATCTGTACTGTTGTTTCGTTAAGCAGGTAGAAGCAGATGCTGTCTAGATATCGCAGTAATGGTCTTAAGACAAGATGGCGCCACACAAATTGCTCACCTGATTCAATGTTTTTCTTTCCTTCTTAAAACAGCACGAGCTTTACAGAAGTATTCTGTGAAAGCATAACAAACAAAGGTTTACACTGATCTTAACTGATATCAGTCAGATACTGACTCAAAAATCTAGATCAGGCATCAGTGACAGAGGGACAATCCTAGACTATATTTAGAATGGACAGCGTCTGCCTCCTCGCTAGGTGAAGCCACTACGAGAACAGCACCCTCTGTTGATGGGCTGCAGTACAGGTCATAAATCCCGCCTCTGCCAACCATCCTTATGGGGCTGTGGACAAATTTATTACACAGAATATACATTTTTCTCCCCCCGGTTGTGATGTTGACATGTAGTTATGGAGAGACTGGTTTGTGCTGAAGTCCTCTTTTTTTCTTTGTAGCTCAGTTTTTAAAAGTTATTAGGGGGTTTATGTTCTCTATGATTGACACTTGATACGACCTATGGGCGTACGAAGATTGCATAGCTCACCCAGGGGATACGCTGTTTGAGCCGAGCGTCATCACAGCGACTCTTGACGACTCTCCTGCCAAATGCGCACAATGCTACTGCGCAATATTGGTTTCAGAAAGTGGAGAAAAGTTGCAGAATTACTGAGAGCTTTTCGGCTTCAAATCTGTACACTGGCGGAAGGCGGAACCAAGTTGTCCATAGTCTACGAGGAGGATCATTGAGGCAGATCTACTTTACTCAGATCTATACTATCTTGTGTGTACATACTTGTGTTAGGGTTAATGTCATTAGTGAATCATTAGGTCTTTTAAAAGCTGAAAAAGCTGACTTAGATGTTTTGGGGTAATTTTGGCTTTTTAGACACCAAAGCCGAAGGACTTTAAAAGGTAGATCAGTGAATCCTTTAACTCAAGCCTAGCAGACACAGACTTGTATTGGGAACAATAAAGGTAGAGGAACATCTCTGGAGGAGGTGACTGTAAATCAAAACTAAGTGAAATGATATTATAATATCTCAGTGGAACTAGAACTTCTGATCTATTGGTGTTTGTCCAAGCCATGGGAAAGGTCCATGTCAGTATTTTAAAGTGAGATTCTGTCATATGGCCAGCCGACCCCCAACCTTTGACCTCTCTACCCCATGACAGTGTTTGGGACCTTTCCTCCTGAACTGAAGTGCTGACTTAACTTTCAGGGGTCACCTAACCTCATGGTAGAAAGGTGGACTTGTTGTTCGTCTGCTCGTTTATGTTTAAATATTTTTGTGCATGAGCACAGAAGACACTGTGGGCTGCCTATTCTATCTGCACATGAATGCCAGAACTCCACAAAAGCTCCATGCACGAGGAGGATTTCACACAATGTTCACCCTATGTGTTCACCACATGAATCCAAGCAGTGTGCCGAGGTAAAAGGGACAAATGATGCCAGGACGAGAACGAATACAAGCACTGGAACACTCTTTGCTGCTGCTGTGACAAAGAGAAGCTGCAGTAAAGCACAGACAGAAATGCACTTAAAATCACACGCACATACTCTAACACAATAGAGAACCACAAAAGTCTTATAGTTGTTGATCTGAAGCCACTAGAAGAAGGACACTTGTTGCAATTATTGTGTCGGATGAATAAATAAAATAATTAATCATTTTGAGTATGTTGGTTTTTTAAAGCAACACTCTGTTCGCAAATATTAATCATTTCACATCCTTGTATCCTCATACCCATCAGTAATCTACCTATGATCATGTTAATAGGAGGGGGAATCTCAGGGCAACTCACTATTGTCCAGGATAACCATGTTACCATACAACAGTGATTATGACTATATGTTATGAACATACAATAAGAGTCTTTTTTTTTTTTTAACATGATCACCAGATGGTATTATTGAAAAGTGGATGGAGACGGTGTGCTGGAGTTAGGGCCGGGCAATATATAGGAAAAAGTTTATCACTATATAGGGCATTGGAATTGATGGCTGTGTCCGAAATGGATCCCTAACCCCTACAAAGGTGACTACATAAGGGTTAGCCCCATTTTGAGGGGTGTCCTAAACCTCAGTGATCAATTCCAGTGCCCAATATAGTTGACTCAAAATTTCCCATAAAGCATTGCAAAATGTCGTGACCATCCGATGGTCACTCACTGGTGGTGGGCATCCCGTCGTGCATTTCATCATGCCATGTAGTGTCCGAAACCTCCGGTGACTGAGCTAACTAAGTAGTCAACTATATAGTGAAAACCCATATGGGGGTTAGGGGTTAGTGATTAAGTGATTCATTTTGGAGACAGACGATCACTCAGGTTTTGGACACCCCTCAAAGTGGTGCTAACCCCCATATAGTCGCCTATATAGGGGTTAGGGATCCATTTCGGACACAGCCTATGTGTGATACACTCACAAACTGCAACTTCAACAATGAATTAAAAGAGCATTTGTCACCTGACTGGCCATGTCAACAGAAACTGAAAACCTTAGTGGGACTAGAAGTCATGGCAGAGCTGTTGTATTGCATTGGTTGCTTTGGTTTACCCAGGTGGCTAGTCGGTGTTTTTGCCATGTGGATGTTTTGTTCCACCCTTATGTGCTTGCTTCACCACGCCAGTGTGAAAGAAAATGCTTTCTAAACCACTCTGCTGTCCCCCTACAGCAGATAAAAACAACTTACCCTCTATCAAAGAAGATTATTGTCAACGATCACTTCGACGTTCGTTTTTAATCTACTTTTCTTACCTGACCACCACCGCCAGACGTCTCGTGAACCTTCAATTTGAGTTCAACGGTTAGCAATAATCGGTAACGGCGGGTGGGGAGACAAGAAGTCAAATGATGAAAAAGGCGAAACAGAATCAGCACAATCAAAGTGCAATCGTGAAAATAGTTCAAAGTCGTTTTAAGATGACTTATTTAATGAAAATGACGGTTGAAATAGCGCAAACAAACAAATTACGATGCCGTACGTGTATGCTAACCCCCTCTGAAGTGAGAAAATGGTGCCGTCCATTGTGACGTTTTAAAAATTCAGCAGGCAGGGTCGGCAGTTGGCTTACTACTCAGAGAAGAAGAAGAAGAAGATCCGTTGTTGTGGAGAGGAAGAAAGGCTCAAGAGATCCGAGGAACGCTTAACGCGACAACAACGAGCTTTAAACCCCTTTTTTGTGGGTCGTTTTTCCTCCATTTTAACCCCCCACCCTTTTCTTTTTCGCCAACATGGCTTGTGGAGCGACGTTAAAACGGTCGATGGAGTTCGAGGCCCTCCTCAGTCCCCAGTCTCCCAAGCGGAGAAGGTGCAATCCACTACCGGGGACTCCCAGCACTCCGTCCCCGCAAAGATGCAACCTCCGTCCCCCGGTCGACAGCCCGACGCACTCGATGTCTCCCCCAGCCATAGGAGGCGAACACAGGCTCACCCCAGGTATGAAATTAAAGCGTTTTTGACGTTTTTATCTGCGTTTCAGGGTGGGTGTCATGGGGGAGGGGGTTTGGGTGGAGTGGAATGGATAGCTAGCTAGTTTGGAGGATCAGAATGGGGGTTGGAGGCTAAACGGTAACATTAGCTTAGCCGGGCTAACTCCAGGAAAGAGAATGTCGTTGCTTAGTTACCGACACAGATAATATTAACTAATCAGAGTTAATCAAAAGGCCTTAAAAGTGAAAACGGCTGTGTAGGAATGTATGTGCTACCATTTTGCTACCTCATTGTATTGTTGCATACCTGAGTAAGTTAGCTTTTAGTCACTGATTTTGATTTGCACGGGATAAAAACGCTGTTAAAGCTCATTATATATAGCTAATTAAATCATATTCATAGCCCAGAAGCAGTTAAAAGTAGCTATCTGACTTCTCTTTATGTGCTTATTTGTGTTTTGGTCAAATAATTGTTTTTGGGGGGAATCTAACAAAAGATCCCAGCTTTACCGTGATACCTGTGTGACAAATCCAGCCTGTTGGCTCCCTTATTAAGAGACAAATGGTATCACAGCAGCAGGCACATCATGGCAGGCTGTTAATGAGGAGCTGCCTGGGTAATGTTCCTTGGTTTTAGTGCCACAATTGTCTTGCACAGAGGTGGGGGGTTACCATTATGCACCACTACCATTTCTTTTCCTCTTCAGGGCCACGGGGTATTGTTCATTTCCTTTATGTCTGTACTCTTTCTCCCTCCCTTTGACACAGAGAGCACCACTGTAGGTGTTGGGTGGGTGTGGGGCGCACAAAGTAGACCCAAGATTATTACCTCGATGATCCAGTTAAAGCACTCGGTGTGTGCCAGTTGCTGAGGTTGGTCAGTGTGATGCTAGTGAGAGGTGTGAATATGTCTCTTTTTGGAATTAAATCATAACAGATCTAGATTTGATTGAAGAAATGATAGCAAGAGAAAAGCTATTTTCTGTTAGAGATGATCTATCCTACATTGTAACCTGGTTCTTGTGTGTTGATCCACTGACCTCAACCCTTTCAACAGTTAATTCAAAACATATCTTTAATCTTTGAATGTAAAAGATTGTGGTCCTCTTTTCGACAGCCAAAGCTGTGGTATTACCCCCAATTTCCTACGCATCCGGAACAGCTACGAAAAGGCCGTATCCGTCGATCGTAGCTGATCGTAATCATTCAAGTTATTGTGTCAATTTCCAGTGGCTTCTTTCCGCTGCGGATCGCTGGACTCCGCAGCTGATCGCCACAGTTCGTTTTTTTTTTTTTTCGGATGCTGGAGCGTGCCGGATAAATTCAGCACAGATTAACCTGTGCCTCACAAATGGATCCGGTAGGAATTGGCGTACAGCGAAAATTGTTGCCGTTCTGGATTGAAGCCATTCCGGATCTGAGTCGTTTTGGATGCGGTAGAAATGGAGTCTTATTCTGCGTTCGAGTTACCTCTGAAGTCAGAAGTCCGAGCTTAAAAATGATGTCACACCCGAGTTCCCAGCGTTTCAGTTACCAAGTCGGAAAAAAGCAAAATTGTAGGACTGAAACAAGATGGCTACATCTACGAAAGTTATTTTAGCGCTTGCATTATATTCGGACAAGGCAAGCGCTTTTTTCCAACTTGGTAACTGAAACACTGGTTACTCTGGTGTGATGTCATTTCAGTTTGGATTTCTAACTTCCAAGATAACTAGAATGCAGCATTATTGTATGTCACCACTGCAGGACTTCCAGCCAGCATTTTGTCTCATTTCTTTGCTTTTTGACTTAGGATTCAGTCGGTACTCTACATGAAAGATTTACTAGCTGGGAAAGCTGAAAGAAAAGTCTCATGTGAGCTGTAGGTTAAAATCAGCTGGGTTAGGAAAGGGCCAACATTTTGAAGCCTGCTATGCTATGTCATATGTATCAAAACAAGAAGCAGTTCATGGTTTCTGCTGCTCATGTTCTTTTTCTTTTTGCACTATCAGAAAAAAGGCCTCATGAGAGCCTCAACAGAGGCACACAAACACAGATGTAGGTGTTGATGGAGATGTCTTCACAGCTGGAATCCTGTGAAATGTCTTTGTGTCTGACTGCCTCTAGTGAATTGTGTTACACTTATCCTGGTAAGCCAGAGTCCAGTAATGATTCAAAGAGTATTTTGTTTCTCATGAAGCTCAGAGCGCTTCTTTGAATATGTAGTTTCCTCGAGGTGACGCTCATGTTGTTGCCTCTGTCATTCCTCATATGCAATCAGACATACTTGTGACTTATCCCTCTGGGTGGGAGGGGTATGTCTTAAGGATCTGCGTTTATGTTTGTGCAGAAAATGAATTATTCACATTGTTCTCTTTCAGATTGCTTGCTCTGGTGTTGTTCATTTACCTCGAACATAATGTTAAGAATCCAGAGAGCCTCTGGTGCGCTCCATCTCCTCTGTAGTCTGTCCGTCTCGCTGAATTACAGCACAGCAGCTGCAAGTAAATCTGCAAGTAATGCACATTTGTCTGCTGCAGACATGAGGCCCAGATTCCAGGTATTATACTCACCTTCAGCCAGAAAAGAGGCCCCTTGTGGGACTGGTGCTGCAGGCCTGCCCTTCTTCTGTGGTTTGCCAAGCGAAAGCAGTTTTGTATTTTGCGAAAGGTCAGCTGTCATCCCTCCCACCCGTCTCTACCCACATCGGCTTTCCAGCTAGTCAGGTTTGCTAATGGTGAGCAAGTCGGGGAGTGCAGAGGAGACAAGGGGATCTTAACAGATATTTATAGGTAATTATTTCATGATGAAGTTAGAGTTTCCCCCCCTCTGCTGTCTTTTTGTGCTGCCAGTCCGGGCTTGCTCTTTTGGTGAGTTCCCCCAGTTGACAGATAAAGTAGAACTTGTTGACTATTATGTTGCTGTATTTAAAGTTTCCACAAAACCTCTTAGAGTTACTCAAAGTCTTTTCTTCATGCCGCAGTCAGCTTCTGAAACATCGTTTGTCATCATCTGTAACATCTTCTCTACATTTGTCACTCCCAAAGCGGACACTCCTCACTTCCTCACTGCGAGGGCAACTTGAACTGACCCGTAATACATCACGAGCTACTTCCTGGCAGTTGGAACATACAAAACCCACCTCCCCCCAAACAATCCTTTCGCAGTGGAGGGTGAAATGAAATGAGTCAGCTTTGTTTTCTCTGCACCACCATGTCCAATCTATCCAGCCGATCTCCCTTTCGTATTCAGTATTCGGCCTGTGCTTAAGCCTTTTAGCCAAGGCTTTCTCCACTGTTTCCCCCTGGCTCCCGGAAGTCTCTGTGATTGATTGCTTGGCCTGGTTTTGGCAGGGGTCATTGTTGCCAAGCAACACCCACAGTCGAGGCGCTAGTAGTTGGCAGATCTGGAAGTGATGGGCAGCAAGAGAGGGGTTTTCATTCGTCAGCTGGATAAACCCCGAAGTGGTGATAACAACAAATAACAAGTGTCGACCTTTTTTCATCTACCTTGGCTTAAAATGTGACTAAATTTGGTTTTGAATGTAATCACAGCTTTGATTTATTAGATGTGCATTCAGATGTTTTACTTTTAGTTTGTACATTGAGTCCAAGTAACGCGATTGCATCAAAGCAGATTTGAAAGCCAGTGCGAGCGAGTTTTTCTTTCAGTTCTCTCCAGAGACGGCATCTTGCTCTCTTATGCTCAAACAGCTTTTGTTTAAACAACAATCACGCTGAGCTCTTGTGTGCTCTTCAGGGTTTCCCCCAGGAAATTGGTAAGCGAGGGTGGTTGAAAACAGGCAAGCAAGACACGAGAATGAAAACGGAGACAAGACTTTCTGTCTTGCACCGAATTCCCCTTGAAATTCTAAGATTGGGTTAATTATCTGGGGAAAACTGAGGAGCCGTTTAATGGGATTCGGCCTAATTTAAAATATGTGCTTCAGCTCGTGTTAAGGTCAGACTCTCAAACAGACTGTGTCCTAAATCTCTGTGTTGTGTTGAGACTGTCTGATCAGAGTTGTCAGTGGTGTTACCATTGAACAACTAGAGCTGTTAAGATATGATTCAAAGTGCTGCTCTGATAATACTTTTCTTCCTCACATAGTTTATGATTGCAGGACTAGAGGTCCTTTCGCACCGGGATCGTTTTTGTCATGCGATTATTTCGGACGTCAATATTTTTTTCCCAACCCGTATCCTGTCAATACAGGCGTTAACATAAGTGACGTTTTCCCATCCTGCGATATTGCGGCATTTATTTTTTCGGATCATGTTCGATTTCAACTTCGACCTGAAGGACAACTTGTGGAGAGTCATAGCGTCAGATTTCTCATGACGATATTTTGTGTGCCATAAACAGTTTGCTAAACGTCTTTGTTTTAACTTTCATCTGTGCTAATGTATGCTAACTGTTGTTATCATAGTTTCATGTGCTTATCTTATCACCTCTGATAGGCTATAAGTGCTGACCGTTTGGCTTGAGCATGTGATGACGTTTCCAGCTTTACTAGCCAATCAGAGGCGAAGGAGGCGTGACTTTCCCTGGCAAAAGTCTTCCCCGGGATGCCTCTTTTCCCCCGAAAAGTCACAAAATCGCATCGGGCTCGATGTGTATAGTCAGGTGCGTCAAAATTCACCTCCGAATATTTCGTACTTTCGCGTTCTATATTCGTGTCGGCCCCGGTGTGTAAGGACCTTTATGGTCACATGACATGGAAGCTGTTGAAGAAAATGTTCAAAATTTGCCTTTAAATTTAACACAAAGATTTATGAGGACAAATTAGGGAAATAAAAAGGTGTGTCTTATTGGTCGACATAAATATTATTTGAAATCAATTTTAGGTCAATTGGTCACATGACATGGAAGCTATTGAAGGAAAATAGCCTTCTCTGAGAAGATCATTTGGTAATTGATTGATGGTCCCTTATTCAACACCCGATGTTGACAGCGGAGATGCCGAGTAGATTTAATTGCGTTGCGTCGCTCACGTTTATTTTTAGTCGCAAATGTGAGTGATATGGTCGCAATATCGAACCCTGGATTGTCATCGATTGTGTTATGTACATACAGTTGATTTAAAGTAGAAGAAAAAGTAAAGGAGTCTTGCTGAGCTGAAGTCACACCTTCACACTGCGTGCCAGCATTGATGGAATACCAAAGATATTTCAGCTCTAATATAAAACACACAGCGATCTGCAAACAAACAGTCCCAGTCTCACTGTCTTAGTGTGAAAAGAAGATGTTACTTCTGCAGTGACATGGCTTTATGTGGAGTGAATAACGCAGTCGTGGCTAAACAAACAGAGCCTGTCAGATAAGGGTCCTGTGCTGTTAATACTGGATGCTTTCAGAGGCCACATGCAGCGAGAGGAGGGGTCTTAAAGGATCCAGCTCGTAAATGCCAACACATTGAAGTTGAGAAATCCAGCCCTAAAATATAATCTATGATTAACACACCACATAAGATTCAAGATTTCAAATATGCTGCCATTTTAAGATTTTTATTTCTTATTGTGCAGCTTGCAGTGCCACACTTCTCCCAGTCCACTTCCTGGTTATTTTTGAGCTGCTTCCACAGTCTTGAGAAAGACAGTAATTTGTGTGTGGTTGTGTGCAGCAAAGCTGGATCTCCTCTTCAGCTATGGGGGTCCAGTATGATTATCATTCAGGTCAAAAAGTGAAGATGATTTTCATTTTTATCATTTGACTACACTATGCATTCAAATTCATTCATGAACTCGACTTGTTTCCTGGTTACAGGCCACATGTGTCTTTCTTGGATGATGAGGAAAACAGGATTTTCTCTACAAACAAGCTTACTGGTGAGCAGGCTAAAGTGACTGCAACATGGCCTCTAGCTCCCTCCCCACCCAAGATAAATAGGCTCTGCTCCCCAGATAGAGGAAACATATGTACTCAATGAATCGAGGCAGATAAAGTCCCCCCTCTACATTTGGTTATCAGCTCTGGTTGAGGCCATGGTGTTTTTCTCATGTTTTTCCCAGGACATCTCTGAACCTTCACCTCCTAATTGGATGTATGTGTGCTGGCTGTAACCCGTGTTTAAGCTGCGTTGACACTGCACAGCGGGGCAGTGCAAGACTGTTTTTTTTTTTTAACAAGGAAACATCGAAGATCACTGCAGGCAGCGAGTGTGCATGAACTACAATTTAAATACCTTTCATGGACTCGTGGTGCCTGTGGGTCCCACTGCACGTTCATTTTGTTCATCTTAAGTTGTAGCCCCGGGGCTTCAACTACCAGCTAACAAAACTACATTGTGAACAACTCAAAGAAGTGTGTTGACTCAACAGCAAATTTATCGACATTTAAAATACTGGTGTGCATTTTAAGATAAATACAGGAGGTTCATTACCGAACCTGGCACTTGTAGCAGAGTCCTAGAAGAGAGAGGAGGTGACGTTGGTTGGCAATGTCATGGAGCTTAGTCTGAGCTTCACTTTCCGTCTCTGTTTTTATGTTTCGCAGACTCATTAATTGTGATGCGAAGATGAATGCAGATGATGCAAAACAATCCTCAGTTATGTCCCAGGATATGCAATCATTAACCAAGCTTATTAAGTGGCTATGTTAAGCACTTAATTCTGATTGGTCAATACTGTATCGCAGTGGTCTGCTATTTCGTAATAGCAGGGGATGCCATGCATAACATTGACTTTAAGCCTGAACACTATGAAATGTTAAGTTTTCTAATCAGTAAAATCATTTCAATCAGTTTTTAGAGTAAAATATATTTTTTAAGAAGGTAGCCATGTGGTTGTGTTTATTTTGCTTACTTACTTTACACCTTTTTAAATATTGCTCTTTTTCCATTGACAGCATACACATGTCCTGAGTATTATGGTTTGGATTTGGGTTTTAGGTGTCCTATCATTTTGGATTTGTCATATCTTTATATCAGAAACCAGAACGAGCCTCTATCCCAGATTAGTGAGACCTGATTTTGTTACCCAGAGAACAAAAGAAACTTGAATACTGTGGCAGGTATACACCTTGGCCCAATTTCTGACAGATGCTGTCTACCTGTGCAGGCACGGCCTCAACAGAGAGACTTGGCAGCATAAACAAACATGGTAACAACAGGAGGGTCTTACATCTGGAGCAACTAAGAAAACAGTTTTTTTTTTCTTTTGATAATGAAAGAATAAACTATAAGCAGGTTCAGCCAAGTCAAAGCAGCGCTCTGCCGACTTATTATGATCTTTGATGAACAAAGTACAGGAAACGTATTTGTCTAAGGTACGGTGGAGCTAGTTCGGTCATGTTAGAGTGCTGTAAAAAAACACAACTGTTTGGCTGAACATCAAAACAAATGAAGTGAGTCATTTTTCTTTGATTTGAAAAATGCTCCTTGTAAAAAAACAAGCAGAACAGACACCTGTGCCAATAAGACGAAATCAGGATACAAGTATTTATCAAGTACACAGGGATATGAATAACCAGGTCACTCTGTGTGCACATAAACGGTATGTCCTCAATGTGATTGAGATATGAGATATGCTGGATCGTATGTGTTTTTCTTGGTAATCTTGATAACATCAACCTTTTTACCTTAAAGGGAAACATGAGTATTTTGTAAATAAGCATGATTTACCAGACCTGAGCTCCTCAGTATGTAGCTTGCCAACGACTGTACTCAGCTCCATTAGTGGTGCTTCAAAAACTGAGAGCTGATTAAGTTGGACAAGAAATGAGTTGTACCATAACACAGATCCGTTCAACTTGGAACATCCACTAAAATATTGAGAATCTGAGTAAAGCTTCGACAGCTCCCAGGAGACGCTCAGAGGCTTGTATTTTCTCCCAGTCTCTTCTTCTTCACATAAAAGTTCTCACCAGCTGTAGCTTTGCATGATGCAGCCAACATGAGAACATCTGACAGAGAAGTGAAAGTGGCGCATGAACTGGGTCAGTTAGTCAGCAGCGTGCTGTCATAGTTCTGAGTATGTCGGCCTTTAACGCCTTCACTTCCGGTCCAGTGTTTTTATTTAAACAAAGTCATGTGAGACCGAGCGGCGCACGGAGGAAGTGAGCACAGCTGTAGTTAAATTTAATAACACTTGATGATCATGCCTTCCTCTAATAGTTCCTGTTCATGCTGGCATATATTCAACATTGTACGAAAGTGGTTGTGGTGGGCGTAGAAAGAAAGAGCAGACAAAGCTAATGAGAAAACTGGTTGTTTCCTTTTTCTAGTGAATCACTGTCAAACTCATTCAAGAGAAAACAATGATATCACTGGGGAAACCTCTTCTGAATAGCTTTATGGGAAGTCATGACTGTTGAAATAAAGACTTGAGCATATGCTATTTATGTACATCTGAAAGCTTTAAGAGTCTGTTGTAGTCTTTCTCGACTCTCGCCACTTTTGATGCGTTTCCTGACATTATTTTTAACATTTCTTGCCCCTGTCTTTTCTTTCTCCCTACAGAGCAGATCTTCCAGAACCTGCGTCAGGAGTACAGCCGGATCCAGAGGCGGCGGCAGCTGGAGGGGGCCTTCAACCAGACCGAGGCCTGTAGCTCCACCGACGCCCCCAGTCCCAGTTCTTCCCTAAACGCTCCCAGTTCCCCACCAGGTAAAGAATCGACTGTTCTGCTTCACATAAACATAAACAGTTGTTTGTGGCTTTTACCATGAGTTTTGTTGATGTTAGTTTATGAATGCCTTTCCACATTCATAACATGTTTGTTTCATGTGAGGGACGCTGTTCATTTATAGAGGTATGCCTGATCAGGAGCTACATTTTTCGGTGTCTTGTCCAGAAGAAGAAGAAGAAAAAAAAAAAAGAGTATTTAGATCAGTTTGAGATTTTTCAGACATGTGAAGAAGGTACGAAAGAGGATTAGGGCCACAAGAAGAGAAAAGAATGATTACAGGAGGGAGATTTTTTATTTCCATTTCGAGATTAAAATAGAAATTTTAAGATCAAAATTGATATTTAAATAGGTGAAATTTTGACTTAAACTCAAAATTTTAATTTTTTTTAATCTCAAAATTTGGCATTGTTCACAACTTTTCCACATTTTTAATCTCGAATTTTCGACTAACCTCAAAATTTACATTTTAATCTAAAAATTACGAATTTATTAACTTACTTTCGATTTTCTTAATCTCATAATTTCTACCTTAATCTCAAAATTTCGACTTAAATCTCCTTTGCGTAATTATTTTTCTCTCTTCATGTGGTCCTAATCCTCTTTCCTAAGGTTATATGACACCAAAAAAGTATAAAAAATAAAAAAAGTAAAACCCGACAATGTCTTAGTCAGATTTCCTATCTGTGAAGTTCCCCTACCTCATTGCAAATGATAACATTACTCATTATACAAGGCTTGCCAAAAGGCCCACAGCTGGAAAATCGAACCCCAGTCCTGTTAGGATGATATACCCATTCTGTTGACTCTGGCTATTCTTCTAAAATTCCTTAAAAAAAAAGATACTGTGTCATTATTTTATCTGAAAACCAAATAATCAGCGCTTTCATGCTTTTGTTGTTTGTGAAAGGATAACAAATCAAACTTGTACAAAGAGCCGAAGTGTCACACAGTCATTTAGATTTGCTGCAATAATGTGCAGACCTTACAGATTAAGAGAGGACGTAATCTTTTCTTTGTCAACAAGATAATAAATCCACATGTCATGCAGATAAAGTAGTAAACCACAGAAGATTGAACCCAGAAAGAAACAACCGAGATGGAATTCTTTGTGGCTGAATCAGACAGTAGACTTGAGAGACCAGGCAATTTTAATAAAACAGCTCTTCAGATGGGTATGATGATAATGTTTTTCTGTTTTCATAATGAAGTTGTGTACAAAAACACAGAAATCTCACTGCTGTAGCCTCTGAAATGTGCATCATTTGTGGTTGTGTCCATCTGTTGTTTACATTTGCGCCCGTCATTAACTCTACGTGATGTAAAGTACAATTAGCCAAGCGTTAGGTGTTTACTCGTCCTCCTTTTAGTAACACATTTATCTTGTAGCAAATCTGGACCAGTCCGACGTGTAAGAGAACAATCGGTGGTTGGAGTGTTTTTATAATCCAAGCCTCGGGCCGTCTCTGTCTCGCTTTGCTGTCTGCAGTATCGTCTCATACATCACGCTGACCGCGCTGTTAGTGACCCGGCCTCTTTCTGTCGCCGAGACGGCCATTAAAGCTTCATCCTCGATCTGCAGTCCTCGCCTGTGATTTACCAACATTTTAGTCTAAACGGTTTATAGCACACCTCGAGTAAGGCTTAGCCGGCTCCGGCACTACTGCGAAGCGAGACACTCAGAAAGAGCTCGCATTAGTGCTGCGTGACCCTTTCAGCCCCCAGAGGTGAAGGTTGAAGGAAAAACAAAGCTGTAAATTTGCACCTGTCCGAACACCTTGTAGAGGACGTTTCTCTCTCAGACGACAACAACAGGGATGTTTTTGATTCAGCCTTTTTTTCTGATTTTGTGCTCCTTAGGTGCCTCAAGGAAGGACCAACCCTCGTTTACGCTGAAGCAAGTGAGCTACCTGTGTGAGCGGCTGCTGAAAGACCACGAGGAGAAGATCCGGGAGGAGTACGAACAGATCCTTAACACAAAACTCGCAGGTAATGAAAATCCCCCCCCCATAAAAAAAAACATAATGATAAAAGCCCGAATCCCCCAGGACTTGAATATCAGCTTTTGTAGACTGGAGGTTGATCCATTCCCGCAGTGAAGGAGCGATAAAGTGTCTCTCTGTGTAATGAGGAAACATTCAGCCGCCTCCTTTTATGAGTATCTTTTTTATTAGAACTGATAACGTCTGCAGTACTGGCATCCGCGAGTTCCTCCGACAGATTTTATGTGTGCCTGTAGGTGCCAAGACTTTGCAGAAGCAGGGAACAAGTGCAGCAAGGATTGTATTCGGTGTAGGAGCTGAGGCAACACTGCATTCACTTATATCAAATCGGGATAGAGCAGGTTCTATTCAAGATGCTAATTTATTTAAATCGTTAAACAGCAAGTTCAGTGTGTGTATAGAGAAACTGGGCTCTTGCATGAAGTATTTGCAGTGTTCGAACCTGCGTCCTGACTGTCTGTGTCTTTCCATCTTTCCAGAACAATATGAATCTTTTGTGAAATTCACACAAGACCAGATCATGCGAAGATACGGCGCCCGGCCTGCGAGTTGTAAGTAACTCGAACCGCCTTTTAAATCACTGTTTTGTGTTTGTTTTTGTTCCTGAAATTCAATAATAATGTTATTATTACCGTCTGTGCCGCTCATCTACCGTCTCAATCGTTTCATTTGTTTCAGACGTCTCCTGAACTCACATCGATGAGCTCTCCAGCTTCCTCTCACAAGATGGCTGCTTGTCTTCAGCCCCCTCCCACATGATTTTTATTTTATGTACCAATTTTTACCCCCCCTTCCATCTCAAACTGTTTGGGTGCCATGGTTTACCTTCTTTTTAATCCAAACTTTGATTTCTTACTTATAAAACTATTGCTGCTGGCCAAAAGCTAGAAGAATCTGAAAGATAAACTATGTACGCAGCCCAACACCTTTCCTTGTCAATATACTCTCTCTGGAAAATCCTGACTAAAGCAGATCTGTGTCAAATCTCTTGCCGGTGCTGTAGAAAAAGCTTATTGGCTCATGTGATCAGTCTGTATAACCTTCCAGCAGCTGTATTTAAAGGCTCCTGCTTCTCACTTTGTTCCTTTCTTACCCCTCCTCCCCTCTCTTCCCCTTTTCCCCCGTCTCTCATCACAACTCTTTACCCGAGAATGTGGATTTTTCTCCCCTTTTGAAAAAAATAAAAGTTCTGTGATTTAAATTTGTCACCTGGTGTGTTTTTCCTGATAGAGGGGGTTTGTTTTTAGCATACTATGGAAGGTGATGAGACTGTCTCACAAAAAGGTGTATATGAGGAGCAATTCTGGAGCCGCATGTTAATATTTCTTAGATCTAGTCCAGTGTGTTGCATGTTTTGAGTCCTGCAGTCTTCCTCTAAAGTGTCACATGGTGTTGTTGTGACGTCTGTCAGCTGATAGTCTTACCTGAAGTGGCAGGATCATAGTCATAGATCAAATTAACCTTTTTGGGTCAGTCCTTGTCTGGAGCTTTTCATCATGTCACATGAATCTTAAAGCAGATTGTTTTGTGAAATAATAACTATTCAAATATTTTTTAAGCAACATTTTTGGATAATTACAGTGTGCACTGGATGACCTCAGCAGTACTTTCCTTTTCATTTTAACCTAGTAACTCGGCATAGCTGTATGAGTATGTATATTTTAAAGACATTTCAGAAATGCCAGGACCAGTCAAACTACAATTTGGAATTTGCAATTTTTTTTATGGTTAACATGGCTCAGGCATGATTACATGATATGGAGTACACATGAAACAACACAAGTAATGATGGCACACAGTGTGGCTGTAGAGCAACAAATGGTGCTTGAATAATGTGATTGCAAAAACAAAATTAATTCAAACAGATGAAAATCTTAAATACTTAATTTCTCTCTGGGTCATAATGCTGAGATGCACTGATCTAGTCTCTGTTCAGCAGTTGGTTTAAACTCGATCATGTTGGTACACTGTTATGAGATCCAGAGGTAAGACAAACCGCAGTCATAACCTCTCAAACCAATCTAGACACAGATGAATCATCTGTGTTATCGTGGCTGAGCAGATAGCTGCACAGAACCCGGCTGAGTTTACTTTCACCCTCAGCAACCAACTTTTTTTAAACTGTAATAGAGAGTGGGTATCCCCCAAGCTGTCATTGCATGTAGCTGCATGTTGTCTTTTTAATTTAGCCTATGTATGTGGGTTTGTTAATAACCTCTGAAAGTATGTATTTAAAAATAAAAAGAACGCACTTATAACCCCAAGGTTAACAGAAGGTGCTACCATGCTGGATGCAGATTGACTAAAGCAGCATAAGAATTAAATTAGGATTAGGGGAGAGTGGGGTAAATTGAGCCACCCCCTGTTGCTTGGAAATGGTAAAAGAAATTGATCATGTGACCAAATATTTAGGAGATAGGCATCAATTCATGGAGTCTGAGAAGGTTAGAAGCACATGGGTGAAGGGGTTAGATATTCATTAACAAAAAAACAACATTTTTTACTCTTGAAAGTGAATTTAATCTGTCATAAGTTTTACTAGAATTGTGTTCAGACCAAAAAAGATCATTTTAAATCTGTTTTATACATCAATTGTGGTATCTATGAGCTACAGCATGAGGTCAAAAACCGAACATAGAAGTCCACCATTTCAGCTTAGAGCAATCATAAAGTCATCAAAATAGTTCTGGGGTAAGTAGAAGCAGTGGTGGATGCGGGGATGCACAACATCTTAAAAATATATGCAGATACACTAGTTAGAGACAAAACTATGATCGCTTTGATGTAGTGATCCGAAATAGGAAAAATGACACATCTTACCCCACTCTCCCCTACTATTAATTTTAGTAGACAGCAATCATACATGCATGAGCACCTTAAATTGTTTGTTTACTTATTATTCCATCTGTATATTTGCATTTCATATTTATTACTCATTTCATATTAGAACTACCAGTGGATAGGTCACTTTTTGCATATCTCACTTTTTTCTCATAGGATGTTTAGTATATTTAGTCTGTATTTATTGTTTATATTTAGTACATTTAGTCTGTATTGTACATACTTCTGATATTATCTATCTATCTATCTATCTATCTATCTATCTATCTATCTATCTATCTATCTATCTATCTATCTATCTATCTATCTATCTATCTAATGACCCCTGTTTTTCTTTACAGCCACCTGTTATCCAAACCAACGCTGCTCTATTGTTCTTCATTATGGGCTCTACTGGCCCCTAGTGGTTGAATTGGTTCACTGCATCATTAATGGACATCGATGCACATCAGTGTGGTGCACTTAGCTGAATTAAAACCAGTATAATAAGATGACCGGGGCTGTCACTTTTATTGCGTTTTTTTATTTATTTAACCCCCACTGGCTTTGGCGTGGGCGGAGAGAGGAGGCGCGTGGGTAAAGCAGCTCACCATAATGAGGATCCACTCTGTCGGTGACGTCACGGACACCAGGTGTGGCACGAGGAAACAGGTAGGGTTGTTGTTTCTGCGGACGGGCTACAGACATCAGTATTCTCTGTGGTTTTCTGACAAAGCGGACAGTTTTATTTTAAGAGAGGAGCATCTGAGGTTTGTTTACGCGAGGAAGGAAGGAAGTTTCCTGCAGGGAAAAAAGCAATGAATGGTCTATAATTATCTCCAAGAGGGTTTTTTTTTTGTGTGTGTCAGTTTCTCTCGGTCTCAGACAGACGGTCGGTGTCGCGGGTCGTCTACAAACATGGAGGACTGGTTTTAAAGCCGACAGCCAGTGTTTCAAACTGCACCACAGAGAAGAAGAAGAAGAAACTTCGTCTCGCATATGTTTCTGTCAGGAGTTTAGCTGAATCAATATTTATGCGTTTGGGAGAGCTCGGTTCGTCTGCACTCGTTTTGGTGGAGGTTTAGGTGAGTAAGCCGACGTTAAATTTACTTTTATGAACGCTATGATGTGTAGGAAGCTTTTTAATGTTTAAACGTGTATATTAAACTTCTTTTATAGTCTAGCTGTTTGGAAAAGCAGTCTTTGATATCAGGAAATCAGTTTATTGTCATTAGCAACGCCCAGTAAACAGGAAACGCTAATTTTACATGCTCCTATGTGACATTGCCTACTGTAAAAAGCTCCTGAGGTTTCATTTCCTCCACTAATTTCTCCCAAAGTCAGAGAGATAAAACTTTACAGTAAAAATTTAGCTCAAAAATAGTCACTCTTACTGTAAGTAAGCAGAGGTTTGTTTCATAAGTGGAATGAATGACTTGTATGTAAGTTGCATCTGTTGCAGTGCAGATGTTGGAGTGTTTCAATGAATCCACCCTTTACAAAGTTAGGGAGAACTTAAACCAGCTTTAAACGCCTCTAAACCATTGGTAACAGATGATATGTGTTTAATTTTGCTATTATTTTTAAGAGTGGAAAGAGTTTAAATTACACTTATTTCCCTACAGTGTAAAAGCCACAACTTTAAACCATATTCATCATCAGGAGATTCAAAATAATTAATTCCAAACAAGCACATGCTTTCCATTTATACCAAAACATTTTAAGTTGGCTTCTGAATGACTCATGAAGTAAACAACTTATGGTTTCATTCTTTGTCGTTGTCAAAAACAGTCATGTTCATGTCTCTGTATGAATTTCGAGAAACAATGCCACAGCTGTGCGGTTTACAGCCTCTAAAACTTGTGAATTTGATCATTTTTTTGTTGCACAGGATGAAAAAACTGAAGTAATCACAGGTTTTGGGAAGTTGGAATAAGTTTGGTAACTAAGAAAACATTAAGAGCAACAACAATGTGAGAAAAGAGCAAATTCATTACCATACATGCAACATTTTTGTGTGTAAATGCACAGTTTTCTGACATTTTGCAGAAAAGCCGACCTCCAAGACATCAATACAATAGACAAACCTATTATCAAAAACTGAAGAAAGCATTAAAATCCAAATTAACTTTCGAATATGTCATCTTGGGTGCAGGGCTGATTCAGTGATGGAGGCCATTGACCTGGAGCAGCAGGAGCCGTTACCTGTGGACAGAGACGGCGAACAGGTCAGGACCGCGGCAGACCGGCCTGATGGAGGCAGAAAGCTGGGGTGCTGCGAGAAGTTCCAGCAGTCGGTCTCAAAATGGATGCTTCCAGAAGACTCCCGCAGCAAGTACCTAGAAAGAGCCAACTGCTGCCCGCCCCCTATCTTCATCATCCTCGTCAGTATTGCAGAGGTAGATCATGTACACGACATAAAAACACACAAGCGCTGGCAGGTTTGGTATGGATCCTGTGATCTAGTTATGCACACAGGCTTCACGCACCACCATAGTGTTAATTACTCTATAGATTAGCTGTGGTTTTATTTATTAGGGCACATATGGAGGTTAGGGTGTTACAGTTTTGAATTTTAAAAACAGTTTTCAGCTGCAGTGTTTGAGCTTTTTCCATGTGCTCCTCCTCTTCCCCCGAATGATGTAGTTTATTAAGTGCAGCGGGCAGTGTGTCAAAACAAACAGTCATTTTCATGAGGTTGCGGCTTTAGCTCAGAGCTGGTACAGTTGATCCCCACTGGTTGGGGATTCAGAGATGCCTCTCCTGGGTGTGTAAACAGGAAAGCTAGACCGGCGTTTGACTTTTAGATTGAGGTAAATAAACACTCATGAGGAATGCGGAGGCTCAGTAGAAGATTTTACTGAATAGCAAAAAAAGAGGGGATGCTGCAGGCTCATTTTCCTCAGGGCTAAAAGAGGAGGTATGCTGAGTTATTTATCATGTCTTCCAGGAATGCATTTTAAATTAGCTGGCATGTAAAACAAACATCAGGAAGTTTGGACCAGTGCGCACACAATGGGTACCAATGAGATACCAGTGTTAAAACAAAAATCTGTATGCCTCGATATGCGGTACAAGCTGTGGTACAGGCTTTGCATAAATGTTAGACCTTTGCTCATCTGGCTGACAGTTGCAGAGTTTGTTTGTGTTGCTAGCTTGACATTTCTCCAAACAGCTGAAACCGTTGGTCACACTGCAGGAGCTGGGTGGTTCCAACCATCCTCCCTTTAAGCAAAGTGTTCATCCAGCACTGGTTAAGGTGAATTTATCAGCCGTCAATTAAAGGGATATTCTGGCGTAAAATTAATTTAGGGTCAAACACACGGTAACACTGAGTTAGACACCCCCTCGAGAGATGAATGTTGCCGACCACTTGCTTCTCCCAGTCATAGTACTTGCCACCAAACATCTTTTTAACTTTGCCTAATTTTTTTAGCAAAGACACTCAGCACAACTCACCCACTCTCTTCCAGCAGCCGCTTGTTTGTAGCGGGACCTCGTGGCTTGACCTCATTTCCTTGAAGTATTCAAGGAAGGGGGTGTCTAACTCGGTGTTACGGTGTGTTTGACCCTAAATTAATTTTCGCCGGAATATCCCTTTAACAGCTATTTGAGTCAGTATAGCGTCGTTGTATAAATCCCATCAGTTCTTCCCATTTTAAAGCTCCTGTAAGGAATTTTTTAAAAGTCATTAATATACAATTAAATTTGTGTTATGCATTTTCATCATATTTATAAGCAAATAAGACCATTAGAAACTTGATTAATGATTTTTATATGCGTATTTTTAATGCCTGAAATCTTGTTAAAAGGTGTCTGTAACCGTTGGTCATAAATGGTCTATGCCTCAAACTGATTCCCACAGTCTTCTTGTAAGATATAAGTGGTACAACCGTGAAAACTAAAAAGGTTAAACACATGACAATAATAACCTTTTAATAAAGACATTGGCAATAAAACAACATATTGCAAAGAATTTATGTTGAACAACAATGAAGTAATGAAATTAAAACCAACAGAAAAAGCAAAATAGCTGTGATCATGCAGACCACGTTCTTGTTCATGTGTCTCTTGCTGATTTTCTGATGCTGTCCCTCAGCGTACTCACACATGACATCCACGTAATACTGAATAAAATACTAAATACTTTTTCTTCAGCAAAGTGCAGTGTAAAAATGACAGTAACCCCAATGTAAATCAAACTCTCCATGAAACAACAAAAACAGCTTTTTTAAGACGGCATATTAACTTGTCGTCATGGTGACCCAGCCTCTGCATATACTGTCCATTACAGTGTCAGCTAATGTAAAATATTGATAGCTGCTGTATACAAATACATCAACACTCTAAATGTCTTGAGCTGCTATGCCAGAGTAAGTGCATTTGCTGAGAGTATGAAACAGGACTGTGCTCGTACGTTTGTATCATTCTGTGCATCACATAATATTGCACATCTGAAAACAGGTAACCTTTTAAACAACATACTATTAAGGGCAAAAGCATCATATTTAAATGTGCTGCTTTTCTTTGACATGAATACAAATTGGCACCATGTTGCTGTCACAAGACTGTTGCTTCCCTCTTGTTCTTATCACTTAGTGTTTTTGCTCTCGGCCTGTTCATACTTGTTGGTGAACAGCTCTCTCTTTGTGGCTCACAGACGTCCAGTGTCACTGCATTTGAATGTCAGTGAATGCTTTATGAATTTAGGGGAGGAGGCGCATTATTTACCCCAGAGACAGAGAGGATCCACTGAGCTGCAGTGTTCTCCCTCTGTAATGAACGGACACAGTGGGGGATTTTCTCCATACATCAGTTTGAGTGATTCACTCGTCCACACTTTTGGGGTTTACTTCCACTCTCTATAATCCTGCTACTACACAAAAAAACGTTTATTTCTTGTTTATTTAGCAAAACTGAGATGGATTATTTCACCGCCCTCTCAAAGCTGGATCTGTCTGATTTGATTTCTTGTGTTTCTTCAGCTGGCAGTGTTCATCTACTACGCCGTGTGGAAACCTCAGAAGCAGTGGGTGACGCTGGATGACGGCATCTGGAACAGCCCGCTTACATACAAGCCTGAGTGCAGGGAGGAAGCGTGGCGCTTTATCTCCTACATGTTTGTCCACGCCGGGTAAGCGTTGGCAGGGCTTTTTAGACACCTTAATTACACAGTGAGGGCTGGAGTCATAGTGGGAGGTGGACTCATTCACTCAGTCATTTTACTCCACAGTGTTATGGCTCTGCTCTAAATATCACTTCAGTAGATCCTTTAATCTTTGTGTTTTTCCCCCATACTGTCAAACATGATTTATTTCCAACACATCTATGCATACTTTAACATTAGTTTGACACTTCCCCCTTTTCTGAATGTCTCTCTGTTTATGTTTTTAGATATTAAACTACTATCACAGTAATAAAGGGGAGTTATATAAAGCTGGGGAGTATTTTCATTAAAAGAGGGCTTTGAAAGAGGAACACACCGGCCATAAAAATACAGAAACATCTGTCTAAACACTGCAAGGTCAGAAGACGTGGCGTACCAGCAGACTCAGAAGTCATGAGTGCATTCGCCACAAAAACACAGGAAAACCAAAAATCATGACTACACAGAGGCGCATAGGAAAACCTAGATTATCAAAGAGGAACAGCGGTCACAGTCACCCGCCAACAGTAACTGAAGGAGACGCTACAGGATGTTTGTTTTGAGGATAAAAAGGCTGCTGGTTTTCTTTATTACCCTTACTGTGAACAAATCCCATGGAAAGACCCAGACCAACAATGGTTTATTGTTCAGTGTAGCCAGATGCTGCTCAAAAAAAAAAAAAAGTTCAAAGATTATGTACAAAAAGTTTTTATTTTTAAAGTCAACTGCACTAACAGGTCCTGCTGCTCAAAACAGTCCCTCATGCACAAAACCTGTCGTAATTGAAGCTTAAACGGTTTCTAACAAAAAAAAACAAAAAACAAAACTACAACTCCCATCTGTTTAAGAAGAGTCTAAAATAGTATTACAGTTTTTCAGGGTTTGTTAGTAACCTTTTCTTACTTTTACAAAACAAGAATTACAGGTGTGCATTGTTTAGTTATTCAATCAGTAACAACACAGACGACCACACCACACTTTTCTCCACCCTGACATACTGTTCTGTTAGAATTCAACACTGATATAAACACTGTAAATGTCATGGTTTAGTTTTCTCAAAGTGACCTAAAATACCGTAATCCATCATGTGAGGTGACATGTTTATTCGTGTAAATTACGACTTAACAGCTTTTTTCTCTCACAATGTTATTCTCATAAAGTTGTGACTTTATTCTTTAATCTTAAAGGGATATTCCGGCATAAAATTAAGGTAGGGTCAAACACACGGGAACACAGAGTTAGACACCCCCTCGAGAGATGAATGTTGCCGACCACTTGCTTCTCTAGTTATACAACTTTAGTAATGACCACAGAGAGCCACGCACTCAACCAAAACGCCACTCTATAGCCACAAATAATGCTCAGAACAGCTCCTAACTTCATCAACAGTACATATAGGGTCCTAGCCACAACACAAGCCACCAAACATCTTTTATCTTTGCCTAATTTTTTTTAGCAAAGAGACTTAACACAATTCACCTACTCTCTTCCAGCAGCCGCTTGGCGAATTCATCACTGACTACAGCGGGGTGACGCTGCTCAAGGAAGAACATTTATGATCATTTCCTTATGGAAATGCAATCAGATTGAGACCTACCGCGTCTGCAGTGCAAAATGATTAATTTGATGATTATTACATTAAGGAAATGATAAAGTAATGATCATAAATGTTCTTCTGTGAGCTGTGTCACCCGCTGTAGTCAGTGATGGACTAGCCTGAGGTCTCGCTGCAAACAAGCGGCTGCTGGAAGAGAGTAGGTGAGTTGTGTTTTGTCTCTTTGCTAAAGAAATCAGGCAAAGCTAAAAAGATGTTGATGAAGTAAGGTGCTGTTCTGAGCATTATTTGTGGCTATAGAGTGGCTTTTTGGTTAAGCGCATGGCTCTCTGTATTGCTATCTGCGGTCATTTTACTTCTTTGTGTTTGTATGATTTTACACAACAATAGTCAAATACTTTCTGCATTGTCCTCCTCTCTCCCTCCTCAGTGTGGAGCACATTGTTGGGAACTTGGTGATGCAGCTGGTTGTGGGAATCCCGCTTGAACTGGTGCACAAAGGATTCGAAGTGGGGTCGGTTTACATGTCAGGCGTCCTGGCAGGTCAGCATTTCCCGTTTATCTGAAGCTCCTGTTTAATCACGAACAGCTTACAAAGTACCGTCCTTTAGCTTTAAATCATCAGTGTTTGTTAACGGGAGGAAGTTGTGTTTCTGAAGCTGACTGGTCTTGAAGTCGTGTTTTCCTGTTTGTGTTAGAGCGAGTCCTGGCTGTCACTAATGTATTTTCTGTTTTCCTTCAGGCTCTTTGGCGAGCTCCATCTTTGATCCTGACAAGGCTCTGGTGGGAGCTTCTGGGGGAGTTTATGCCCTGATAGGAGGATATTTCATGAACGCAGTTGTTGTAAGTTTTCAAACAGTTAAACAGAAATCGAGGCTGTCAAATATTTTCTATAACCATGATTAATGACAGGATTTCAAAACTTGGTTGGAATAAATCACAGTTTTCAACTTCCATTTATATGACTTGATTCAAGAATCAAAGTGGGAGGAGTGCCTGTACAAAATCTCTCAGTATATCCTCAGGTCTGTGTCGACACACAAACTCCCAAACAGGCCGCTGTCGGCTTAGCTCATAGGTGGTAGCTCAAACGTGAAGCTTAAACTCAAACCCGGGGAAAGTTTAATACCCTTTGACACAGAGTACATACAACTTTTGACTCATCGCCTGAGCAGATGGAGTAAATTTAAAGTAAAATGTGCTGTGGTGTCATTGCTTTCCACGCTCTGGCAGCTTAACAAATAGCACATGATTAAAAAAACTCACAGGTTGATCCTGACAGACCTGAAGTGAGCGTAAAGCTGCATTTTTATTATTCAGTTTTTACTCAGATTTCTCTAGCTAGGGTTTATTTGAGAGGATTGTGTTGTAGATTAAAACAAAGACTATAAGTAAAAAGGAAAGACCCTCGACACAGTTTCAGTTTAATTATTAACATAAGACAATTTGATGTTTGTCATTTAGCTTCTTTCAACCTAAACTTTTAAAAGTAAAAGTTTTGCCTCGTATTGTTTTTTTTTAACAATATAATAACTATTTATGTGATCCAACCCTTGTGTACACACTCCCTTGGTGTTTTTGTTGATGTGTTTATTATTTTAAATTGTTCCTACTTTATTTAGATATTCTATATTTAAGTACCGCTACAGAAAACTAAAGCTGGTGACTGTTTGAATTCACAGAATTTCCGAGAGATGATTCCCCTCCTTGGAGTGTTTCGTATCCTCCTCATCGTCATATTCGGTAAACTCTCAACCTTCATTCTGTTGTTTTTCTCTCATCTCCTGAAACGCTGACTCTAAAGGGTTAAATAAAACCGCTGCACTCTCTCTCTCCAGTTGGTACAGATTTTGGATTTGCCTTCTACAGAAGATTCGTCAATGACGACACCGCTGTCAAGGTAGGATTTAACACCCTCCCGTACAACACAGGACTCCAGCTGAGCAATAACAGCGGATTCGCTCAAACTGTGCTTCGCTTAAACTCACATAAATAAAAGAACCCAAAGAGGGATCTAGCTAATCCTGCTAACCTTTAGTAATGGATTTAATTCGCCTGTGGGTGCAGACAGGATCGTAGCTCTTGCTGGGACTTGATTATTCATGCAGACATGTAGCTCCTGACAACAAACATTCCTTATAACCAGCTTCCAGTAATCCAGCGTACACCATGACTTTTTTAATGTTCCTCAGTAGTTCAGCTTTTAGAAAAGGAACGACTGAAACCTGATACTGTCTGTCTGTCCCTCTTTTTTCTTTGCAATCATTTGTTTGGGCTGCTAAACTAGTTCTGCAGCATTTCCATAAGGTGGGATGTCACTCGTCTAGAGCCTTTGTTGAATTTAATTTAGGAAACTAGTGTCATACACTTACCCTGACTCCTTCTCTGTCTTCCCAGGTGTCCTTTGTGGCTCACTTTGGAGGGATTGTAGCCGGGATGACCATCGGCTATGTCTTCTTCAGCGATTACGACAAGAAGCTCCTCAAGGACCCGCGTTTCTGGATATGTATAGTGGGATATTTGGTGTTTTTAATCTTTGCCATCCTTTATAACATTTTCCTCTCCCCAGCACCAACAATGTAGAGTCTTAAAGCCCTCGCACTCAGCAACCTTTAAAAAGTTCACACTAAAGCCTTAAAGTCACACTCAGGAAGATGATTTTTAACAGCGTTTTTTTAATCCGGAGCAAAGTCGCTGATCAGGGACTTTGTGAATGTCATGTACATGGTTTATTTTTGTACATTTTCTATCAGATTTCCTTTTGTTAGTGGATCAGGGCCTCCTGCTTTTAATCTTTATCATTACAGATGTACTTTATACCTTAGATAGTTTTTATTTGAGTTTGCTTTAATAGATTTGATATTTTAGATCTTTTTTGAATGTCGTGTACAGCGAGAAGCTAATAGTTCTCATAATATGGATGTGATCTTTTTGAGCTTGAGGGTTTTGTTTGTTAGTTTTTAATTTTTTCTAATGTTTGGAAATGGATGATCACAGTGTTCATAATTCATATCATTTTTCTGTAAGAGGACATAATACCTAGACTGATTGAAAAGTTGCATGCTGTTCACTGCCCAAAATCTTCAATTTAAACGTTATAAACTGTTTAAAGGTGACGCATTCATGATATGTGCCTTGAATATGGTAAATTTCCTCTTTGCAGTCACAACACAATATGACATAATGATGTTTGGCTTTGTGACAGCATTAACAAGAAGACAGAGTTTACTTAGAAGTCATCAGGAAAAGAGGAATGTAAAAGTTTTATAGTGAGGTCTTGGCTTCATGCCGAGACATTGTTTCAAACATTTCCTGTTGACAGGAAGCAGCTAATTATGTGTTGAATAGTAAACTGTTGATGATTTTTCCTGACATGTTTTTTTTTCAACCCTTGAAAATTAAACTTTCCGCTCCTTTTGTGACTTGTAAGGACGATTGCATAATTGTGATACAGCTCATTATCCCTTTCTTATCAATCGGGACATGAAGTGTGTCATTTTTTAGCATCAATTCATTTTATTTCAGAAAGGAGCTTCCAAGTCTTAGATCGCAGGTAAAGTGTAACCAAAGACCAAACAAGAGACCTCTTACACTTGGTGTTGCATTTCCACGACTCAATATTTAAATGCTTTCTTTGTAAAATTCTTGTTTTTAATAAAATTTGTCAAATTGAAATGACTTGAAACTTTATTTGAAGCAGAAAAATTGTGTCTGTTGCATAAACATGATTTGCAGGTGGAGTTAGTCTCAGATATCATATGTACACACACAGCAGTCTGCTGTTTGATTCTGGGACTGCATCTGTATGTTTATATATGGCAGCGGCAGCTCTTGCCTCATGTGGAAAGTTCCATAGTTTCCAAACGCGGCTCATCAATATGACTTAGTGGATCAATATTCAATTACCATGAACCTGTTTTCCTTGACCCTGAATCATGTGGGAACTATATGTTGTTCGTAATTCAGTAGTTCAATCCGAATGTTATCTGACGTAGGAAATTTTTATCGTTTTTGGTTAAAAATGCCATTTATTTCTAAGTCCTTAAAACTGAAATTTGTATTCAGTCTTACCAACAAGTGAGACAAAAAGAAAAAAAAAACACTGAGGTCACCACGAAAATTATGTAACAAGACCAAATATATACAGTCCAGCCCCGGAAAGACCAATTTTTTATTTTACAATGATTGTCTTATCTTCTGGGAGATACCTATGTCATTTCCAATCAAGAAAAAACTTGCTGGTTGAACAAAAGTATCTCGAAATCAAAATTATCCAGGGGTATGAATAATTTCAGGCTCGACTGTAGGGTAAAAATGTCAAATTGGTTTGCTAGGTGTGGCTTGATTTTGCATTAGCTAGAACTGCTGGTTTCCTTGCAGATTCACGTCCAAATGCCTCTTCTGGTTACACATTCTTTAGTTTTTCAACGACACAGCCCTCTCATGACTTTTCTAGGTCAAAACAGCGACCACGGTACGAGATGCCAGACCACCATGCTATTGTTTTTACTCCGGAAAGCATCAAATAATCAACTTTTTTGTGAGTGAAATTCAGAACTGAGAAATAATACTGTAGATAGTGACTGCCCGTATGGTCTTTGATTCTCCAACAATAAATACAATATATATATATTTTAATCTCTTGGGCCAATGACTCCTAATTTGTTGATTTCAATGAGTTTGACTGCAAAGTGCACAGTTTAATTCACCCTTTTAGTGGGCTCTGTGAAAGTGCTTTGGGTCTGTATCGACCACTGTACAGACTCCGGTTTGTGTGCTCCATTTTCCACCATTATTTGATTCATTAAAGGACCTGTTTAAGTTTCCAGGGGTGAAATTTCAAAACATATGCACATGCTTTTTTGAGGCAATAAACCGTGGTGTCAGACAGAAATCCATAGGATGTCCTGAGGCTGAAGTACTACAGCGGAAAATTGATTATCGTGACCAGAAGAAAAAACAAGAGGAAATAGCACTGGGATTTTCTGTGTGTGTAACCTCAGCGTGACCCTCTCTACATCAGATGTTTCAGCACCAAACTCATTTGACTCAATCCTGCGCTGAGCAGAATATGAAACGAAGGGTGAAATGAAAAGGTTAAAATCAGGTGAAGTAACGCAAAACCCTGCATGAGACTCGGCTCCTGTTTTAGTGTTTTATGGTTTGTTTTTAGTTATTTGTTTCTATGTTTTTAAATTAGTTTTTAAAAACATTGAAACTATATTTTACTTTTAATTCTGCTTTTATTTTATCCATTGTTTTAAATTGTTTTTTGATTGTTTTTTATCTTGTTTTGTCTACTTATGTACAGCACTTTGTTCAGCTGTGGTTGTTTTAAAGTGCTTAACAAATAAAGTTGAGTTGAGTTGAGTTGAAAAAAAAACTCCTAAAAAAGGGGGCCATTTTACATTTTAATGTGACGGAGCATTACAAAAAGTAAAAAGCACTTCAAATATTATCATGCCAACCCCCAGATTGAAAGCACATTACGCACATATAGGCCATTAAATGTTCTCAGAACCGGATGTTTCTGAAGTTGGCAAACACCGATCCATTGTGATGGATTTGTTGTTGCGGGGATAAAATAATGTGTTTTCATGAGAACAGAATTGCACCCAGCGAGGACCAGCAGGGTATGAAATGGGACATGGTGACTTATTGACTATTTCACTATAGTAGACAACTATTGATTGTATAAGGCCTGTGTGGATAACTGATTTAGTATTGAGTGTGGACTCCGATGCCAGACTGATTCCTTCTCTGAACATATGGAGCAAAGTCAACATGAATAGTTGAGTGCTAACAGATCCTTTGGCATGGAGTCTAGTCTTTGCAAAGCATCTGTTTGGAAACAGCTTAGTTATTTAACTCCCACAGATGCAGCCCACGCCCTAAAGGACAACAAATACAAATAGCTTCAGTGGGTTATACTGTGGATTTGAATGATTTTTGTGAATTTGTCTATCTTCAGGGTGGTTGAAAAACTGGTTTGAATGTGTTTTATCCAGATAAATATAAAAATAATAATAAAAAAACATTCACTCTGACCTGTAAAGATTGGGGGTAATTTCGATGTTACACCCCATAGCTGTTAGGCAATGATCTAAATGCATGGCTGAAGCTGTTGGTATTGACTTTCTTTAGTCAGAGTTGGCAGCTTTCCCTCCGCAGCTCAGTCGCTCCCACTTTGTGTCAGATGAACGCGGGAGCAGAGGCGGGTTCACGCAAGTTTGGGTGATGTGCAGGGACTCATGCGGAGGGCGCCAACGATTTTTAAAAACTTTTTTGGTGACCGTGTCAGGGCCGTATGACCCGAGGAGATTTAAGTCACCACCGGCAGTCTGTCCATGCTGCTGCAAGGTAAATGGAGACGGCGAATGACCAGGAGCTCTGAACTGTTTTATAATATGTCACAGATGAGGAGAATGGGTTTCTAGCAATCACTGGATTTACAACTTTTACCTTTCTGCTTGCAAATATGTGACCTTTTGCTTCTTTACTTTGCAAGTTTCTCATCTGTTTTTAAAAAAATAAGAAGTAAATGTAATTTTTTATTGGGAAAATCGATCACTTTCACATTTTTTGATGTTTACGCAGAATTTGTGCTGATCAAGCTGTGATTATTTAGTTTGACAGGCTGCTTTTGCCAACTCCTCAAAAAGGTGCTCAACACATTCTGGATATTGCACTTCTTTCTTCATGGGAACAGATTTGTTGTTTTTTTCACATTTTAATCCCCCTGATTGTTTAATTTCTGTTTCTGACTTTCTACCAGTCACAATGGCAGAGTGAAGATGGGGGACTGGAACTTCCTCGGGGGGATTTTGGAGGAGGTGCATATCCATTCTACTATGGTAGGCAAGATCTGGCTCACCATCCTGTTCATCTTCCGCATGCTGGTCCTCGGCGTGGCAGCTGAGGACGTCTGGAACGACGAGCAGGCCGACTTCATATGCAACACTGAGCAACCTGGGTGTAGGAACGTCTGCTACGACCTGGCTTTCCCCATCTCCCTCATCCGCTACTGGGTGCTGCAGGTCATTTTTGTGTCATCCCCCTCACTGGTTTACATGGGCCACGCTCTGTACAGACTACGAGCCCTGGAGAAGGCTCGGCAGAAGAAGAAAGCCCTGTTGAGGAAGGAGCTGGAGCTGGTGGACATGGAGCTTGCAGATGCGAGGAAGAGGATAGAGCGGGAGATGAAGCAGCTGGATCAGGGGAAGCTCAACAAAGCTCCTCTGAGAGGTTCTCTGCTGCGGACATATGTGGCTCATGTTTTCACCCGCTCTGTCGTTGAAGTAGCTTTCATGACAGGCCAGTACCTCCTCTATGGCTTTCACCTCCACCCGCTTTTCAAGTGTGAGCGGGACCCTTGTCCAAACGCTGTAGACTGCTATGTTTCCAGACCAACAGAGAAAAGTGTCTTCATGGTGTTCATGCAGTGCATCGCTGGGATTTCTCTCTTTCTGAACATCTTGGAGATCATACATCTGGGTTACAAGAGGATTAAAAAGGGCATCCTGGACTTCTACCCTCAATTAAGAGACGATAGAGAGGAGCTTGATGAGTACTACGTCAATAAATGTAAAAAAGAATCAGTGGTGCAAATAAGTGTACCCCCCAGAAAAGCGACGATTGCCTCTGCACTCAGTGACTACAACCTCCTGATGGAGAGGGCGCAGGGGAATATCATGTTCCCAAACCTAATCAAACCCTCAACTTTTCTTCCCCTGCAGGGCGAGCTGACCAATCAGCATGATTTGGATGATTCTAGATGTTCAGGTAGAAGCCCTCAGGATTGTAAGTGTAATCTGACTACCAATGCGTCGTGCTCTCCGTGCTGCGACTGCCTGATTAACCCAAAGCAGGAGGCTGAGGACTTTCTGCACCGCCTTCCACACACCAAGGAGGATGACAGCAGCGAGTTAGGGAGCCCGGACTCCCCAAAGTGCCCGCAGAAGGCCGCTCACTCGTCCTCCTTCCCAACGCTGCCAGTAAGCGCAGTGAAGAAGCCGTTTAAGGCTCACGGATCTTTCAAATGCTCCACCGTGTTGGAAGGTAAAAGTTCAGACACAGATTCATACGGGGGAACAATAGCCAGTAATGGAGCCCCGTCGGCTCGAACGCAATCAAAGTCTGATCACAAGCATCAAAGCCGGCCCTCCTCTCCAGAGTCAGTGGGCAGGTCCAGTTCAGGGTCAAGGAACAACTCCAGAGCTCCTTCCTCCAACTGCAAAACATCGATGGCGAGTAACACGAGCAGCAGGAGAGCGACAGACCTGCAAATCTGAACTTCAGCTGTACTTTCTTATGTGCAGTAGTGGAGGGTAAAATCCACGTTACAGGAGTCTCTTCTGCCTTTTACAGATGGATGCCACAGCTTTGGATTGGGTTGGTGGCAGTCTCTCTGGGTAACTCAGGATTTTGTGCAGTTGTTTTTTTTTAAAAATGTTTTTTTTGGAACAACTTCTGGACTACACTTTTTAAAAAAAAATATGAGTTGCTGTATGTTATTTACAACATTTTTATGATAAAAAATGGCAATTATACATATAACAGCTTCTTGAAAATAAGCAGAGTATGTTTTTATGTTATCATTTTGCTGATAAGGTTACTATAAATTTATTAAAATACAAAAATCGTGTTTATGCAGGGAATAAGTGCAGGATTTCAGACACTTCCTGTGACTCACCAATAAGTTCATACAGTTTGTACTAGTGGTGCAACGGATCACAAAACTCACGGATCGGATCGTTCCTCGGATCAAGAGTCACGGATCGGATCATTTTTCGGATCAGCAAAAAGAAAAAAAAACAAGACAAATAAAATATATAAAAGTAGTGCACAGAGCATAATATCTTCTTTTTAACATAATTATTAATGAAAAACAACTTAAAGTACAATATACAGGCATATCTCCTTCCTTTAAAATGTAACAATGAACCAAAAATGAAGTGTGTGCGCGATGGGATGTCGTAACGTGGCTCAAGCACTTTCAGCATGTTTTTAAAGCCCTCGTTTTGCACAACTGAATATGGCCTCATGTCTGCAGCTATAAACACACCGATAGAGTTTGTGAAAGCTTTAGCCTGGTCGGATTGCGCAGGAAGAGGCTGCTTAAATGCTGCGGTGATGAGCGGTTGTTGGGCAGCTTTCGTTTTATCTCAGGTGTTATGCCAAAGAATGCACCCCTGCCGTATAGTGCACCCCCTAACGGGAGCGCGGTTGAAAGTACATAACAAGGCGAAATAATACAAGTTTTCCTTACGTTGGATGTATTCAACAGCGTTTGCCTTTAATAATTTCATTCAGGCTATTCATATCAAATATGAGATCATTATCTCCACTTTAAGAAGCTAACGGGTGGAGGGGATGCAGGGGGTGCGTTCTACGGCAGGGGTGCAATCTACGGCACAACACCTGTCAGTAAAACACCCGGGTGATGTCGCTTCAAATGCGTGAACATGCTCGATGTGTTTCCACTGTCATATGGCTCTTATGCCACAGTGCCTACACTCCGTCGCAGTTTTGTACACTGACCTCTTTCCTTCTTCATCATAATTGACAGGGAAGCCAAAATGCTCCCATACAGGGGATTTAAGTGTCGCGGGGCGTTCGAGCTCCTCCTTTCTCCGCTTTCAGAAATCGATCCGCGGATCACATGTGTGCCGAACCGAATACGTCGATCCGAACGGATCACGGATCAATGATGATCCGTTGCACCACTAGTTTGTACCCTCTAAAGATTTGTAAATTAAAAAACAAACAAACATGTAAATAACGTAAATTGTTTTGCCTTCTCAATGTTAATTTGTACTATAAAAAGATACTACAGGAAACAGAGTTGAACATTTTTTTCAGACAATTTTTCTGTATAATTGATCACAACTTCATCCGTCCTACTACAGCTTTATTATTAAAGGTACAGTGTGTAGTTTTAGCATAATTAGCTGAAAAGATTTGGTAGAAATGGAATATAATACCCATTTAGCTTGGGATATTGAATACTTAGCAGTTATGTGAAATAGAAATCGGACCAGTTGAAACTAGACCTTGGTGCAAACCCTTCAATATTCAGAATCAATAACATTGTCAAAGTGTTTTCACCAATCAGAATCAGGAGTTTATCACAGAAAACCAGGTAATAAGTATCTTTAAAGCAGTGTAAGACCACCTAAATGTTTGTTTTTGTTAACTTGAGCTTTGAAAAATATGTTCAATCTAGAATCTGACCTACAGATATCAACAAATACGCCCAATTTCTACATACTGTACCTTTAATTCCTGGGTGAAAACAAAACAGCCCCAGCATATCAATAATCAGAAATACTGTTTGATGATTTTCCTGCCTGTTAGTGTTGACTGTGTTTGTCTCTATGAAGAAGGCTCTTGACTATTCGATCTAACAAATTATAACAAAAAGGAAAATGTGCTGGTCCCAGAGGTCTACATACATTCCTGTTCAGGTGTTATACCTGGTTTTGATTTCTCAGGATTGTTGGAGGAATGACTGCTGTGCTATACTGACCCAAACAGAACCATAGAAACAGCATCAGAACATATGAGGCCTGACAGACATATGTCCTTTTATGAATCAGTGAAGTGAAACAACGGTAACTTAGAACAATGCTGTGCTTTATTTAAGAGTACTTTCCACCTTCAGCATACCTTTAAAAAAAAGAGCATGTGTATTTGTCACATGTTACAACACAGATCTTGGCTAAGTGCTTTTATAACAGAAAAATAAAATTATAATCATTCATAAGCTATTTTTCAGTGTACTCCATACTTCCTCTTTAGTAAGAACCCATTATGCAATCATGTGGGAGGCACTTTGGATCATAAATATACTCTAATAACTAAACAAACATGAAAAACATATTCATGTAAACATAGAGGATAATTCAACTTCTGAGGAACAAAAAAGACACTATAATTTACAATACAAAACAGCACAGCGACATGAAACTGTTAGGTTTCAATTGACAGTATCTTCTCTTCAGATTTAAAGTGACAGGAGTATAAATAAACTAAAGAATATATGAAGCGACCTCGAGCTCGACTCAGGTCTAGTCAGCCGTGGCTCCATCTTCTGGTGCAGACTCGTAACGCTGAAGCTGGAGAGATGGAAAAACAGACAATATCTACATTAATTTAATTTATTATAATGTCCAAAAATCATGGACAGAAAAGCAAGAACTAGACAAATCTGAATGAGGGATCTCCAATGAAATGGGCTATGCAGTCTTATAGGATATATTCAAACTTTCACCAATTTTCTTTTTCTTTTCCCACAAATACATCATGGATAAAAAACAACAATAACTGATTGGTATGCTGTGAATATGAAAGCTAGACAAAGCTTACCCTTGTCTTGAGATCTTTGTTTTCCTCTTCCAGACGTGTACACCTCTGCCTCAGGTCACGCACCTCCTGCTGCAGAGCTTCTGTGTCTTCTAAACTTGCTGCATCAGCAGCACCCAGATGTTGCTTTACAAATCTGAAAGGGGGGCTGGTTAAAGGATCCACAACAAACCTTTGCCTCCTTGAAAATTTTAAACACTTTAGCAGCCGATACCTAATCCTGATCTGATACTTGCATAACATAATTTCAAAATCACATTATTAACAAGACTCTCTTATCTTTATATGCCAGGATCCACAGAAGCCTCACTTGAGAACAGTGTGTCAGTCTTAACCAGGCTTTCTACAGTCTGTAGTAGAGTATTTTTCATCGTTTGATTCCCTAGTCAGTGCTCTGCTCTTGAGAAAGAATGCATTTCAGGGCTCTTGGGGTACAGGTCACATAAGTCCAACTCCCTTCATCTCTCCAAAGACATATAAATCCTCTATTGCCTTCTCTTAGTGTCTGCAAAGCTAGTTTGAATTGGTACCATTGAATGCAGCTCTAATGCTAGCTCCTTGCTCCCTACTTGTGTCTTCATGTTCTGCTGCCAAATGCGCTCTTTCTACATCAGCTGACATTAATGATCAGTGTACGATAATAGACTCAAATTCCCAATCTCAATAGTTCAGATCATGATTGGGACAACCCCTCAATAAAAGTATAGACTTGAGTGTTAAACATTAAGCCTAACTCTCTCTGAGATGACCAAGAGACTTCCTGCAACCACATCCTGGTCTGGTTGTACGCACATTCAAGGATACTCCAGGGCATTGCTCGGTTTGTCTTGAGTTTCGAACAACGCCACTAAAACTGAAATCCAAGAAAGAAAAAGAAGCTTTAGTTTACTGCACATAAATGAAGGAATCACTGACAGGGGTGGGTATTTAATATGATAACAAAACTGAATGAGGGCAACATTTTCAGTAGTTTTCATCAGAGTTAGACTGTGCAAACACAAAAATGCATCTTATCAAAAATGAACAAATATAGCATAGACATAAACTCATTGTTTTGTTTGATTTAAGGTTTTATTGCACATTTTATGTGTTGTTTCATCATGCTGCACATAAAAAAAGTGTGTTTCTCAGTACTAAAATATCACTTTTATGCAGACAGTATTCCATAAAATGTTGTAAATAAGGACAAAGTCAAGAGGGGGGAAAAAACAGTCCCCTAAAAAATATCTTACCACAAGTAAGACTGTCAACGACTCCAGTTTTCTCCAAATACCTCCTAAACTGTTCCCTTCTGGGGTCTGGAGTCTGTAGGGAAAAAAAGACAATTTAAGCATGAATTTAAAATGAATCTTGAAGACTTAAAACGGGCAACTGGACTGTGTAGACTGTTCCTACACAGTCCAGTTGCCCGTTTTAAGTCTTCAAGATAACCATGACCTGGATGAATGAGAATCTACATGGACATTGAAAATGAATCTTTCACAAATTCAGTAACTTGTATGTATGAATTAAGATGTTAAAATAAATGCTCAAAATTTCACTGTAGGGGGAGTGGGGTCAGATTAACCATTTTTCATATTTCGGATCACTACATCAAAGCAATCATAGTTTTGTCTCTAACTAGTGTATCTTAATATATTCCAAGATATTGTGCATCCCTGCAAACCGACAGAATGAGTGTAAACATAACTGTCTTGATAATATAGCATGCCAAAAAAAGTGGTCTCCTATGGTCAACTTACCCCGTGTATGGGGTAAGTCACCATCTCTCCCCCTAAATAACAGTCACTTCTTCACATTCATGTGTATTTTTATCTATTATAAGCTATTCAACAGGTACACAAATTCTTTTTATTATTATTATTATTATTGCATATAACTTCTAAAAAGCCGTTTTGTAAAAAGCCATTTTAACATGAGAATTCCTTTAAGTGATCAGAACATTCACAGCTGTATTTTTGTAAAGAAAAAGTCAAACATTTCAACAATCTGAACTAAAACTCTGATTTTGTCATCAGACAAATTTACTTTCTAAGTTTGGGCTACTGGCTCAACTTACCCCAGAACTACTATTATGACTTTATTAGTCCTCTAATCTAAAATGGTGGACTTTTATGGTACGTTTTTGACCTTTACGTTGTAGCTCATAGATACAACAATTGATGTATAAAACAAATTTAAATTGATAATTTTTGGTCTGAACACAATTCTAATAAAACTTATGACAGACTAAATTCACTTTCAAGCGGGAAAAATGTTTTTGTAAATAAATGTCTAACCCCTTCACCCATGTTCTTCTAACCTTCAAAGACTCCATGAATTGATGCCCATCTCCTAAATATTTGGTCACATGATCAATTTCTTTGACCATTTCCAAGCAACAGGGTGTGGCTCTACTTACCATTTGGCTCAACTTAACCCACTCTCCCCTACATAATTTAACTGATAACCATAGTCGACAACTATTTTCAAAGTTTGTCACAAAGAAAGTGTTAAAAATTATGTATATTCATCTTATATAGACAATATGCATAAAGAAGTAGTTTGACGCTGATTAAGATTAAAAGTTTATCCATTAACCCAGCTCCCATCACAGGTGGTCCGTTTACCCACTAATGAAACTCTCAGCCTCTCAGTTAGCTTAGCTAGCTCTACTCCTAAACAAGCACCAGTTTTCACAGAAGTAAGTGAAAGACAAAGCGACAGCAAACACACTCACTCTGTGATGAGACATGGTGAAACTGAGACTACAGTTGACTTAATTAGTATCAACACTTTAGGTCGTGTCCCGTTTGGTACCGCACGGCCGGTTCTGAAAGCAGGAAGACGGTCGGTTAGGAAAGTTCAGTTTCGTTTATTGACTTGAGGCAGCTGGTAGTTCACTGGGCAGGGTGCTGCGTTTAAGTGTCCCTCGTATATCAACACACTATTGTGGAGCAAAATCATGCAGATAAATACGGTGGCTGAGAACCGCCACTGCTGCAAATAAAAAAGAATGCATTAAAAAAAAAAAGTCACGACGGAAGTTACTCATGTAAAAAAAAAGAAACCAAAGCCTGCTTCAAATAAAAAAAGAAACGGTGGAGATAAAAAAAAAAAGCTGCAATGGAAGGTAATGACGCTAAAAAAGTGGTGATAAAAAAAAAAGTTAGTTACTGATGAAAAATAAAAAAATTGAAACCTGTTGCAAATAAAAAAGAGGCGGTGCATAAAAAAATGGCCACAAGGAAGTTAATGACGCAAGAAAAATGTGCATTTTGCATTTGTATTATTTATTTTATTACCTAGGCAGCCCCCTTAAATGTGTAAAGACATGTCAGGTGCAGTAAATTTATAATGTAGTAGGTGGGTGAGTGATCAGAAATCAATATTATTGGCAGAAAAAGAGGGCCTCCAAATCAGATTTTGCTTAGGGCCCCATTGAGGCTTGGACCGGCTCTGACTGTAAAACTTGTCATCTTGAGACTCCAAGTTAGTTGCAACATTTTGTGAAGACATTGAACGCCTCATGCTTGGAGTTGCGGATTCCTGCTGCCATCTACTGGTAGAAAAACGGAGATAGTTTTAGTTTTATGTGGCTGTTTCTTTTCTTTTTTTGACCAAATTTAATCAAACTTTAAATTTATTACTGCCTATGAAATATTATCAGTGCTGTGTTCTAAAAAACTAAATTAAACAACTCATTAGTTTTGTTTTGACGGTGAATTGGATTCCTGTTTGGGTGATAGGTCACAAAACAAGTCTGAGTACTAGTCAGGTGACAGCGACAAACCTCACTGGACTGACAGGCGGCTCGGCTAATCATATTTCGTATTTCAATTCAGACAGCCAATCAGAATCGAGGGGATGGGACGTAAGGGCGATTTTTTTTCAAGAGAGAGGAAATCCTTAGGAAATGTGTGGGATCACGCTCGGTGTTTCTAAAGAGCTTGGGCATTATTGACAAAGTATTTTCACCGAATGACGTTAGTTTGTGGAGCGTACCGATCTTAGGATACGAACACGGGTGCGGTGATAGAAAAGTAAAGGGGGGGAAGAGGGGAAAGCGACCGTCGTTTAGGGTCAAAATGTCGATTCAGTACGAGGTGGAACAGCTGGCTGACAGCTACGGGGTTGCGGACTCGTTCCCCAAAGATTTCGGTTACGGTGAAGAGGAGGCCGATATCGAGGACAGCCCGGCGCCGTCCGATAGCAAACCAAGAATCCTGCTCATGGGTTTGAGGAGAAGTGGGAAATCCTCCATACAGAAGGTAAGGAAAGGGAGATGGGAAAAGGGGACTAGCATTCCGGGGCGAGCGGCGCCTTCCTCCTCCCTCTGCTCCACACAAGTCAACGGGACGTTAGCCAAAATAGCTAGCGAGGGACTTTAGCATGTTGTAAGTGATGGTGGCTATCAAAAAGAAGAGAACACCTCCAGCTTTTGCGGATAAATACATCTAATTTCTCTGACTAATGCGCTGGGAAACGTAGGTGAAGCTGCAGCGGTTAACTATTAACCAGGTGTGGACAGAGACGCGAGGTGCATCTCTCTCTCTTCACAATATGTGGACACAAAGCAGCATGTGACTGTTTGGTTAACAACTTGTCCAACATGCCAAATATATCTCAGTTCCACCCAGGGCAGGTCTGATGCGAGGAACTCACATGACAGTAAAACCGGCCACACCTTCACTGCTGTAAGTCACAACACAACAGAACAGAGAGTAAAAATCAGTGCAGCAGCAGACAGTCAGTGCACCTGCAGATAGGGATGTTATAACGATATGAACATGTAACATCGCGATTATTGTGACCGAAATTATCACGGTTATCGATATTATCGCGATATTGTTGAAATATTTTCAAAATGTTTAAAAAGTACTTATACACGCCCTGTAATCATTTAACAATCAAAATAACACACAGAATGAACTTTTCCTTAACCTTAGAGGTCGTTGTTACACACAGGGGCCGACACGAATATAGAACGTGAAATTACGAAATTCTGGAGGTGAATTTTGACAGGCCTGACTATACACATCAAGCCCGATGCGATTTTGCGACTTTCCGGGGGGGAAAGACGTAGCCTGGCTGGGCCATTCTGTTGCGTGAATCACTTGCCGTTCCTTCCCACAACAGTCTGGACTTCGGCCCATTGGGAGCGTGTATTCCCGATCAGAAAATAACCGGGCCAATCAGAGACTGTGTTTCCACTGTTACCTGGACAAAAGGGAAAGGCAGCCCCTGATTGGTCCATGTGTAGATGGTGACATTTAACACATGCTGCGGGACTTTTCAAAGCGCCGTTCATTCAGAATGCCGTTAATTCTGCAGTTGACTTTGCAAAGTCGGCAGAAATTGTTAATATCCGACTTTGCAAAGTCATTTAAAATACATGTAGATTCATTACTTTTGAGTTATTCCACCTTAAATATGAAATAAAAACAACTGCTCTACTTGACTCTAAAATTGATCTGGAATATGCATCATGACAAAAGTCCTGAAATTAGGTTTTTTTCGAGTTGTCCCTCTACATACCATGTCCTTCTTGACTTTTGCGTGATCGTATTCTTCAAGTCTACCTCTTTCCAATCTGGCCCTGTAGTTAAATAATAGATGAGATGCAGTTGTGCCTTCTATAATAGTTTATTATTGATGTTAAAATTCAAGAGGGAAGTAGAATCAGACTGTACATAATGTGACAAGAAAGGAGTCTATCCTACATATTCTGCCTGCAGGGACAGATGTAAAGAGTGTTATTTGCTGTATTGAGTCGAACTGTTTAGTACATGTTTCAGTCAAAGAGTAATGTTTCCCATAAGCCTCCTGGATGGCCTGAAAAATGTCGCCTCACTTTTTCTCACAGTGCTTCAAGAGTAAAAAACTCCCAGGTCCTACAGTATCACCTGCTGCTACATCTCAATTTCTACCTGTTGGTGTACAAAGTGGATAAAGGATCCTGAAAAACCTTGAACGACACTCATTTTTCAGCTGCAGTCTTTCTGTTCACAGTTTAAAGTGTGCTGAATGTAGAGCAACAAGAGTTATATCAGAGGAGTGAGTCTGCAGAGTTTTGCCCTTTTCCCTCCTTTTCTCCATGTGATGTCCGGATGATGCCTTCCTGCTTTAACAACACCCAAGAACACGAGTAGGGGTTAATCTTCTTCTAAGAGAACAATATTGTATTTTACAGGCAAACTATATAAGTTGAGTTATGACATAACTTAATCCCTGTAACAAAGGAAGAAATACTTAAAAATAACTTTTAAAGAAGCGGGTCCATGATTGAAAAATATGAAACTGAATATAAAGTTTCTTTTCCACTATAGTTTTACAAAAACTTGAGATGAAAAAATAAATTAGTAAAAACTGTATCAAGTTCCTGTGAATTAAACTTACTGTGAAGCTCGTTTGAAGCTCGTTGGACAATCAGCAACTCTTATTATTTGCTCATTGGTAGTTTAGCCCAGTTTAAACTTTTTAGCAGATAAACAAACTGCTACTGAATTCCAGAAGAATTCGTGTATCTATCAAGGTTTCCATCTATCTGGTGTTTGCTGGTATTGAGGATTGAGGCCTAAACATGAACCCCTCTTCTCATTTCAGGTGGTGTTCCACAAAATGTCCCCCAATGAGACCCTGTTCTTAGAGAGCACCAACAAGATCTACAAAGACGACATCTCCAGCAGCTCCTTTGTCAACTTCCAGATCTGGGATTTCCCAGGTCAGGTTGACTTCTTCGACCCCACCTTTGACTATGAGATGATCTTCAGAGGAACTGGAGCTTTGATATTCGTCATTGATGCTCAGGTAATAAAGAGAGACAGATTTTACCCGCTGTGAACATAAAAGCGGTCTCCTTTCGGGACAGATTCTTCTTCAAATATTAATAATCTAACATATCTGGACACACTTTCTTGCATATTTTCCACTTCATCAAACTGGAACTGCACACATCAGAAAAACAAACTTCCTTATGATACAGAAAATTGTAATACAAAGAAGCGCAAGGAGAATTTAACTGAGTGATGAAGAGGCATAGCAGCGGCGATAAAGGACAATTACACAGCGTGGCTTCATGCCAGTTTTATCCACATGATCTTAAGTGCTCTGAGGAAGTAATCTCAGCGATGATGTTATCCACAGTTGATTCGATCGCAGGGTTTATTTGTACTTGAGGAGGTGCATCAGATTCAATTAGTCTCGGCAGCTCGTCACGCAGGGATTTCTGAGGAGACTCGATTTTTGTCTTGCTGTTTTGGGAGACAATAGCAGCACATTTCCTCATACCTTCTGTGTTCCTGTAATGCTTCTGGACAGCGGGGCTTGAATTTCCGGTTCAGTTTAATGACAGCAGTGTTACAGAGTTCTTGTAGTGGATCTCTTTTGTCCTTTCTTTTGGCAAAAATGAAACTTAAAGGCGAGTACAAACAGGTAATGGTCTGATGTTAAATATTTAATGAAGGGAAACTAAATGGTTGCAAGGTGCTCTTAAAAAGGGAACTTTTAGAAAAGATGTGTGTGTAAAAATGAGCTGTTTTCTTCCCCTTAGGATGATTACGTGGAGGCCCTGGGCAGACTTCATCTCACCGTGTCACGAGCCTACAGAGTCAACCCTGAGATCAACTTCGAGGTGTTCATACACAAAGTGGACGGTCTTTCAGACGACCACAAGATCGAGACGCAGAGGGACATCCATCAGAGAGCCAACGACGACCTGGCGGACGCTAGCTTAGAAAAGCTGCATCTCAGGTACAACTTACTAAATATTTGATTAGTTTACTTATGCTTTTGGACAAGGCTGATTAAGAAGAAATTTCCCTGTAAATGTTTATCAGGGCTTGACACTAACTTCTTTCAGTATTAGGGCCTAACCGATATGGATTTTTTGGGGTCGATTCTGATACCGATTATCGGGGGGGAAAAAATCAGATTACCGATCAATTGGCCAATTTTTTAAAAATGTTTATGAAGTTATAAAAAATCTTTAGATACTGCTGATATCTATCTATTTCTAATTGACTTATTGTGTACTTCACAAGCTGGTTTATTTGCTGTTGAGGCGGACCACTCTCCTCCGTGCGTCCTGAGCTGCCTGCTTCAGATCCCTCACTCTGCTGTGAGGTAGTTAGTGGATGGAGATTGTCATGAGGTCGCTGCGCCATCTACAGGATAAGTTGGGGAACTTTTCAAATGGTGGAACATTTTCGAAGTGAAACCGAACCTTATTCTCCACATTTTATTTCTGAAAATAAAATAAATAAATAAAATTAAAAAATCGAACACACAGCCGTAATGCCTGCGAAAAGTTTTGGCCGATTACTGATTAGTCTCAAACGGGCTAAAATTGGCTGATTTAATCGGCTTGTTGATAAATCGGTTGGGCCCTAATAAGTATAATTATTTGAAATCAATTTTAAGTCAACAGCCTTTTCTGAGAACATCAACCGGTAATTTATTGACAGTCCCTTATTCAACACCTGACAGCGAGGATGCCGAGTAGATCTAACCACGCTGCAGTTGCTATTCCCGGTTATGGAGAGTGAGAAGACACCGGTAGATCCGCAGTTAACGTCCGTCGAATATCCAACCTAAAACTAACTTCACCGCGGTATTTACACGAAAAAACATTTGTTGCCTGAAACAGTCGCACTATCGAGCCCTGTTTATAGTCATGTTTGAAAAAAGCAGGTAACAGTCAACCTGCCTTATCCACTGACTGTTGTTATGGTTACACTCACATGATGCAAAGTTTAACACAACAACACAGCACTCACAAAGCTGTACAACAGGATTTAGAAACAGATCAGCTTGTAGTAACTCTTACAGTAGAATTCCGTGAACCCTGGTGTGGCTGAACGGCAGGGTAACTAACTTCATTGTGCTCTGCTCACAGTGAAGTGACTGTTCTCCAGACTCAGACCTCTTACCTGGAGATGTATTTTTAGACATCAATTGATTTCCTGTTAAGAACAACAACATTTAAAACGGCGCAGCGGCAGAGAAGAAAACAGCCTGTATCTCTCTGAAAGCATAATTAAATGATGTCCCAGATGATCCATAACAAGCACTAGAAAGAGGAGAGTCAAGGCACTGGTTCTCCAAAATCACCACAATTAAATCCACTATGTTCTGTCTATAAACTCACGCTCATGTCAGCCATGTGTGGGCACATAGTGAGCAGTATATTTATAAAAGATCCTCTGCGTCAGTGTGTGTCTATTATAGTAAATTTTTATGTATGATTACTAAAGTAAAGCAGAAGTTCCTGGTACTATTAAGAAAAAGAAGTTACCATAGGAACAAGGAAGTAATGAAATTATTTGTAACTGTCGTAGACAAATAAAGCCCACAGTTCAGTCTTTTCAGTATTTTTCTCATAGTTACTTCTATTAAAGCTCGTTGTGGTTGGCACTGCGTCATCAGAGTAAAGTGTTAACATGTCAGCACAGAGTCCAGCCGCCGGTCATGCCTCTCGCTGCGTCATGTTTGTGTTATGTTTGCTGCACATGACCTGTGATTGTGTCCTCTAGTGGGGATTTGTCAGCGTCGTGCTTACATGACATGAAACCTCGATGTGCAGTCGAGTCGTCGTGTCAGATGTAGATGTTAAAGTGTGCGCATCAGCTGAAATACTAGACTCATGATAGTCGGAGAAAATCAATAAGCAAGAGTCAGCCACTGTTGGTTGTGTGTGAATTTTTGCTCGGCTTTGTGAGTCTGTGATGTACAGAAGTCCCGTGTCTCTCCACTGTGAGATTCCTCTTAGACGTCCTAATGAAGAAACGACTTGAGCGCTTTAGATACCAGAGCTGTTCTGAGCTCATCCTCTAAAGGTGGAGGGATGGTTAAGAAAGACGACAGAAGCGTGTGTGTTTTCTTCCTCCTCATCTTACTCACAGTATAAAGTTGTGTGAAAATATGTAGACATAAGCAGATTTACAGCAGCATGTAAGCTGAGATGAGCACAAGTGATTAGTCTATCAATAAATCAGTCGACACAAATTGTATTTTTGGTGGTATTAAGAACTGATTTCAAATTTAAATTTTCCAAAATATTTTTTTTTACTATTATAGCATAAAAGTGTGTTTTTTTGTGTCTGATTTTCCCATTTTATAATACAAGTGGAATAATTTGACATGTTTTTTTGCAACTTAAGTAAAAGTAAAGGGATATGCATTTTGTACTGTGGCCTCTGAAGGTCCACTGTACAAATTATTAAGAGCGCGAGAAAAGTATATTTCATAAAACTCAAAAACATTTTGCAAAATCTAAAAATGTGTCACGTGAACACGAAATGTGTAAGTAGATAGTAAAAACAAAAATATTTTTGGAAAAAAAATGTTAAAAAAGATTCTAAAAAGTGTTGAATACAGCTTAACTTTTAAAAAAAATAGATTTTGGAACACAAATGTTGAAAAGACTTTAAAATGTTGAAATGCAGATAAACTTTGAAAACAAAAATATTTTGGAAAACACAAAAATGTTAAAAAAGACTTATAAGGTTGAAATGTAGCTAAACTTTGAAAACAAAAATATTCTGGGAACCTAAATACATTTTTAAAACAAACAAACAAACAAAAATACTCCAAAAACATAAATATTTTTAATAAATAGATAAAATAAATGCCTTTCAAAAATATTTGTACCATTGTCCTTAATCTCCTTAAAATTCTTTATCAAAAGACTTAGTAAGTCTGTCATTTTTTCTCTAATATTCAATGTCCTAAAGTGGTTAAAGATGTTGGTTTGTGTTCAAAAACCAAAGTAATACTCTGAATTTTATCAAACACATCATGGCTTCTGTAATAAAGGAGTAAAGAAAGCAGAAATATTCATATTTGAGAATCTTGAATTCAGACCTATTTCATTTAAATTAATAAATCAACCTGTAAAATTATAAATATGTGACAGTTAGTTCTCTAGTTGATAGAAAATATTCATTAACTATAATTTTCGTCTCTAAAAACAGCTGCAGAAGTAAAATAGAGCTTTCCTATTTACATTTCAGGGGATATAATAGATAAAAACATGTATCGGCAATCCTTAGAAAATGAAAATAAAGACCAGTGTCTCATAAATTAATTGTAAATGGTCATTGGGTTCAGGTCTATTATGCAGGAATAATAAATATGATATATAAAATATTAAGCAGGCTGTCCCTGCTGACCCCTGTCGGCTCCACGGCAGCTTTACTGCTGATGTTTCGGCTTTGTTGGCTCACACGCCTCTGTGTTTCATGTGAGGTGAGATTGCTGTTTATTCCTGTCAGACAGACACCGTGCTCCTTGATATTTAGTAGCAGAGAGAAGGCTCTTTTTTTCCTCTCCCTGCCTTATGGCTCTCTGATGCTGCCTTCACTGTTATTCATTGTAAAGTTGAGCTCCTGCCAAGTGTTTGTAGACAGTTTTATTTCACCCGGCCCACAAGCTTCCTCAGGGACTAACCTTTTATTTATGCACCCCTGTGACCAGAACCTATAAGTCATTTGTTTGGAGTTTTACCCCAGCCATGTGCAGAAAACTATCTAACTGATATTTTCTTTCTTTTCTGTGTTTTTATATCTGAAACTTTAATAACTTCTGATAATCAGCTCTTTTCTTCCATTCAGCGTCGTCTTGTCGTGTGATCTTGTGACTTTCTGTATTTTTACCTGCTTTCATGTGTATTTTGAGGAAGTGTGAAGCGTTTCCTTTAAGTTACTGCTTACCCACTTCCTTTTTTTTGTACATATTTTTTCTCTCTATCTCATTCAGCTTTTACTTGACAAGTATTTATGACCACTCCATCTTCGAGGCCTTCAGCAAAGTGGTGCAGAAGCTCATCCCTCAGCTCCCCACTCTGGAGAATCTCCTCAACATCTTCATTTCTGTAAGTACAAGAGCAGCCCACAACACTGTGTGAATGAATGAGCTGTAAGTTTGCCTGTGACCAGCATGATTTATGTGTGACAAACCGTGTGATGTGAGTCATTGCCAGCCCTGATGCCACTTTATGGTCAGCAGTTCCTCCAATCGCACTAAAGTCCTTGATTTCACAGGATGTTGCACAGGAGTTTTACCTCAAACACGCCCCCTGGTAGTACTTTTTGAGTGATGCTGCTACAGACAACCTATAAACACATGTTGCAAATCACAGTTTTTTTATATTTGGGAATAAGTTCATGTAAACTATTTCCTGCTATGCATTTCAGAGAGTAAAACGTGGGTTCAACATGCAGGGCTCAGGTTTTTTTTTCTAAATCATGTCAAAAAAAAAAAAAAACCTAGTTAGTTAGATCTGAATACGACCGGTAGGGGACAGAATTACGCTGGATAGTGTACATCCTGCCAGAGAAGAAGAAGAAGCGGAAGAAGAAGAAGAAAAAGTAGCATCAGCAAGCGGCGAACTGCAAATTTTAAAGGATGGATGTCAGGTACATCAATCCAGGAGAAGAAATGATGATATTGGAAGCTGAGCTTGGGCGGAAGAGGCTGGAAAAGATGGAAAGCCTCACGGTAGTTGGTGCCGAAAACTGAAAGAGCCAGGTGCTTGTTTTTGTGTGTCGTGCGCTGGAAAGCTTATAAATGGCAGCAGTGGGAAAAAGTTTGGTAAAAATGGAAAGATATCCACAGATTCGGACTTCCAGGATCAAGCTGCAAGAATCAAAAACCGATTTGTTTTACAAAAACAAGCTGTTCAGCAAGCTGGATGAATAATACTGATCTCCATGCTCAGCTGGTAGACGGGCAAGTGCGCAGGGATCGTCTGCAAATTACAATACAAGAGCAAGACGCTGCAAACAAAAATCAATAGCTCCACTGTTTTACAGTAGAGACCCCAAAATCACCACACACACCAAGGGACTCTTCATACTACAACAGCTGTTTTAGGAAAATGTGTCTTTTTATAATTTTGGTGAATTTTTATTGGTATGAATCATTAATATCTTCCAATATTAATCAATATCTCCAATGTCATATAGTGTTACCCCCCGCATAAAAAAAAATTCAGGCACAGGATTTTTTTCAGCTTCAAGTCCTGAACATGTCAGACGGTTATTAAAAGTTGAAAGTGCTTTGACAAATGATGCCCTTTCAATACGTCGGCTTTTCTTCAAGAAAATGAGATTTCACTGTTGTCTGACATTTAATAGACCGAACAATTAGTGAAGAGAATCTGTTACACTAATTATTAACAGAAGAAAACACAAGTTGTTGCCTGAGGGGAATTTCTGACAGTCGCCAAATTAGTATCATCACAGCGTTTGTCATTGTATCGCCCACTCACGCTGTCTAAATATCAAAATTCTTGTTTAGTACTTTACTACACTGAGATTTCCTAACTTTCCTCCTCTTTTCCTCTCTTGTCATTTTTCATCTCATCCTTGTGTCTGATAGAATTCAGGGATCGAGAAGGCCTTTCTGTTTGACGTGGTCAGTAAGATCTACATCGCCACTGACAGCTCTCCTGTAGACATGCAGAGCTATGAGCTGTGCTGTGATATGATTGATGTGGTCATTGACGTCTCCTGTATCTATGGGTGAGTGGATTCATCTTTTTTATTTTTTTAAAGCTTTTCTCGACTTTTTTATTTCAATATTTATGTGAAACTAAAACACTTTCATGGGATAGATTTAGAGTTAACTGTCACATAAAGTAACAATTCCCCCTTAAACTTTCTGTAATAGAGTTCGCCCATGTGTTGTCCAAGGAGGCTTTCACTGAAGCGTAACCTAATTAAACATTTCTTTGCTTAATTAATCCACTTCCTCATGCTGCATTTCTTCACATTTCGCTGTGCCACACCAGTCTGAGGGAGGACGGCAGCGGCAGTGCTTACGACAAGGAGTCCATGGCCATCATCAAGCTCAACAACACCACTGTGCTGTACCTGAAAGAGGTCACAAAGTTCCTGGCCCTTGTCTGCATCCTGCGGGAGGAGAGCTTTGAGCGCAAAGGTAAACTGTCAGGGAGGTCTGAGGTCCCCCGCAGCTCATTTGGCTTAAATTGGCTAAAGGTGAGGTGGCCTTAAGTCAGGTGTTTTTTTTTTTTTTTGCCAAGGGTGATTGAAGTAAAAACAAGAGTGTCTGTTATTAAAGGGGAACTCCAGCGATTTCACAAAGTTGCAAAAACACTTAGTGAAAAAGAAGAGGTGCAGATACAGAAGCACCCTGAACCTGAAGAGCAGGTTTAAGAAACACAGAATCCTACACTTTTACACAGTTTGTTCAACGTTCCTTTTTCTGGTAAAATCAAAAGTCTGTCTGACTCAGTCATCCAGTCTTGAACGCAGGCTTTCTCACGGAAATCTCGACCCCAAACTGCGAGAACCCTGAAGACTCTGACACTGTTACTGTTACTGACACTGACACGTCTTCAGACTGCAGAAATCCATCTGTAAAGCTCAGAAGTGACACATTTGTTTTTCAAACCTGAGTAGCTTTCCTGATAACTACTCTGACGAAATGTCTCTTTAAAGCTCCTGTAAGGAATATTTAACTGGTTATAAAACAGACTGAAATTAACAGTGATTCCTCTGCTTCACCTCTTAGAGCAAACTTGATGATTCACATAAACACTAAAAATGTTTATAGTGTCATTTTTAATGTCTGTATCTCCTGCGAGGGGGTAGACTACACAAAATGATTCAACCCCATTTTGTTTTCCACAGCGGATATGCACCAAGAGTGATGTAGTTGACTGTTTAAAGAAAGTCAGATGAGGTCTTTTTGTTAGAGGATGAGCTGCTGAGATATGAATTAAAAAAACAAAACCTAAAAAATTCCTCACAGTGGCTTTAATCTCTCAAATTTAACACGATAAACCCACGACTCGGCATATTCAAATAATCTGTAGAGTTATACTTCAAATTTTGAGACTGTGTCCTGTCATGTATCATGGAATCTAATCTTGTAGATCCATAATTTTAGTTGTTTTCATATGTAGTGCTGATCAGATGTGGGTCTGATATATCAGTATTAACACTCTTATCTAAATGAATCTAGCATTAGGATCATTTGTAGATCTTAGAGGAGCTCCTCACATCCTGATACTTTTAATCTGATTCTGTGAAATCTTTCTCATCCTCTGCACAGAGGTTGTGATCATTGCTGGGTGAGGGTTAGGGCCAATGCTGCAACAAAACCCGAATGAATAATTTAGATTCCTAATTGTCTTGATGGTGCTCTCTCTCTCTCTCTCAAACTCGTGTCGTCCTCATAGTTTCTGTCCGACTCTGAATCCAAACGCATGAATATGTCAAATTCAAATCTTTTTATATCTTGTCTCTGTAGGATTGATAGACTACAACTTCCACTGTTTCCGGAAGGCCATCCATGAAGTATTTGAGGTTGGCGTTTCCACCCAGCGTCCAGCGGGCTCTCAGGCGGTTGGCTCGCCCTGCAACAAGGCCGTCGCACTGAACGGCACACCGCGCAACACTGTCTAGACACTGATGCAAATGAAAACGAAAAAAAGACTCAAAAAGAGACGAGAGATGGAGAGAAGGGCCAGGGAGCCTGTAGAAGAGAGACTACTAAACTGGAGCTCACTGGCACGCCAAAACAAACAATATCCCCCCGCTCCCAGCACTCAGAGGACTGAGGGACGCCACCGGAGCACGGCGGGGATGGAAGGGAAATTCAAGCATTCGTTTCAGGAAAATGCAAAGCACTGTGTCGGCTGCGACGAGGAAGTCTAAAGAGTAAAACTGCACCTGGACTCCAGGAGTTTGGATTTCCTATTGCAGTCAAAGTCTGTGATGATTCGCTGCTACTGGTCCCTCTGAATGAACAATGTGAGGAGGAGAAGAAAAAAAAAACAAAAACACACACCTGTGTCGTGACCTCTCTTCATGGACAAACTGTGATGTCAGTTTTCAGGAATCTGTCTAGTGATAAACCCACCCCCCCCGACCCCTCTCCGACCACTTCTGTGCTGATTTCAAGATGGCGGACATAAACTGCTAGTCGTAAACCCACACATGATCAGAGATGGCCTTATGTAGATGAAGCTTGTCTGCAACGTGCAAGCTTTCTCTCACCACCACTCACCTCACCCTACCTGAATGCTGCCCGAAACTCTCTTTTTGGTTTCACTTGTGAAGGGAAAAACGGACTCAAAAGGGATCGTGTCGTCCATCTTTTCTTGTTTTGTGTGTGTGTGTGTGTGCTTGTGTGAATGCCGGTATACATGTTTATGTATGGTTTTGTATGAGTTGGCCTGTTCGGTTCTTTTCAGTTCAGAGCTTTATTGTCCCTACAGGGGAAATCTGATCAGCAGTTGGCGGTACATAACAGGTAAAAAAACACACACAGAGTTTATTTCAGTGTGTTTAAATGAAAAGTTTCGATTGGGCTCTGTGTGTCTGTTCTGGTTTACAGAAAGGTTCTCAATTCAAAGCAGCTTAGCAGCATTAAACTCTTCTTAATCGGTGAAATTTACATGTCTGTGTGTGCTCCAATGAAAATCAAACACATGATTGGCTTTCCAGCAGGATGTGTAGATACATTCGGCGATGTTTTTTTTTTTTTTGCATAAGCACTGCCAGAATAATGACGTGATTCAGAGACAGTGAAATGATGACACTTAATGAAGAAATGTATCAGGTCTGGCTGAGAGGCAGGACTGAGGAAAAAAGTTGAATAATGATGATGTGACCTGGGTACAACCTGCATGTTTCCCCACATACAGTTTCAGACCTGCCCAGATAATTACGAACCAACGTGTTTGCACTTAGTTTGGCTCTTTTCAGCAAGTTTCACAACAAAAAATGTACCCATTCCAAGCATGCATACATCGATGTGTCGTCAGCTTGTATTGTTCTCAGTCATAACACTGCTCAGTTGATTCGAAGAGAGTAAATGAAACTAACCGAGAAAATTGAACGGATGGAGGAAATGAAGACCAAACTCCATGACTTTTTTCCAATTACAGTGACACTTGAGATAAACATGTCGGCATTTTCTGTTAAAACAAAGAACAAAAAGTGGAAATCTTTCTGTGTGTGAAGACTTGAGAGCCTGACTCCTGGAGCATCTTTACATGTTCTCTCGATCCCTTTTGCTGGGTCTAATTCAGTCCAGACTCTTCGATGTTCTCACTCAGCGTTGTTGCTCAGTAAGCTTTTTAAATTTGCTTCATGATTCAGGCCCCAAGATCTTCCAAGCCCAGTCTTTATCAGTCACCTGAAAATAAACACTTGCACATCAGAACTGTGATGGATGATTGATTTGTGTATTGTGATGCTATCTTATGTAAAATAAATGAAAATTTACATTTAGTCTGGGTCAGTGGACTAATTGACGTCCTACCTGATGTTGTGTAGTGGCTCCTCTAATCCAAGGACGGGGTCAAATTATGTCTGACCCGATGATACAGACCTCGAAAGGCGAGCTGTGGTGAGCAGATCCTTTTAAGGGATATTCCAGCGTGAAATTAATTTTGGGTTAAACACACCGTAACACTGAGTTAGACACCCCCTCGAGAGATGAATGTTGCCGACCGCTTGCTTCTCTAGTTATACCAACTTTGGTAATGACCGCAGGATAGCAATACACAGCTCTTGTAGGTCCTTTCAAAGATGACAAGAGGTCGGCATGGTTACCGTACTGATAAGTACAAATACATACAAGTAAAAGTTGCTTAAACTATTACTTAACTTAATGTACTGGAGTATCTACCTTTAAAAACACACAAATATTCAAAAAAGAATCTCTAAACATATTTTTACACTGCATGACTACATCCTTCATGTAAAGTGGGACAGACTTCTGTAGGTCCGGCTGACACCTAGCCCCTCACACCTGTTTCAGACTACACTGGAGCACTATTGTATCCCATTAGTCTGCACACTAAACAGCATCTTACTGTATTTTTTCAGAACATCTCTGATACAAAAAAAAGGTTAAAGTTGTATTTTAAGAGACAAAGTGCATCACAACTCTTCCAGCCTACCTTTCTATTCCAAAGACAGAGCCTTCATACAAACACAAGATGGCACTGTAGGACTGTTCTAGTGTCCCCCTAATGTTTTTCCCCATTCATAGCCCTCTAACTGTTATTATGTAAGTTAAATTTGCAGTAAGCATTCATCATTAGCTGGTGCTTTATGGTAAATTATACAATCATTTAAAATTACTTCTATAACAGCAGCTTCACTTTGAATGATCACCAGATTGAGAAAACCTGATTCATTCAGAAGGAGAGGAAAAACACTTTATTAGGTTATTTATCATTAATGTAAATAAGGTTTTGGCTTTAATCCTATTTTTTCTGATTATTTTTGCATGTCAACAGATCAAATGATCATTTTAACCTTTTCTAAACCTCTCCAAATCCGATCTTTTTTAGTTATTCTTTGATATAAAACCAAATCCTCTGTTATTTGTCACTTCTGAGCTGACTGTTGTTTTTTAAGGAATTAATGTGAGGGGGTGGGTGGAGGGAAAAAAAATCCCTTTACTGGTTTAAAGCACATAAAAACAACTGGCTGAATAGCTCCGCCATGCAAGTTATTCACCAGTTAAGTTAAATAAGCCTCACAGCTACTGTCACAGGCCATTATGTGGGGAGCAGGCGAGACAGCTAAACACCACTTCCACACAATTTAGATGCAATAAAACACTGACAGCTTTTTTATCCACTTCATTAAGCCAGTAATTTCTTATAAAAATCTCCCGCATTAATCCTGGCCATGGTTTCCCTGCGGTTCCTTAAGCTCTCCTCCAACCTTAGCTGCCTTGCTTTGATGCTTACTCAAATAGGCGCTAATTTGAGATAAATTATGCATCCCCATGTAGCCAACCCATGCCAAGGAATATAAAGTGTGACATCCTGAAAGATGGTGAATTAAAGCAAAGTGTGATATCTCCTCGGCCTAATGGCAGATAGGTTAGGCCTGTCAGCCTGATGGTTTGTTGATCCAAAAGTCACTTCATATTCAGAGAAGGGGAGAGGTCCTGTTTACGTTGTTTTGAAGGTTATCTGGACTCAGGCCTGATTTTTGTTTGAGATCAGAGTGGACATAACCGGACTGCTCTGGGCCTTCAAAGGGGTCACACAAAGAAGATATCCAGCTGTTGTTTTACTGTCTCTTGTTTTTAAAAAAATAAGAAATTCAAGACAAGTTGTTGTGATATCATGACAGAAAATTTAGAGTTACAGCAGTAGTGAATAAAATGCACCAAAAAGTGTATCGACCCATGTTTGATTTGCTCTAGATTTAGTGTAAAACATGTTAACCCTCTGGAGTCTGCAGTATAATTGGTCGTTTTTAGCTACTTTTGATTTTACCTTTATATTTCCCCTTAAAAACGGTTTACCTTGCCTTGCTTGGTATCATTTTTTTTAGCATAACCTCACCTGTGTGAATTTATTTTATCATTTTGGCATACTGTATTAGCAAAGAGGACCTAAATTCACACACAAAACACAAAATCCGAGTGGAAAAAAGTACCATATTTTTACTGTAAAAACAACAGATATATTTATCCGAACTGATTTTATAGCCAGTGCTGATTTGCAATGTCTGTCACTAAGCTGGTTTCAATGTACAGTTCAAAATATCTGCATTCAATCGGCAGTAGTCATAACATAAAGTTAGTGATTCATGAGTACATTAAGAGCTAAAACTCAGAACTCACAGAGTCAGCAAAAAAAAAAAGTGTTGATTTAAAAGCACAACATTTACAACTCTGCTTTAAAACTGTATTAACTGAGTTAAAATGATCCCAAAATTATCTTCCAACAGATCCAAAGTTTTAGTTCTGAATGAGAACAGTGAAAAAAAACTAATAGAAATTTATAAACAATCAATCAAAGCTCTAATATTGCATTTAGGTTTACAATAAATCTCTGAATTTCATTTTTTTACAGTGCTTGATCATGTACCATCTGTTAACATGGAGGAGGCGGGGTTTATGAGCTAGACTGCAGTCAATCAGTCAGTATAGGGGAGCTCTAAACCTTTTGGCTTTAGTCAGTGAAGACTTATGGAGGCCAATTTGTTGTACAATTTATGTTTTTGCTAAAGACTAAATAACCATTTGCATTTTATCAAAAAAACAGGAAACACACTAGCTGTCATTAGTTTCTCATTAAACTGTGTGTTCCATTAAAACTAATGTTAGCTTACAATTCAGACGACTAAACCACCTAAAGGAGTCAAAATGGCTTGTGTGTTTTACTTACAATGTTTCACTTTTTCATGTTTCAGCGGCATGTTGTTTGACAAAACACATCAGCGAATCACTGCCCTGCTGTTTCCACATCTGAGTCTGAATTCATACCTGCCGGTCTAATCACCATTCTCGGATGAAACTAACTGTACAGAGAAGAGGGGTGAGTTTTTCAGGTATGCTTGACGGCATAAATAGGGGAATATGTTTGACTGAAAATATCATGGATTTCCAACCTTTATTCCAGATAATGACAAGAATGTAAGATGAAGATTTTTACATTTTTACCTGTTAGATTACTAAAATCGGATTGGGCACGTAGTCATTCAGGAGTTAAAACAAAAAAGAGTCAAAACAAAGTGAAGAGCAAATGAAGATGAAACCAAATTACTGCACAGAAATCAAGCTTAAATGAGAAATAATACTTCAAAGTATGAAACTGAGAGGTTGAGGTGTTTGACAGCAGATATCAGTGTAGTTGTTGTGTGACACATCCCATGTGTAGAGGCTGCAGTCCTGGAGGAGGTTGATCATGTTCGGGTCCTACTTATGGCATGTAGTTGCATGTTTATCCTCACTCTGTTATCTCAGTTTCCTAGCCTCTCAATCAAGAAATAAATCAATCAAGAAGTAAAATACTGGGTTGTATAGTAATGATATATTCAGTGAGGGGTTGTAAAAAAGAAGCTAATAGATTGAAATGTCTAAGGTCGTAAAGCAGATGTAAAAAGTGCTACAATCAGTCCTGAATATTAAGTTTAGATTCACTTTTTTTTCTGCACCTGGTAATCTGACACACGCTCATCGACACAGTGACTTAATCTAATCTGTAGATGGGGCTGTTGTCTGCAGATTGCGCCGTCATCCCTCCTCACACTCCTCTCAGTGTTTCTGCTTCACAGTGCAGGCAACATGGAGATCAACACACACACACACACACACACACACACACACACACACACACACACACACAAACACACACAGTCCCTGCAGAAAGAGAGAGCTGGAGGAAAGAGGAGACTGAGGAGAAGTTAAGGAAACATAGGAGAGAGAGAGAGAGAGAGAGAGAGAGAGAGAGAGAGAGAGAGAGCTGCATGATGTACAGCTGTAATTTGGCTCGGTAGCAGCTGCTGAAATTGGCTTGCTTTATCAAAGGCAGCTCTGCCTCTGCCCCTTGTCCCTAATAAGGAAGCTTAACCAATAATGAAATAAAGGCAGCAGAACATACTTTTGCCTGTGATGTCACACGCTCTCGCTTTAACGCCGGCCTGCCCTTCATGGTGGACGTCTTAGTATCATTACAACAATGATATTACCATTAGGTTGTTAATAAAACTCAGTCAGCGCCCTGTTATCTGCCATCTTTACGTTTTATTAGCCGTGCTTATGAGGGACGAGGGGAAAATGATGTGGCTAAGTGAGACGTCTTCGACGGCTGACAGGAGTAATACAGACTTCATTTGTTAAAGTGTGAAAAAATGTTGCTCCTGTGAGTGTTATTATTATACAGAGGAGACAGGGGACCCTGGTGCTGAGTTTGGGGATTGTCTGATTGTACAGAGTTAATGACAGCTTCCTGACAGTGCAGTTTCACTTCAGTTCAAGCATAAAAATAAAGTTTCGAGTTATAAAACGCAGCATCAGAAATTTGAGTTTGGATTTCAGATTTGTCACCCCGATATGATGGTGTTTGTTACATCTAACATCACTGTTAATAGTATGATTTAGATGTTTCAGAGAAACTCACATGATCCCTAAAGTGGTGTCATAAATAAATTAGCTTTTTTTCTACCAAACCTCTTTGTATTTTGATTTTTTTTTACATTTCCATCTGAAATATGCGGCTTTCTGTGACACATTTCTTTCCACCACTCTTCTCCTGGTAAAAACTGGCAGAACTCCTCTTGATTGATGCAGATCAACTGAGGTCTGTTAACTTTGAATGAATTATTGATTTCGCTTCTTGAGAATTAAGGGCAAACAATCCTTTGAGCCAGCGTCTTGATTAGAAAGATATTCTGCTTTTATGACAAAAAACAACATTTATTTAGATTTGTGAGTGTTGGCTGTAAAAAAAATGAGACGTTTTTGGTTATCAGAGAACTTTTGCAGAGACTTTTCCCATTTCGCTTGAGTTGAAAATGCGAGTTATGGATAAGTTGTTGAGAAAATCAATTCAATATCAATCCAATATGAAACTAACAGTAGAATGCAGCTCAAAAAAACAGTTTGTAAAATTGAAAAATCTTACTCTTTCTGGTTTTTCCCACCCCTCTGCAGCAAATGTCTCCACTGTACTATGAAAGCAAACACACCTGACATTTTATCTCCTTTTTTTTTCCAAGTATCTACCTCTCCAGTTTATCAAACCCCCAGGTTAAACCTACAGCAGAGGAGGACCTGAAGGAGGACAGGATCAAAGCTTCTTGATTAGAAAGATATTCTGCTTTTATGACAAAAAACAACATTTATTTAGATTTATGTGTGTTGGCTGTATAAAATGAGACGTTTTTGGTTATCAGAGAACTTTTGCCGAGACTTTTCCCATTCTCCTTGAGTTGAAAATGCGAGTTATGGATAATTTGATGAGAAAATCAACTCCATTTCAATCCAATATGAAAACAACAGTAAGATGCAGCTCAAAAAAACAAATTATTCAGCCTATAAAATTGACAAATCTTACTCTTTCTGTTTTTTTCCCCACCCCTCTGCTGCAAATGTCTCCACTGTACTATGAAAGCAAACACACCTGCCATTTTATCTCCTTTTTTCTCTCCAGTTTATCAAACTCCCAGGTTAAACCTACAGCAGAGGAGGACCTGAAGGAGAACAGGAGAGAAAGAGCAGGATAACGAAGGTGTGAGTTGTGGGAAAGGACAGGCGTCTCCTGTATTTTCTTGCTCAGGCAGCGGAGCGTGGAGTGGAGAGGCCAGCGGGCCAGCAGCCAGCTAATGGGGACCAGCAGCGAGCAGGGGCCGGGGACGGCGCTGACAAAAGGAGCAGCGACAGATGCCATTATCTCAGCCTCATGCAGATACAATGGAGCTGGACGACACAGGCCCTGACACTGACAGACGTGTGTGTGAGTGTGTGTGTGAAGGGCCTGTGTGTGTTCATGGTGAGGTTAATGGAACACGATAGAGGAGAAGTGGATTATGGTGGAGAGTACAATTTCTTGGTAACACTTGTCTGAGCTCCACTGCCCCCCAATGCATGCATGCATGCGTGTATATGCGCGTATGCAATTCAAGTGTGTTTTTGGCTCCAGCCCACATGACCCTGCCTTGTTACAGGGAGACAGCTAGATCAGTCACCCATCACTTGCTTAGAATTCAGGGGCATCGTAAAAAGCACATCACATTTGATCCCAAATTTTTCTGGGTGTTTCTCTTGACCTTAAAATATGCGGCTTTGACTTCACCCAAGGATGTTCTGGTCATTTGGAGAACCAAAAAGAGAAGTCAGGGTGGGGTTACGGGGGGGAGGATATGGCGAAGCGTTTCGAAGGATTGGCAAAGGCAGAGAAGGGCTGTTAAGCAGCAGTTTCTGGAGGGATAAGAAATGTGAGCTTTAGCCAGTGTTGTGCGGTGACATGGGACAGCGTTATTGACTGTGGCGGCGCGTGCTGACACTGGATTGTCAGCCCCTGCAGTCATTTGCCAGACTGAGCGAATGCAGGGATCAGAGTTTTTGGAGCTTAGAGACAGAGGAGATGAAGAAAGTGAGAAAGAGGAGGAATGGCAAGAAAAAAAGGGGAGAGCAAAAAAACTGGCAGCCATACAAATGCTTGAATATACACGTAACTCTCTCTTATACACACATACACAGACTCACACACACACATGAAGCTGTGGACGCCCCGCTGGGTGTCTGACACTGATGCTGCCAGACTAATCAGGGTACTTTCTCTCTCTCTCACTCTCACTTGCTCATTAGTGTTGGAGGAGAAACCAGACAGTTGTGACGTTGTAATGACGTTTTGTCGTGCTGTTGTACCCAAGTTTGGTGTATTAGGATCAAGTTTTCAGACTAAGAAACTGATTCAACACAAACAAACTCCTCAAGAAGTTTCGATGCGTTTTCAAACAGACTGATTAAACCATCGTTATCACAGAAGTAGCCTGATTAAAAAAGTGTTTTCCTAACCAGATAATG